CCACGTTATAGGTAGTCACCTCGGACAAAGCCGACCCCCACACTCTTGTGATTACTTAATCGAGAATGCGGGGAATAAGCTAAATAAGCTATCCCAACTACCCCTCATTATTACAAACCCTCTTGCAGCTCACTTGCACCTTCCTTTTAGCTCAATATAATATTAAGCTTGCACTCGACCAAGAACTCGTCAGAATCGTTCGATAAAACATCATTAAACCAAGATAGAAAAATGCCTTCAGGAAAAGCTACCGCAACAGTGAACGGCCGTACCATTGCCGAGACAGACAACTGGGAGGTTGTAGAGGGAAATGTCTATGTATGTACGCAGCTTTCTAAGATCTGGTGTTTTGCTAACAATATAGTTTCCACCATCGTGAGTTGTGTGCGTTTTCAGTTTGGATATTGGATTCTGATGTTTTAGCTCTGTGAAAGAAGCTATGCTCTCCAAAACAGACCATAGTACACATTGTCCCTGGAAGGGTGATGCGTCTTACTATACCATTACGTTTGATAGTGAGTCCCTTGATTTCTCTGCGTACAACGAAGAAAGAAATTGACAAGTTATAGAAACGGAGTTGAAGAATGCAGCTTGGTATTATCCGACCCCGTTCGACAAGGCAGAGAACATCAAGGATCATGTTGCGTTCTGTAAGTTGTTTAGTGGGAGTGAGAACCAAAATTGTAAGGCTAACGAGGCCATAGATAAGAACCTGGTTGATGTTAAGACTGAGGAGATTTAGTAGATGATGATTTGAAGTTCGGTCACTCGGAAACCAGTTGAGGCGAGGAGGATAATGGAGGAATCACTTTCCTAGAATCGAACGATAGACATGTTGAATAGCAGCGTGTAACACTTCCAATGCGAAAGTTTAATTATGGCCTATCTTGTCAGATGTCAAATATCTCCTCGTGAAATGTTCCGTTGTGAGCAGAAAGTATCGAGCTATCTCTTGAGAGTGGACGATTCCACACAGGTCTTATGTCTTCCTCGAGCTTCATCCGCACAGAATCCGTTCCTATCCTCGTAGCTTGGATAGTAGGCCTCGCAGCGTCCACTAGATCAGCGTTGAGATCCTCCGAAAGTCCGTCAGAACAAATGCATCGATTTGGTGAGTTATGTCGAGATGAGTAGAAAAGGATGCTGTAAACGCAATCAATATTTTATGTATGTAAATCGAGAAAATAATCAAAGATATAGCTGTATTGATATAGGCTGTATTGAAATGAAAGGCTGAGCCAACTATTTGATTTCGGGCCTGAAATTGGAAAGAAAACACGCTAAATACGCCAAAGTTAAACCGCGACCACAAACGCGTCATCGCGGGCCCGCATCGCTACATTTATTACAATCAACCAGTCTATTACAGTACTGAGTTACCACGACAACTATTACAACCAAACTCTACCAGAGATTCAATCATGGATGGCGCTCCGGAACGGTACGATGATACTAATCGCGCATTCCTTCAGGCATTACTGGCACGAGGTACTTTAAATCTGGATGAGGGCAAAGAGTTGCTGGCTCGTATTTTCACTGTCCAAGATGGTAAGTTGATTCTTCTCGGTTTGATCTTTATCTCTCTAGAAATTGACATCTCTCAGAAGGACGCGTTACCTCCGCAGATGATGTCACGTTAGATGACCTAAATTCATATATATCTCGCGCAGCTCAAGCCCTCTCGCCATTCGATTACGAGATTAGAAGTATGAGGCATCAACTGTCAAATAAACAAACCTGGGCTCTTGTCAATAGTGCCAGCGACCCCCTCACACAACTTGCGACTACTTTTACAACAGAGGAAATCTTCTACGTCAAGCGTTTGTTGGATGCTATGTATGAAACATTCAATACTAAGGGAAAGGAAATTATGGCCATAACCAGTACGCAAGCTATACATTCGTCAATCATCGGAGGTTCCGGTCGGCAAAGCATAGGTGATGCCGACATGCAGACTGTGGACAACGGTGTAAAGAGATCAGATGCCGAGAAGGTACTGGCAGGATTGACAGCGCAAGGATGGTTCGAACGAAGTAGACGAGGATATTATTCTCTGACACCGCGCGCAATCCTCGAGCTTCGAAGCTGGCTTGTCGATACATACAACGATTCAGACGACCCGGATGAGTGGCAGAGGATCAAAAATTGCGAAGCGTGCAAGGGAATCGTTACAGTTGGTGAGAGATGTTCGAGGAGAGATTGCAATGTGCGGCTACATCAGATTTGCGGAACTGCGTTCTGGAACTCGCGGCCAAACAAGAATTGCCCGAGGTGCAAAACCGAGTGGGATGGGAAGTATTATGTTGGAGAGAAGGCTGTCACATCAACAGAGGATAATTTGAGGGAAAAGCGGAGAAGTGGTGCTTCCTCGCAAAGGAGAAGAGCCCCTGTTGAGGAGGAAGGGGAAGAGGACGAGGACGGACAGTGATCAAATTCAAAAGGGAGATATGGCGTTTATGATGGTTATGATATCCCATATTTATAAAATGCTTTGGGCTGCTGTTGATCACCAAGGAGAACTTATTTATGAACGTGCAAAGCTTGTGGTAATATGGCTCAGAAGTGACGAGCATATAACACACCCTGTCTGGCCAGAGCCGAAGAAAATGGCGCCTTTTGAGATGTCAGAACATACCCAACAACTACAAGACCAACGGTTACTATTTAACTACTTAATGAAAATATGCTCGAATGAATATTGGACCAGACTTTGGATTATTCAAGAGATTGGCAAAGCCAGAAAACTCATCATCTCCTTTGGATCCGAGCTCATAGACTGGCAACGATTTGTGGAGATCATTACCCTACCCTGGCCACAAACCATGGGAAATATGGAAGAGACCGAAGGGCCAGGCGGAACAAGGCTTCCAGGAACCCCATTCTCGCATACAGTTCCCTGGAGGCTTTACTATCAGTTGCTAAACAAATATGATGGCGGCCACAAACTGCAAAACCTCCTGGTCAATCACCGACAGGCTTTATGTAAAGAACCAAGGGATAAAGTATACGGTTTGGTTGGTCTGGCTACCGATTGCTATGCCGGTTTTCCTATGGACTATCGGAAAACACTATATGAAGTCTGGAAGGATACCGTCCTCTTCAAAAATTCCGATACCGAAGTTCACCAAGGGGACATTCTGAAGTTTGGTAAATTGGTGCGGGACTCTCTTGGTGGCCCAGGCATAACGACGATGAAAGAGATTTTTGAAGACGCCTTTTTAAAGATGCCTCAGAAGGGAAATCGCGATCAATCTCCTAATGCCGATAACCCTACAGTTTTAAAGATTCCAGCCCGCTTAGTGGGTCGTATTGTGCATCTGGGTCCTTCATATGAACAAATCATGACCGATCTTTCGAAAACTGCAGATTGGAGGTTGTCTATTCAACATCATCTCCCCACCAAAATTCAAGCTAGCGTACAAGAAGAAAGTGACTTATTCTTGGAGCTGCTAGAAGGCTTGGACAAGTGTGGTCTTAAAATCGTGTCGACGTGTGATTTCGATGTTTCCTGGCTTCCAGAAAAGATGCCGCAAGGTCTGTCTGACCCGTATGTAACATCTGAGAAACCGGATCTAGGAGATAAGCCTTTGTTGCGTGAGTGGCCACTCCATTCATCATTTCACAAACCGGAATTTCTTCCCACGTCACCTGCAAATGGAGCACGATTATTTCTTCTCGACAATTCCACCGGGGAAACGTCAGTCTTGGACGGGAAACCCATAACAAAATCGGACGCACCTAGGAACATGGGTCTCGGACCGTCAGTAGCTTGTGTGGGGGATTATTTGTGCGAAATCGTGGGCATCAAACGGGCGGCAATCATCAGGAGGAGTAAGAATAAGTTGAGCTTCATTGGGACTGCTGGCTTAGCACAGCAAGCGCATCATACTCGGAAAATTGTAAATCCCTCGCCCGATAGAATATCCTCTCAATTTGGCCTGCCAAAATTCGATTGTCCATCGCCTGATGAAACGGTGAAGTTGTATCTTTACGTACCTTTGGCATATCAGCTTTTGGACTAGCTAATTCTCCAGCTCGCTAGTTCCGTATGAAGAGGGTTGATCTTGCAATGCAAATGAACGGAACGGGTTTAGATTGCATGCGACTAGAATTCCAAAATCCCTAGAAATCATTTAGAAAATCAAGGCTCCATTATTTCAATCCCAAACTAGACAATGAAGATCCAACACCACCCACCGAACAAGACACTGCGAAGAAAAGAAATTGAAAGTGTACGATACGATAGTTGATACGAACCACTAGTGTGACCACCAAGATAAAGATAAATATTCCGGACATCAGCGTATTCTTCTGAACATATGCAAAGGCACAAATATATTATTTTGGGATCTTCTTCGTGGCTACCTACCCAAGTATATAGTATCCTCGATGTGCTGGAATTACTGCTTTGGATATCTGTTCGATGGCAGCTGTTATATTTTTATAACTTTTGTAATCTAAACCTTCTTTGTCACTAATATTATTCTACTTCGAAACCATTCCAAAGTATAGTGAAGGATTGGCCAAGTAAGAGTGGCCCGTTGCTGTATGCTAACATTTAACTAATCTAGAGTTTGATGACGGAAGCAAGTTGTCTGTCCTGCCAAAATCTAAGCATTCCCTTGATCCGACATCTCGTTGGAGGTACACTAAGGGAAGAAGATATATACTAGGGTAGATGACAGAGAAAGAAGAGGGTGTAAAGACTCGAATGTAGTAAAAATAAACGATAGACGTTATCAATTCTCATTTTTTTCCGCTTCAAAAATGGAAGCTCCGCGCCAGGTACGAGTAAGTGAATGAAGCCTTCTCAAAGAAGCACATTTTTCAGAGGTCAAACTCCTGGTTTAAAATAAAATTATACACTTTTCGAAGACACAACCCGGGATAAAAGGGAGCAAGTTTCTACAAAAAAGCAGATCCGAAATGAGGAGGGAGAACAGTGATCACGCTTTTTGGATGTGATGCTTGGCACGTGATATGATAGAGCTGAAGCGATTGGCCCGGTAAAATGCCGAACCCCACTTAAATGTAATTTTTTTTACAGCTTCAACAAAAGAATGATTTTCATTGACAGTTTGACTTCACTCCTCTCCAGGTTCTCTGCAAAAAAAAATATATATATAAATATACAAAAAAAACCACTCCCTCGGGTGGGCTTGAACCACCAACCTCTCGATGAATCTGCAGAATGAATTGCTTCAGTTAACAGTCGAACGCGCTAGCCAATTGCGCCACGAGGGACGTCTTGTGATCGGAAACTATTACTTATCTAAACACATACATCGATAGAAACAAATATCTTTAATACTCAATCAACTTACAGCTTCTATCATAATTCTTTCGTGATTTTTAATATAAACCACCAGTACGAATGAATCCATATTAACTCGAGCATTCCAAAGAGGAATATCTTGTCAATTACTACTCTACCAAATTTGAAGGTTCTGCCTTCAACACATGACTTATTTTGGCTCCAAACTTTGCCCCTTATTTCGAAGCGAAACCGTGACCTATTTCCATATCAATTATTCATCCACTCAGTCTTAGGCAATCATGAATGGCGAAGAAGAATTGAATTTTTCAACAACTGTGATCCGATTTCTCGGGTTATTTAGAATGTGATCCGTTCATTATTCGATTGACTGGTAATCCTCGAGTTTTTGTCCGTGTGAGTCACTTGAACATCACATGATGTGTAGTTATCTCAAAGCATATCACTCACAAATTCCTAATTGTGTGAATTTCGAGTCAAAAATGAAGAATAAATAATGTTGCTCTCTCCAAAGATCGCCTGGTTCAGGTGCTCAAATTCGAGTTTAAAAGGGCTCTATTCCCCGAGGTCTCATAACCCAACTTATCTTTCCAATCCAGACAAGACATAAACGCTATCCAACTCTAACAACAAAGATCCAACTGTCATACTTTCATGAGTATTCACAAATACGTTATTGAGAAACGACAAATTTACATCTACTTGATACTTCTCAGCACTTGGCACCTCAGCAGATGACAACAAACTCGTTCTAAAATCACACTGAATGTACACTCGAACGCCATGTATCAAGCTCAAGGCTATACTACGGGCACTGAAGGATTTGCCGCCGATTTCAATGATTCAGACAACATAACAGACACCCGCTCAGCCCCTAGTGGTGGCGGCTACTACAAATATCAATGCAAATACTGGATGACTTTCAATTGTCCACAATGGGTGAACAACGCACCTTGTGCACACTGTCTCGTGAGTTATGTGATATTGTATAAGAACTTTATGAGTACTAATATACTACAATCTAGGCCGAAGGAAGAGATGATGAACATCCAATTGCAAGTGTTTCCCTCCTGAAATCAGACATGAATATTTCGTAAGTACTATTTAAGACCTGTAATATAATTATCTGGAGCTAATAATATACAGTTTAGTCACCGGCTTTGAGCTTCTTGCTATGCTGTGGCTTTGGAGTTGTTCGAGCTGATTTGCAGGGCCTGGAAAATACTGGTGGAAGTTGTGATATAGAAATGCAGTGCAGGTTTTCGATTTCGAGTTTGGGTAGGGAGTAGGATTTAATAGTAATAGGTATGGTGCGAGGGGGTATTATGGGTCTTTGGGTATGGTTATTGACTGCGTGGATATTTTACATCAGAGCCTGACTTTCTATTCATCAAAATACATAACATTTGATGAACCATGCTTCTTGTTCCATATGTATGTTGGGCAATTTATAATAACCACAAAAAAAATCAACGAGCCCAAAGAAACTATCTCCAAACTACAGGTCACAGTGCCACACAGCGGCCACTGGCAGTTTCACCGCAAATCTTCCAAACGGGAAGCTTTTTTCATCATATTTAACCCCAATTACGGAGTATCTTACTCATTGGCCGTTTACTAACGCTGTAGGGTGTAATACTCAGATGTGATCTTCTTCCCGGCTTATTGTTGCTTCCGTAGGTTAAACATTTGTCGCTTTCGGAGGTGTGTTGATTGTTTCCAACGATGAACTAGGAGGTATTTCGTTTGAATAACTCGCCATCGAATACGAGGATGTGGATCCGGAATCGCTGGCCGATTGTGCAAGACTTGGTGTAAAGATAGGACTGTGCTGACCCAAAGTCTGACTAGTCGTGGGGCGAGATTTGAGTATTTGAGTAGTGGTGATAGTCTGTGCTAAGTTCGTCGTGTGAGATGGATTGGTAGTTTGAACTGAATCAAATGTCCGAATAGAGTTGGATGTCTGAGCTGCTGATGTTCTAGTCTCTGGCAGAATAGATATTGGTGAAGTACGACTGGCTAGTCAGGAAAGATTCGTTCTCGCTCGAACAGGGAAGGCTAGACGTAGAGACACCGTGATACCCTTGGGTAGCTGGATATGTCGAATCTAGGCATGGTATTGTTGATGCCGCAGTCACTTTACTTGAAAGATAGCTTTTGGTGGCCTGTCTAGAAGACATGGGAAGAGATTGACCATTCACTGCCATGCTAGGTGGAACCGCTGAATTGATAGTAAATGTAGAACCAGGAGTACTAATTATAGCCACAGTAGTGTTCAATTTTGAATCGAACCTTGAGTTTGATGTTCTGGGTGTACTAAATAGCGATTTGATATTACTAGTCGAAGTTCGATCGTGAGATGACGACGGCGTTACGAAATCAGTCGCAGCAGGGACTGTACTTGTAGAAAGCTTCGAGACTGTGCTGATTATCTTGATTGTCGATATGTGCAGGCTGCGGCTAGCCCCAGATTTTCGTGCGCCGTGGACATCCTTTGTGGTACCCGCTATAGTGATTTCGGATTCAGAGGGATTCATTTGGGATCCGCGGCGGGAATATGCAATGTTTGTCGTGGTGGTGCTAGATGATAAAGATGCACTTCTGGTGATCCCACCAATGGTGGTAGCAGTAGCGCTATGGCTTGGAAAGGTGGAAGACGAGCTTTGAGCAGGATGGGAGGAGATTAAAGTGGTATGAGTCGTGTCCGTTGTATCAGTGGATATCGATAATTTTGTGGGGGTGACGAGCACAACTGAAGAAATAAGTGTAACATCCGTCTGAGTTGTAGTCTCTGTCGACTTTAATACTGCGGTGGTAGTTGTTGTAATGGTAAGAACAGATATGGCGGAAGGTTGCGGCAAGAAGGAGCTCGAAGATGATTCAACTTGAGAAAACACGCAAAACATTGAAACATAAACTACTAGGAGAAATGAGAAAGCGGAAAAAGCGATATGCATATTTTCTTCAGAGACTATTGTGAAGATAATAACGATATCCTTATGTGCTTATTGCGAATTATTTCCGATTATATCGTGAGGACCATTGGCACAAAGCTCTGTCGTTCAGAGGTGATGAACGTATGACTGGCAGTAACAATCAAAGCTCTCTCTTCCAAGTGAATTGACCAACTCGGGCCTTCAAATCATGATATGACTCCGCGGCTCCGCCTGACTTGGTTCTATATAGTACAGTCAAGCCTTGTCCGTACACCCGAACAGTCAACGCTGAGCTTGAATATTATACTTCGAAATACGAGACGTCGTAAAAACTACTTCTTCAACATATAGATTCATCGGGCACTCAAACACAAAACGGATCTTTGTTGCTTGATATTTTTACTCGCTGCACTGGCAGGGGTAATTTCTTTTTCAGAATTCACTGATAAGTGTCGACTTGATAGTAGCATTTATAGCGATATGAACATCAAAGCACTTACTTACCATGTGTGACACGACAGAAACTGGCCTAACATCGAAGACGGTAACCCACCAACACATTTAACTAACGTGTTGAGTGGAAATAAAGACATCACTCCAGCATTCTCATGACCTTTTTGTGAAGTGTTTGGTTGTTGTATAAAGGCTGATATTCCGGACCTATTGAGGATGCGTCTAGAATCGCCCAGTTAGTTTCAAATGTGGCTGGAATAACGAACATTCATGCATGAGCTTGTGCCGAGTAGTGAGAGAAGCTGGAACCAGCTAGGTTAGATGAAGAATATCGAATTAGTCCAAAGAACAATAGCCCGGGTTTTGAGAAATCCAGAGTAGTTGGCTATTGTATGTTCGAGATTTCAGGAAGGGAAAGACAGCACTAGATTTTATTCTCGAGTGAAAATAATCGGTTCACTCCCTCAGCTTCTTGTATAGATAGCATAATCCGATTGTAGGATAGGAGATCATATTCACCAGAAGTCCTGTTGCAGTACATAACTGAGAGCTTGTTGGACCTTTCCTATACTATGCCCGATAGCTTACGGTTCTAAAAATGGAGGTAGATGGGTTGCTTGATTCTTAAATATTAAGAATAGAAATGATATTGATCATCACCAATTTTCGCCGCAATTTGCACACAAGGCAACCGTAATACCAGTCGTTGTGTCTTCCACCAAATAACTTCTCCTATGTAAGGATTCTTCTTCGTTGGCTGAGTCATCGAAACCTGGGGTTTGAAAAGTGGACTAATTAAGGGGATATATTGGGACAAGCTCAAAAGGAGGGCTTCCTCGTAAATCTTCGGATCCCATTTGTTGTCTGATAGGTCAGATTCTTGAGCTGTTTCTTCATTGTTGGTGTATTGTGGCTTCAGATTGGAGGCACAGAGAATCGAAGAATCTTACAATACGATTTCAGGGATATACGCAGGATTTCTTCCCCTGTTTGTCAAAACAAACGAGGATGCCTAAGCCCCCCTGTTGAGTTATTTATAGGGTTATCTGCAGGAATAAGCTCCACTAAATGACGACTTACAAGGTTAATATTCCATCTAGACCCATAAATAACCCCAAACAAAGCAAAAAATCCCGTAATTTCTTGCAGCAAATGAAAAGTTTGTTCCCTCCCTCAAATAGTTATAGCATGAATAGGGGGAAGAGATTCAATTTTGTACAAATGTCACCACCAATCATGGTGACTTTTCAATATTGTTCAATGCAATAATCTAGTGATTATTCCCAGCCACGGCCATCATGCCACTCAGGTAGGCTAGGTCGTTTGTTGGCAGGATTCGTATATGTAACACGAAATGTGGCTAGGTATGAAATTGCGGCTGTGTGTTGGTTACATTTGACAAAGTGTTACTTATAAGTTCACCACCACCAGTCGTTCTCACCTCCTTCTTTGCTCTTCAAACAAACGTTCACTTCCTGCTTTTAAAATTCCCATCAAAAATAATCTCAATTTCATAATGCGTTCTTCCACTGTCGCTTTCGCCGTCGTTTTGGTCAACTCCGCATCAGTTCTAGCTGCTGGCGGTTCAGCAGCTACCATCACCTATGCTTCTCCTACAATTCTCCAAACTGGAGACAGCCAAGAAATTACTGTTAGCTCAGTTACCAGCAGTGTAGTCTCTACTACATCACTATCTGCCCTCGTCCCTGTAACCACTGCTATCTCCACTCCAGCGGGCAGTGCTTTGTCATCGTACGCATCCTCCTTCTCCTCCTTCCCCATAAATTATGTTTCCTCCTACAAATCCGCATATCCATCTGGATCAGTTCACTCATCCGGTTCCGTGTCCAGTTCCATTGTATCCGGTGCACCAGGTGTATACAGCAACTCGACCACCCTCTCCACCGCCACTGCCTCTGGCTCTGGCGCCGGCACATCGACTGCTACCGCTATCACCGAAGTTCCAGGTGCTACTACTGGAGCTATCAAGACTGGACCTTTGGCAAGTGCGAGCGCGAGCGCCTCTTCATCGTCCTCTGCTGCCGATGCTTTGTCGTTCAGTGGAGCATCTTGGAGTGTTGGAAGTCTTATGCTTGGTGGAATGGCCGTCGTCTTTGGCTTCTTCTAATTGCCTTGCAATGGTTTGATTGAATTCACGATGGAATAATTGTATGATGGGGTTTGGGATTTGCGGATTGGGATTGGGGAAATGGGAGTTAATGAGAGAGGTTATGATATCTAAGTTTGGCATTCTGCATACATCATTTTTGGATTTAATATTTTGATCCACCTTCTGAATGTTGTAATCATACACGTTTTGGCATTATAGATACCAGGTTCTGTATCAATATCGAATGGTCATTTAGCTGGCTTTAATCTGACGCTGCATATCTAAGTGAAACAAATTTCGTGTTGATCATAAATTGTGTCAAGCCACCATTTTTATACCTGTCTGCGGCTTCCAATCACGTATCGTCCTTGCCACAATTCTTCCAGTGTGGGTCTTTCTCAATATCTCGAGTCTCTTCTGATTCATAGTCTGTACTGTTAAATCTCGCAGCCATCTGAGCATTTATTGCCACTAGCCTTTTGCATGCCTCAGCCCGTTTCCTCATACAATTGATGGAGTGTGGCGACTCTGAAGATCTTGTCCATGGCAATTAATCTCCAAGATTGAGAAGTCGTGAGGCATCTCAGGATATTTTTCATACTTGACACAAGCTTCGGCTCTACATCACCTGCACCAGCCAGTGCGATGGGTTGTCCATCTGACCTTGACGTCCACTACATCGTACTCGAGCTCCGTTCTTTTGTCGTCAAAACCAATGTCCGGCTATATCCATGCCACCTTGCATGGTTTACGCATTTGTGGTCTACTAACAAGTGATATCGTAAGGTAATTGGCATCAGTCGGTTAGTGCCACCCTTCAAAATAGCTGTTCAGACTTTTCCAGACTTACATCTTCCATTTATCCGCCACATCACCCAAATATTCTAACAATCGAATATGGCCAACGATGGTGTGTCTTTCAAGGACCCATAACCTTTAAATCGTGAGCAACGACAAGGTCTGTCACTCACAATGCTACACTGGAATTGAGGTATTAGTTCCTTCTATAAGATTGAATTTTCAGTATTACATGTGGGAAGATCAAGTTAGGTGCGTCATCTTAGTGATTGCAGATGTTAAAACTGGAACAGGGTATGTAAACTCAAACATGACTATTAGATAATTGCTCAAAGTTCCTGAGTTCGTCAAGCGTTTTGTAAAACTCATTTTACCCCTAGAATTCCTCGTCAGAGCCAGTGGACAAAGCACCTTCGCCAAAGATCGTGCGTGAGTTAGTCGTGTGGAATATTCTACCTCAGAGAACTGTCTGCAAAAGGTCACTCTAGGTGCAATCTCCGAGCTTGGAAATGGTAACGACTCATTTGAGATTTCTGTGATGGGATCTCTTCAAGCGGAAGGCTAGGCTATCGGATGGAGTAGCTAGAGATGAGCCTGAGCTACCATCTAGCGAGAAGGATAATTATCCAAGCATAATGAAAGAGATTGAAAGCGACATGTTCATTCTATATATCATTGATAGAGAGGGGGTGTTCTGGAAATGATGCGTAATTGTGTAAAAATAAAGGAAGATCTGGAGTGGAGACGATGACCTTGATCTTAAACTCATGAATGAAAAGCTATCGGTCTCAGGTAATGTAATACAAGTCACGTTTGCAATTCTTTCTGATGAAGGATGACAAACTGAGTTCAAAGTCAGATTCTCAATTTTCATATGCAAGCAAGGCCCTAGCATTTGATGTGAGCTTTTGTACTCTCGATGTGATTTATACATACTTATACTGAATGTTCGTGACTGTACAGCATAACCACTCAATCGTTATCACTGCTTGAGAATGAAGACTCGCACATGTTGTAATGACCCAGATTTGTAAAGCACTAAAAAGTTGAATCATTGTATCCTTAACACATTAGCTTTCGAGGGCGCGAAGCCAAAACTAAGCTATTATGAGTCTCCAATAACGAAACCAGAGATCAAAACCCGACCATATCAATCCAATCCGTAAAGTACCCATCAGATAATATTATCTCCGCCTGCCTCTCAGATCTCAAGGTTCCAATATGCGCAAAATGCGTCGAATGCTTTCGCCAAATCCAGAAATTCTCCCAATGGCTGGTCCAGGTTCGAGTGGAAAAACAATTAATTAGGTTCTGTTCGATAACCGCAACCGCCTCATCTTCCCACATGTCTCCTCTATTGAATGGGCTTGGTAATGGTAATCTATACACAAAGAAACACATCAACGATCTCTTCTTGCCGTGAACAAAAGCTTTTCCAGTACGGGATCGCCAATAATCAAGATATTTGCCTTCTAAGTCGCGTTCCTTTTGACTACGCGGTAAGTCCCCATACACAGTTCGGAGAAGATAGTGTTGGGGAATCATGACTCCACGTCGGTATTGAGGTCCCATCCAGATTTCAATAAGACTTGAGAGACACACTTCGTTGATCAATGCTGCGCCCATAACTGGTCTTTCAGCTAGGTTGACTAACTCCGGATGAACATATTTGAATGTTTTGTACATTCTTCTGCAAGTAACCCCAAGACAAGCACGCATGCATGGCGTAAGGTGGCCCATAATCTTATCAATTAATTCAGGAGGTATTGTGTTGATGCTCGCTTGTTCGGAATCTTGGACGGCTGAAAGACCTAAAAGTATTACTTTGTGTTAACCAATAGCTTGTCTTGGAACAATTTAGAGATTGAAATGGAACCTACGAGCTTGCTGCTCGAAAATATCAGCATCTAAAACAAATCTAGAATCCGCATCCTTGACTTTGGCGTCATTGGCGAAGTAGACTTGGTCATCATGCATAGCGCATGCCGAGCCTTTTAGATCGGGTTCCATGTCACCCATGTTTGCCATGATAGACGTTCTTCTGATGCGATGAGATGTTATGAGCTGTTGTGGAAATTTGGGTTTCAAGATGGTTTGTAGAGAGATCTATGTATGAAGACGTCCATGGAAGTGTTGATACATGTAAACTGCAACTTTGTGCCGGGACACCTGAAGGGCTGTACCGGGAGTTGACTTACAAGTGCCATCAAATTAGCTACCGTACAACTAGCATTTGAGATGCTTTGAATACATACTTCTGAGTACCCTTAAAGGTCACATCATGACCGTACCATCTTACCATTTAAAATGGTGACTAAGAGTCATCAAATAATCCCACGAGCTTGAATACCCACCTTGCTACACTACCAATAATAACGGCCCATGACTAAATATAACATCATACAAGTTGTTAAGATTTGTTTGATGATTGTATGTTGTGACAAACCAAGATGTTAGCTGTATCCAAAATGTATATATGGCATAGATTTGCAAACCATCTGATGTGATCTTGTTTTACTTACTTAGCCTACGTTGAGAAGTTCTGTAAGTTTCGAAACTCTCAATATACACATTCAAAAATTCATTAAATTCATCAATGATAGCCACTACATTTTCAACAGATTCGGCAACCGATGAGATAAAATCATCGGGACCTGAAACTAGTTTTACACCATTGGCGGCCTCCTACATGATATGTTCATGACATATTCTATATATAATTGCAAAACGCGTAATTTCACAAACCCTCTACTTCTCGTTAAACACCATAACTATATCGAACTCTGATTTCTCTGAAAATGGGATCAAGTTTATAACTCCCAAATTAGTAGACGTAAAATGGTTCATTATAGTCAAACACTTCGATAGAAAGCTGGAAAGAAAGATCTTGGCTAAGTATAGCCTGGAATCACCTAATCAATAAAGGAATGGTCTAGAATAGCCGAGAGACTATGTATAGTAGACGATCCAAGCCTAATTTATATATCCTCTTTATCTATTTATAATATACGGCAAATTACTCTCATACTATCAAAAGTGATTGATATTACTCTTATACTACGAAAATTGAGTTCATTTTATTCTTATACTACTTAGAATCTAACTTTGAATAATTAGATTCTATATTATAGATTCTATTCTTTTATTATATTCACTCTCCTACTATACTAGTATACCACCTTTTCTCTCCCCTATTTCCTCTCTTTCCCCATTATATCTACTCTCCCACTATATCCATCCTTCCATTATACACTATCTCTTCTTTCCCCCCCCCTGCCCCCCTTTTCCTATTATATCTACTTTTCCACCATATCTGCCCTCCCACTATACATCAATCATCTCCTCCCCCCTCCCACTATAGATTCTACCCTTCGATCATAGATTCTACTCTTCTATTATAGATTCTACCGATACTCATTATAGATTCTACTATAGATTCTATTATAGAATCTAAGTGATATAAGAGTAAAGTAGATATAACTTTCGTGATATGAGAGTAATTTACTGAATTTAACTATACGTTCCTTATTTACTATAACTTCAGTAACCAAAAGAGTATAAACAGGACTCCGATTGTGTACTATCTATCTACAAGTGAAGAGCTATATAAGATGCTAAAAGGAGGACTGTATATATAGGCTTTAGTAATTCTAATGATTAGGCCTAAAAGAGTGAAAGGAGAACTAAAGATAAGTATTATATAATATTTAGATCTAGATGTGACCAAAAGGGTATAAATAGGACTCTAATTATATACTTAGAATCTATAAGTGAAAAACTATATAAGATATTAAAAGAAGGATTATATATACAAGTTTTGGAAGTTCTGATGACTAGATCTAAAGGAATGAAAGAAAGATTAGAGATAAGTACTGTACAATGTCTAGGTCTAGAGTTATAAAGCTAGGGCTTTAAGTTGTGAAAAGAAGATATGTTCCGGGCCATACCGCAACAAACTCATTCCACAATGAACTAGTATATTGCCCAATGAGCTAGTTCATTGTCTAATATACTAGGTTGCGATATAAGCTAGGGCATTGGCGTATAAACTAGCTCATTGCACAATGAACCAGAGCATTAGGCAATAAGCTAGTTTATACGAAAATGAGGCTATTCGCAAATGAGTTAGCTCATTCGCAAATGCCCTAGAGATCCATTATTAGTTATACCTAAGAGAACAAAAATAAACACCAATAACAAGAGGTTATTTGTATATATTATTGTTCAGAAACACCTTTATAAGTATTGTATTTAGATTGAATATAATTTTTTTACATAACTAATATCTACTCGAAAACTAAATGAGATCCCTCTTTCAATTGCTAATAATATTACTATTGATGGTCCTAGCATTTGTATCCTGATTAGTATTATTGCAAAGAAAACTTCAACTATAGAAAAGGTTTTTATATTATACGAGTATAAGATCAAACATTATAATAATAGATATAACTACTTTAAAAACAAGCAAAAATGCTTTGTTTATTGTTATACAGATAATGATTTTGATTATAATTATTTTGCTAGTTTATTATTGTATACTGAAAAGGCATATCTGACAAAAGAAAAAAGGATTAGTAAGGCTGATGATACTATAGATGACAAGGATGAGAATAATAGTGATGATGATAATAAAGACTCTTTGCTTATTCATCAAAGTAAGGATTAGCAAATTGATATTATAAAGAAACTAAATTAATGTACATATTAGCTTATTGTGTAATACCCTTAGTTTATTATGAAATGCATTTAGTATACTACAAATATGATTTTCTATATACTAAGTTGATTCCGAAATAGCCTCATTTTTTCCTATTTCGTATAAGCTAACTTATATGCCAATACTCTAGTCTATACCACAACCTAGTTTATTAGGCAATGAGCTAACTTCATTGCGCAATGAGTTTGTTGCGGTATGGCCTGGAACAGATATAAGAGAGCTGTCTTATTATACTATGTATGTAATATAAGCTAGTGGATGGAAGAGAGCTGTCTGTTCCGTCACACTGGAGCTATAAAGCTAAAGCTTTAAGCTAAAAAAGAAAGGTCTAAAAGAACTGTGACGGAACAGACGGCTCTCTTCCGCCCACTGGCTCATACTACATACGTAGCATGATACAACGGCTCTCTTGGACCTTCCTTTCACAGCTTAGAGCCCTAGCTCTACAGCTCTAGACCTAGGCATCGTACGATGCTTATCTCTAGGACTCTTTCACTCTTCTGGGCCTAGCCCTTATGGCTCCCAAATACCTGTATATATAGTCCTCCTTTTAGCACCCTACATAGCTCTTCACTTGTAGATTCTAAGTACACAATCGGAGTCCTGTTTATACCCTTTTGGTCACAATCAGTATAATATTAGTATAATTATAAAAATATATTAGTTTTATATTAATCTTTATATTAATTATATTAATATTATAAAAATTAATAAATTTGCAGAGTATTTGCGGAGTATTTGCAGAATATTTGCGGGGCAGATAATTTTGAAAGCTCAACGGGTCCCCCGCGGGTCTAAAATATCATCAACGGGTCCCCCGCGGGGCGGAGTATCTGCGGGTCCCCACGGGTAGCGGAGTATTTCTGCGCAGCCTATCTGCATCCACATCGAAATCACATCCACCCCTGAAATAACATACCCCACCACAAGAAAACAACGCCACAGGCTTATCTGGGGTAAAGCTGCCATGGGCCCCTGTCCAGTAACGCAAAACTTCAAATTTACTATAAAACCCCCCTCCGAATCCCCCGATAATCAATAAACAACCCATTCATTGCCAACCAATTTATAAGTAATAATAAAAAATAACCTACAGCATACTTAACAGCTTCAAAGAATGCTACTACATCACATTTCGAAAACTCTGGACTGGTCACAGTTCTATTAAAAGCGACTCTACTACGATATATGAGTAGATCTACCTAGGTTAGTTGGGATTCGGGGCCGTTGTCACAAATAGAGATTTGATCAAGGAATACTTGGAAGTTCCTGGCAAAAATTCACTGTGAGCATCAGGAAAGGAGGAGAAGGATGTGTTTAAGTAGATGAATTTATATAGAATCTTGAAGAAGAAAGTGAAGGGAAAGTAGTGGTTGTTAGCTAGTTACTATTTGAGAATTTGTATTGACTTGATTTTTACTCAATCAATATTGAGCGTGAGACTTTAGGCATACAATGAAATTGAAATTGGAAATTATATCATGAGATCTTGAATTGAAAAGGACAGCGCTCCCTAAATTTCCCCGTAACAAGTCGTAATATTTAATCGTCCCTGATGGAAATATAGAAATGGTATATGAAAGTCTCTCCTTTAACTCCGTTCCTGCCTGGAAGAATGTCTAATCCGACCGATAGTATGCACCAGTATCAAATCGTAGTTTCCAGATTCTCAACTCCACCCTTTGGGCAACTCCAAAAATAAAAACGCCCCATGAATATCATCTAATTCTTCATTTTTCCTTTACCCCCCTTCCGTGTAATCTTCGCGGGTTGTTTCTTCGATATTCCCTGAGGCTTAGCAGAGCTTCTGGCTGTCAAATTGTTTGAAGCATTACGTTCGGTTTTTGGTCGGACTACGCGTTTGGAGGGATTTGTAGATGCTGCTCTTATTGGGTCCTTAGATACAATAGGGACGGGTAGCTGTATTCTTTGACTTCTGCGTGGAGCTACATAGTCGAGAGGAAGCTGCGAGGGTTGCGATTCTGCTATATTCACACTAGAAAACAGTTGTAAGCTATCAGAAGCTAGCTTTTGTGAGGGTTTCAGTTGCTGTTGGGGCCCCTTTTTAATTCCAGCGGCTTTTGCGATCTTTGATGGATGGACTGAGCCCAAAAATGCATTTGTCAGCTGCCCATCTTCACGGGAGACTTTTGTTAGCAATGCTTGCCCCATCTTAGTACCAAGAATACTTTGACCCAAATGGAGAGAAGGTGAATCCCGCGCTGAGGGAGAGCGTTCGGCGTCACCATTCTCTGATCTAGCTGACGGAATGTCTGCAAGCGGTCCTTGTTGAGATATATTTAAGGACACCTGCTGATTATTTGATTGAATCGAAAAAGGAGGCCCTAAGATTGGCCTGGCAGCTGCTTCAGGGTCGCCGTTAACAACTGGTTTCGCTAGAACGGGAAAAGAAGGCCCAAAAATTGGCCTGGTAGCTGCTTGAAGGTCGCCGTCTACAACTGGTTTCGCTACAACAGGATCGTCACCCAGCTCCTCATGAACCAGCTCCTCGAAAGGATGTTCATGTTTCCACGACATTCCAGGCAGTACACCCCATCTTTTATTCCAGATACTTCGCTTGATCCACGTGTTCTTGACATTCTCATACGCTCTCGTATTAATATCTGCAGTAACAATGCCTTCTCTATTTGTGGATTCTTCTTTGATTCGTTCACGCTCTGTTGATATCTGATAGACAAACTGATGATATGGACGTGAAAGCTCACGTTCACGCTTCTGTATAAATCGACGCTCTGCAACCTGTCGCATTTCGTCAACGGTCTTCGACTGCCTTGCAATCGGCTGCGGCTTCTTTGGGAAGAAGGAAAAAATAGGAGATGGAGGTCCTGCTTCCGGTTCCGTCACCAATTCCAACTCAGACTCAGACTCAGACTCAGACTCGAGCGGTTCTTCGTGCTTCCACCGTCCACTAGCGGACTGGTTCCATTTACTGTTCCAGATGCCTTGCTCGACCCAGCGCTTCGTGACGTTTTTACGAGCGATTTTATCGGGGTCGTCGATACCACCGCGTAGGGGGTATGTTCGATTCAGATTTCCATGTATGATCCGCCATTTCTCGTCCCTGACCTGATGTATGAATTGACGGTCTGGTTCTGAGGCGCTATGCTCCATTCCGAGCTTAAATCGTCGCTCCTGGCAATCTTCCTCACTGGGAGAAACTGGACTGGGAGATCGGGTTCGTCGCGTCCGGTGATTGTGCTCACCAGGAGAAACTAGACTGGGGGATCGGGTCGGCGCACCGGATGGATTCGAAGTATATGTTGGTGGAGAATGACTAAATCGCTGTCTTTCGCGATCAAGTCGCAGTGGATCTCCCTGTAATCCCAATAAAGCTCTCTGAACCCTAACCAAACCATCCCCTTGAATAGAATCAGCCATGATTAGTTATTGTCTTACAGTAGATGTGAGATGATCGTGATGTGGAGAGAAGAGCGAGAGAATTGATGGAAGTTTTCAAAGAAACTGTGGTGGAGAGGAGATTGCTGTTGTTTATTCTAGGATGTGAAGTTACCCAATGGATCACATGACCCAGATCATTGGCTCTCCCATAATCAATAATCTCTATATGGGACAAGGATTCAAAATGATTGGTATCAGATTCGAATCATAAGGCTTATGCCTAAAACTGTTAATACACGGTAACTTTGTGCTCCTTTCCTTTATCACCTTAAACTTTATTTTTATTTCATGTCATTGCTTGAGCCATGGCTCGTCCTTGTCCTCATCCTCTTGCCTTGTTCTCCCTTTACCCCTACAAGGGAAACGTGCGAGCCGAACGTATCATTTCTCATCCAGACAATAGCCACACTCTCTCAACATTATCCAATGGTAAACTAGCTCTTGACATTGATTTCCATTTGCACAGAAAATCGAACAAAACTCTTGCAACCCTAGGACGAGGTGATAATGTCGATATCTATGTGGAAGGAGCGTATATTTCACAGCGCCAATGCTCGTTCGAGTTAGACTCAGATACTGGTGTTGTAATGCTTTACGACAGATCATCTACTCGATCAATACAAGTCTTTGGTAGAACTGCCGAAGATGTCATGCCCTTTGAGTGTGAACGCGAAGATCGTAAAGTCCTCGTGTAGCAGGAACTCAACACTATTGTTGGAATGGGTGGTGAACGTCGAGACCTTGTTCAATTCGAATTGATATGGCATCAAAGTCCTGAAGGAACGGTGAAGACAATCAACCATTACAGTTCCATGCCCTGTGGTCAAGTCGAGAACCCACGCCTTGCTCGAACTGTAGACTATGCACCAACTGAGTTCCCATCTCGTTACGAAACGAGAACCCACACGCCAGGACAGCTGAAGATGAGATATGTGATAGTGGGAACTAGGCTTGGATCTGGACAGTTTGGAACTGTATACAAAGCCATCAACGTGGACTCAGGGAAGTTCATGGCCGTCAAGATAATTGAGCGACCTACGAGAGATCCAACGAAAGAAGATCGGATACGATCATTCAATCATGCTTTAAAGCTTGAAGTCGAGATTCTTTCTGCAATAAGCCATGTAAGCAAGCCTTCTTCAAACTCTTCTATACCTAAAACTGATATCTATGTTAGCCACACATCATCGACTATATCGGGTCACAAGGCTGGAGCAATCCATGGGCGGAGATATTTATGGGTCTGAAAGAAGGGTCCTTGGAATCCTTGATCAAGATCGGAACCCCTATTTCTGCCGTTGCAGAATCCGTCCTCCTGCAAATGCTACAGGCGCTTGACTATATTACATGTAAGGGCATTGTTCATCGAGATATGAAACCAGAGAATATTCTCTACATATTGCAGCCGAGCGGCAGATATGAATTCCAGCTAGGAGATTTTGGTCTCTGCAATCGCATTGTTGATACCACAACATTCGCCGGTAGCTGCCTTTACATGGCCCGGAGATGTTTCAGGGAGGTGATCAGACAGACAAAATAGATGTATGGTCACTCTTTGTCACGATACTATGGGTATTGAATGCGGAGAATTTTCGTCAGAAATCTGATCAATTTAAGCACAATGTTGCTGTTAAGGAGGCAGTTCTGTGGATAGTCGCTAACGTGGATTTGGTTGGAAATTTCCGGGAAATGGCAATCCTTCAACCAATAGAACGTGCTTCTGCAGCACAGTTGCTTCTGAAGCTTTTCAATGGAACAGGACTTAGCACTCCACGAAATCAGGTTCTAGCTCTTACCAGCAGCCTTTCTCCTGCCCTTACAACTCAGGCTTCATAAACAATGCCTTTCGCCCAAATTCACAACCTTGAAGACAAATTCTTATGCTGATAGGACGGTAGAGTAACTGGGATTAATTTTCGATAGTTTCATTATCAGAATCCCTAAGGTAGCAAAACATACGTATCGACGGTATTATACGTATTATATGACTTTTGGTAAGCAATACACTCGTATATATAATTAATAGATAAAAAAACTATTAGCTTCAAACTAATAAAAATTTCCTAAAAAATTTTCTAACTATTTTAATTTAATTTATTTAATTCTTTTTATTTAAATCAGAATAATTTTTCCTAAATTATATATCAACTCTTTTTTTCTTATTATTTCATATTAAAAGTTATATCTGTTTGTTATATTATAGATTATTTGAAAAAAATATATGTACATCTTTTTTTTATAAAAAAAAGATAGAAAATTTTTAAAATTCTTAAAAGTAAAACTTTAGGAATAAAATTTCTGAATCTTAGAGTAAGTATCCATCATCCCCCATACCACCCATAATCCCTATATAACCCACAAACAACACTCATGCTCTGAGTAGAAAGTACAAACCAAATGAAAAGATTTTCGATTCGAATTCGAAAGTACCGGTACGTACAGTACTATATAGGAATCTAACTTAAAGAATCTTCATATTAAATTTCCACCTATACTTACGAGTACTCATCTGCCTCAACTCACAGTACAATAGAAAGAAAGTTTTCTGCGGCGAGGTTTCAAGTTATTACATTATAGTACGAGTAGATCCAGGATACCTACTACCTACCTACCTAGTTATTTCTAGGGGAGCGAGAAGGGTGGATGGATGGATGGATTGGATATACGCATATATGATCGATATTGTGATTTAATTTGAAAAGTTTGAGTAATTGCAAAAATGTTTGGTTACTTTCTATCTTGAAGGGTTTAGGAGTTAGATACAGTTTATACCACTAACGTTGGCCTCTTTTTTGCTTATGTATGGAAGAGGTATAGAATGGATTTTGTTCATAGAGTATCTTGTATTCTACTTTAGATATGCTATCACGAAGTAATGTATCACCGCAGTGCTGTCCTCTATCGAATAATACAGCTGCTAGTACCGCACATCTAACCCTGGTGTTGTGACGACCAATATTCATCCGCGGGATGAACAGGTGAGAACAAATCAAATTCATCACAACTTAATCCCGAGTCTATCGACCCTTGCCCCAGCACTTTCACAAAGCACCCTACCACGTCTCCTGTATATATCTCTTCAATCTCTCCATATTCACCACAAAAGCCTCCGCCTCTCTCTCACTCATCTCCCCATGAACCTGCAACACTGTCACAAAAGCCGCTCTCACCCCCTTTGGCATCCCCCCCGAGCTACCACACACGTAAACCAAGGCATTATTCTTCAACAATTCATAAATCTCCTGTCCTTGTTTCTTAATCTCATCCTGCACATACACTTTTTGGGGGTCATCCCTCGAGAAGACCGGAGTTGCGGTAACTCTCAGAACGGGTTCCTCCCATTCATTACCATAGAAGAAATCCGCTCTGCGATTACGACCACCGTATATAAGGTGAGCCGGGGCAAATCTTGATTTTTCTTCTTTTTGGCTTTGCACTCTTTGCTTGGCGCGCTCCCAGAGTAACGATCGGAGAGGTGCAATTCCCGTGCCCGCACCGATCAAAATAAGAGGGAATTGTGGTAGTATCCTAGGTCTTTCGTAGAAAGAATTATTCAAATTATGTTTGATGGTGATTTTGGAACCTTTGGCAATGGAGGCTAGATAGCGGGAACAGAGACCGTTGCGAACCTTGTGGAGAACGGTGCGGTATTTGACAATGGCGACCAGGATTTGAATGTAGTGATATTTGAGACTTTTCTCTATGGGATTGTGCATGTGGCCGCCTGAGCAGATGCTGAATTCGCGACCTCGGATCACAGGAAAAATGGTGGTGGCATATCTCCATGGAAGCTTGACGCTAGGGAAGTCTTGAAGAGCTTCAAGAATGCTACGGCGTGGGCGAGTAGTGTAATCGTAGAACTCATCAGTAAAGAGAGGGTCTCGAAACTCGAGGAGGCGTTCCTTGTGCATTGGATCATCTGTATAATTTGCCATTATTTCGAAAAAGTAGCGCTTGGGAATGGCTTGAAAGTCGAGATTATGGGTCAATAACTCTCGAAGTGTTGTATCGTCGTCGATTGGATAGAGACCCATTTGTGTTGATACCAGATTCTTGGCCCCAAACCAATCTGGTGATCTTGCTTTTAAGTGTATCTTCAAATCCGCAACATCATTCCATCCCATCAGATCAATTAAGGTCTGGACATCTTGAGGAAAGTTCTTGGGATATATCGATATAGTATCTCCAGGAGTAAAACATGTGTCGCTTCTTGGTATCTTGATGGTCAGTTCGCGAACGTCCTGCCAGTGTTCGAGGGGAGTGACACGCTTATTGTTGCAAACCACCGCAACAATTGCAAGAGGAACATCTGGTAAAGCTGCAGTCTTGGGCAATACCTTATCAACACTTTCTGGTTCATCTTTACAGGAATCGGTCAATCGATGTGGTGGTCCTTCATATCCGAGGCCAGATATATCTGCCATTGTTGTTTTGTCTGAGGTTGAGGCTTGCTGAGATTGATCATTCATTTGATTGAGAGTGCCTTGATCAGTAAAATGAGTTGTAGATAAATTAAGAGGGTTTGAACCATCGACAGAAGAAGTAAGCTTGCTTTTCAATGAATCAAAATTTGTTTGATCAATTTCGCCGTTGTTTTCTAATGGTGAATTAAACTTCTCAGCAACCGTAGAAGATTCATCTTTTAACTCGAGCCAGTATTTCGGAGGCAGAAGAACACCATCGGGAATTTGTTCTACGTCATCTGGTAATGGATATAATTCGAGAAGTTTCTTTCTAAGGTCAATGTACCAAGATAGGAAAGTTCCATCAACGCTATTCAATGTTAGAAAGAAGGTGGTTTGAGAGTTTGAGAGTTGTGAAAGAGGAAAAGGGAAAGAAGAAACATAGAACACTTCCTGCCATAATGCAAGCAAAGAAGCAAAGAAGCTGCGATGGATGTATACAGAAAAGAAAACTTCATTATAAAATCCGATTTTACTTACCCTTCTTCATGTTGTTCATCGCCCTCACCTCGAGGATATATTTCATTCCCACCTAACTGTTCTAACCTTTTATGCAATTTACGAGCTGCAAAGTTAAACCTACGAGAGTATCAGCTTCAATCAGTGACTACCTTCCTTTCTACTTAACCTACTTTGCATATGAACTATCACCAAGACCAAAAGTGGTGAAATTCACGTGACTCAAATAATTGGGAGGCAAACGCTTCTTCAAGAGATTGTTCCAAAACTTCCTTGAATTCTTTGGAAATTCCCCTTGTCCCGTGGTGGATATGGTAAATATAACAAAATCATATTTTGATAATTCTCTCTGTTTGGTAACATTAAAATAAGCATATATATTAACAAATCCATGAGAAGAATGGAGACGGAACGGACTGAACTGGACTGGACTTACAATATCAATGAGATCCAATTCGCTCACCCTGGTCATGAAATGAAGTCTTTCTGCAATGCGACCCAACTCTTCGGCCACATCTTGAGAATTTCCAGTTTCACTTCCATACAGTATGAGGGCACTCCTATCATGTTGTTGACCGTTGGAAATTTCAGACATTTGGTAGAAAAGATTATCTGCTGGATGTTTGTGGCAATGGCAAAGAATAAATGTTCATTCTCATAATTATATTATTACCTAGGTATCTCTCTCATTGGACAATAGAGTATCAGTCGATAACAAAATGTATTTTTTTGCTTATCGAATCTCAAAGAAAGGTTCAAGCACGAGTCACGAGATGACTCATTCACCTAAAACTGTTAACCCCATGGATTGAAGAAAGTTATACGGTATTCAAGGTGAATTGTATTTGTATGATTTTATATCAATCTATTACTTATGTGATGCGAGGAGGAAACAAAGCCCTTGTTCGTCGAGAGCTCTTTCAGCGGTGAATGAATGCAAGCAATGGGGGGAACCTAGTAGTAAGAAGATGAGGCTGGTGAAGATATAAATTCTAGGTATTGTGATACCAATAATTACCTACTTAGGTAGTAATTATTTAAGTGGTGTGGTTCTAGAACCTAATATAATGTCATTATCAATATCCACTCATATTGAATACTCACTGATATACAGCAGCTAACAATAAATACAATAAACCCTTGATTCCCCCTTTCCTTTTCCAGATATCTTGCTTGATTCATTATGATATTAAGAATTATACCGACTATGAGTATTACAGTATCGGTATATTGAAGCCAAATCCATCAATCAATCTACCCCCCCCCCCTTTTACACTATATAGACTCTTCCTTGTCTATCTTGATATTTCCCCATTATTATTCTCCTTGTATCAGATCTCTCATTGTGTCACCCGTGCCACCTTATCAATTACTAGGTATCTAGATATCTAGATAGATGAATAAAAACTATATCTATAATTACTGTGATTCCCCTTTCCTAGCTATATATTGATTATATAGATATAGAGTGATTGTGAGTGAAACAATCATCAATCATCAATCATCATATATCAATCCATCAATCAATCCTTTTCCCTTTGATAATTTGATAACCATGACTCCTTCTCCCTTCTCCTTACCTTACCTCCTATCTACTAGGTAGCCATTTCCCCATGTTTAGAGATATTATCATATTATTATCTTAATTATTATCAGAATGTCCTCTCACTCACCATGGCACCTACCCAATTCCACTTTATCAATTATTTACCGTACTTTTTACCAATTTAGGTGGGTTTTTTGTAATTTTTAGTATAATATCTTCCTGTTATCTTTCTCTAATCGAACAAATCCCCCCGTTGGGCCGCTTCCCAGCCCTGTTCAGCCACCCACCTTAAACCAATAACGGCAAGTGCCACTCGCTAAAATGTGGCTACCCCCAGCGATCTAATGGAATTTGATATATTCTACCCACTGCGCAATCCCGACTTTCTTTCTCCCTTTCCTTCTGAACATCAACTTTAAGAATCCGATCAGTGTCTACAACAACCTCAACCTCAACCAACAACCCCAAACCAGACCACTAGGGCACCTAGCTACCCTTTTACAACTCCCCCAAATTTGTGTAGAGAGTATTAAATACACTCCCAGCAAACGTCGATTAGTTTTCAAATCAATTCAAGCTTCTATTCAGTCTCAACTACCACATCACCAAATCAATTCATCATCATGTCTAGCATCGTGGAGAAAGTTTCTGACGCCGTCAACGACGTTACTGCCGCTCTCAGCAACACAATCATCTCTGACCAGCCCGCCGAAACCACCACCACTACTGGTGAAAAGGCTGCCAACACCACCACCGACAAGGAAGCCGTGTTGGCCAGCGCTGCAGAGGGAAGAAGACTTTACATCGGTAACCTCGCATATGCGACCACCGAGGGGGAGTTGCAAGCCTTTTTCAAGGGATACTTAATGTAAGCATCACCTCTGTTCACTGTCATACGTCATCTTCGGTGTGGCCTTTATTTTCTATCGAAAAGTCATCTCTGGCCTCAAGTTCGCAGATTATAGGAAGTCACGAATATCCTTGCACCTTCCAGATATGGCCAGTCTTTACAACTTCTAGTACATAAGCTAATACATTCTCCACAGTGAATCCACCTCCATCCCCAAGAACCCACGTACTGACCGCCCAGTCGGATATGCTTTCGTCGACCTTTCTACCCCAACTGAGGCCGAGCGTGCTATCTCTGAGCTCTCTGGCAAGGAGATCCTTGAGCGCAAGGTCTCTGTCCAACTTGCTCGCAAGCCAGAGACAAATGACAAGACTGAGGGTGCTGCAAGCGGAGGAGAGGGTCAATCTGGTGGAGAAGGTGGACGCCGCAGACAATCTGGACGAGGACGTGGACGTGCCCGTGGTCGTGGAGGACGTCGTGGCAATGCTGTAAGTTCTTGCAGTCTCAGATCTTCTTTCATGACAGTCATTAACATGAACGTAGTCCCGCACTGATGAGAACGCTGCTGAGGCACCTGCTACCACTTCCGAGGTTCTACCTTTGACCGAAACCACAAACCAGGCTACTTCTGAGAACAAGGAGGCCAAGCCACAAACCACTCGTGCTCCCCGTGAGCGTCGAGAGCGTGGCCCTCCAGCTGATGGAATTCCTTCCAAGAACAAGGTCATGGTTGCCAATCTTCCATATGATCTCCATGAGGATAAGGTATGTTCGACTGTAGCTTTTTAGTTCAAATGGTTTGCTAACAGCCTTGAAGCTCAAGGAACTCTTCGCTATTTATGAGCCAACTTCTGCCAAGATCGCCCTTCGACCAATCCCCCGTTTCATGGTTAAGAAGCTTCAAGCCCGAGGTGAACCCCGCAAGGGTCGTGGCTTCGGTTTCGTTACTCTTGCTAGCGAAGAACAACAACAAAAGGCCGTTTCCGAAATGAACGGAAAGGAAATTGAGGGTCGTGAGATCGCCGTTAAGGTCGCTATCGACAGCCCAGACAAGACCGATGATGATGTCAACGCCAACGCTGCTAACGATGCCGCCGCCGAGACTGCCGCTGCTCCACCAACCGGTGACGAAACCACTACTGCTTAAGCAGTTAACGTTGTATGATGTAAATGAGGAGAGTTCTGCAGTGTGCAGGCTATAGACTTAATTTAATGCATTGCTATGCGTTGCTTTTGGACCATTGTCGGCGCTTTGTGGGAGCTCTCGGGGAGGAGAATGGATTTGTTCCCTTGATATACTCAATGGATCGGCCATCTCGACGATTTTCTTTTAGGTGGACATATGAATACTAACTCGGTGGAATTGTTGATGGCGTCTCAATAGATCTTTGGGCTTCTACGCCCTCTCTTTCTGACAGACTTTAACTTTTTCGTTCTCGAGTAGGGATTCATAGTTCTTCATGACTCATTTTCAAAAACTATGTCTTATTACATTTTGCTGGCATTCTCTGGGGTGTACACTAGATTTTTTCTGACGTGCTTCCATATGGGATGGATGGGCATGGAAAAGTTATTGATTAATGATTGACGACAAACCTATCATTATCAATGCTAATAAAGTGAACAATTTTACCAGCAGAATAATGATCTTTCAGTGGCTCAAATATGAGATACGTGTGTGATGTGATGTGATGTGACCCCCAATATTCCAGTACAAATTCCAGAAGAAATTAACTTTTACACCATGGAGAAAAGGCTGGCTCTCTTCTTATTTTATCCTCCTACCGATATACCAGTAACTTATCTACTCTTTTGGCCCCTTTTTCCTAATCCCAAGCTTCACAGAATCGTCGTCATTCAATATCGAATATTGATTGGTCTAGAATCTCTAGATTTACCTTAGCGTGGTTTGACCTCCATTGCGCAAACACCCCCAAATTTAGATATCCAATTCCCCTTTAAGACCCAGGATTACGTCACTAATAAGCTGGGCCTTAAAACGCAGAGGAGTGGGAGGTTTCATCGATGATAAGACTTTGAGAGTACAGAGAAATAAGACACGCATAATTAGCAATCGGACGAGCGACAACAGCGAGAATGACTACGAAGGCTATGTGGGAGGTTGACCCGGAGACAAGGTCAAAGGTATTCTATAATTTTCCCTGTTACCCATTGGCGCAGGCATTCGTTATTCCACTTCCAACGCAAGATATCATGCTAAACGTGTCTTGAATCCTAGCTCCTTGATATCTCCAAGACCAATAACAATGACCGATGTATCGATTGCGGTGCACCCTCTCCTCAATGGGCTTCCCCTAAATTCGGCGTTTTCATCTGCTTATCATGCGCCGGCGTTCACCGCGGATTGGGAGTACATATTAGTTTTGTGAGGAGTATCACAATGGATGCTTTTAAGGCACAAGAGATTGAGCGAATGAGGGAAGGGGGTAACAAAACTTGGAGGGATTTCTTCGATCAGGATGAAAGAAATGTTATGAGTGGTATTACGTAGGTAGACTAGCTTTGCGACAAGATTCTCGCTGCGAACATTGAGTAGTTGGCACAAAACTGACGGCTTTATAGTTGGGATGATGCAACGATTGCGGAACGATATTCTGATGAGGTCGGTGAGGAATATAAAGAGCGCCTCACTGCCAAAGTCGAGAAACAGGAATACGTACCAGGACCCAAAGCCCCCGTCACGAAGTCTACAGCTGCTGCTACGTCCATTTCAAACCACAGTTCTACCAACTCTCGGTCGCAAACTCCTCTTGGAGTACGAAATTCTAGCCCTTCTAATGGAAAATTAAAGGTTGACGATAGATACTTTGCTGGATTGGGGGCTGCGAACGCGAATCGATCAGCGGATCTACCACCTTCACAAGGAGGCAAATACGCAGGATTTGGAAGTCAACCAACCGAAAAAGAAGATAACAATGTGAAATTACCGGGCTTTGAAGATTTGCAAAGAGATCCTGTGGCGGCGCTGACGAAGGGCTTCGGATGGTTTACAACTACTGTAGGGAAGACGGCAAAGACTGTTAATGAGGGATATATACAACCTACAGCCGCAAAGGTATCTATCTCTTGAAGCACATGCACATATATGCCCCTTCATGTCAGCAAAATCGACATTAACTAACAACATCTCACAGATCGCCGAATCTGACGTAGCCAAGCAAGCCCAACTTACCGCCGCCCAAGTTGCGCGAAATGCGCAAACCGGGGCCAAGAGTGCCGCAGATGGATTCAATCGCTTTGTAGAAGGTAGCGGGAGTGGTCCTTCCAGGAATGTACCAATTGATGAGAGTAAGAAGGATTTCTGGGATAGTTTTGCGGATGTGGGAGCTAAGAGACAACATGCACCAAGTGCATCGATTGGGACGGCGGCTGTTAAGAGGAATGGAGGTGGTGGTGGGGTTGGGGCGAAGAAAGATGAAGACTGGGAAAAGTGGTGATTAGGGCTTGGAGAAGGGATGAGGTGACGAGATGAAAGGAGGTAGATGGATTGGATGGTTGAATTTATATACACATAGACTATATGGTCAAAACAGACGTCTAAGCGGCATATTCGAGAAGGTATTGAGGATCTACGCTACAAGAGTTTCCTAGTCGGTTATTTTTCTTCTCCTTTGTTCGAATTAATGATACTCGAGTACCAAATCTGCGAAAATTCCTAAGGGATAAATATGGGATAGGAAAAGAATAGAAACTTGTGAGGTAATATACTAACTGCATTCGTATTTTCGTCATTATACTGGTAGATCGGATTAGTGTTCTTTGTTACTCGTAGTACAATGTATAATGCAGAAATAGGAAGTACTCGAGTAGTATTACTTGAGTAGATTATTAAAATGTGTCATTTTCATTTTCATTTTCTTTTTTATTGGCAGGATATTCGTACTGGTAAGTAAATTCTTGCTAGAGGTTAGAGAATGAGTAGTATCAGTAGTATTGTATACTGTACTCGAGTACTGTACTCTGTATTCAGTCAATATTTGCATCATTTCGATCATAGTAGAAATTTGGAATAATTTTGAGTGCTTATTTTCCTTCATTGTCATTTTTATCATCATACCTACTATCTATTTCTCAAAAACACCTTCGAAATCAAAAATAATCTTTACTAATTTATATGTTGTTATGTTATCGTCATCGTCATCGTCATCGTTACATTTGGAGAATGATACGTCTGTCTGTCTTTAACTTAAAGTTCCTCAGGGGGGGGAGGGAAAGGGGGGGTTGTACCAGCTGCTGTGTAGGAGGAGGACGAGGGTGGTTTGGTTTTGAGGCAGGGGTGGGAGTTGGGGTTTGACATCTTGGGAGTGGGGTGGTGATGTGATGTGATGTCTATGTGGAGAAGGACTGTGATCTTGCGACGAGGAGTCGGTGCCGCGGGGTTTGTGAAGATTAAATTTTTGCCAGTGATTGAAAAGAACGGAGAGAAATGATGTAGTTATCAATGGGTTTTTATTTCATTGGCATATATACCACGTAGTTGGAGAATAAAATTGGTTTTCTGGGTATGAGGAGTTATTCATACAGTGAGTCGTGTTGGAAGTAGAATGTTGGAAACAATACGTTGGAATTCAACAACCGTTTTATATAATTTACGGATTGACTCCTTCTGAGAATACTGTACTGTGCTCACAGCTCATAGCTCATAGGCTTATTCTCTCTCATCAACTGCCAGTGAGGGTCTATACCGGTACATAATAAAGCATTTGCTAGAAATTCCACTCACTATTTTGAAAAATAAAAATAATAATGAGGAGATATGATTTACGCACGATTTACTAAGTGGATATGAATGTGAATATGAGTTGACAATTAGAATTGGAATATGATCGTTTGTGAGGGGCCGCCGGCGCGCGGCTGCGGCGATGGTAAAAGTATCAAAGTTTCTTAGATTTTCCTTCTCTATTGAATGATGTTTATTATATGAAATACTATTATATTTCCTTGATGTATATAACTATATGTTTTTACTAATAACACGTGATCTCGCTTCCATCAAGGGGGGTTTTGCTATTTTTTGTATTCATAACCCCCGAATCTAAATGAAGCATAACTATCAAATCACTCTACTATCGCCGGAATAGAATATTTCTCCGTCAAACACATCAAGACCTATAGGTTAAACGAGTAGATGGATATTGTGGAAATACAACGGCTGTTTTAACTTTCAGAATTCATCGGTCTTTGAGGTTTGATATACATGTACAGACGCAGAAGATGTTGATGTTAAAACGAAGTCTTCTTTTGAATAGAGATCAGATGTATTGAGTCTTGATTACTGCCCCATTCTCTCCCCCCAAAAGAAGAGCTCAAAGTAACCATTTCTGACTAAAGATGGTCTAACCATGATAGAATAATTATCCATCGACACTGTACGCCATTCTGGAACTAAGTTCCAAAATCCAGATATCGATCTTTGTAATACTCATTTACTCAGATTTGGTCCTGCTCATGGAGATTGAGATGGGTTTGAGTATTGGATAATGGATGATATGAGTAGGGAGGAATTGAACTGCAATTGAAAAGATGTGTAGATCTGGTATCTCAGACTCCGGAACTTCAATCCGATGGTTCATCCAAGAGAAGATATTCATATAGAATGCTTAAAGTCATTGTATTGCTAATGAAAGGAATATCAAAATAATAAATAAAAAGAATCTATAAAAGCCTGAGATGAGAAATTCATATAAGAAGATAATCTCGAAAAAATAACAAGAAAGCAAGAGATCATGATAGAAATGCTGAAATATAACAATAGTTCAGCTGAGAAACGTCACGTTTTATATACTCGAGTAACACGATTATTACTTTAATTCAAGTTCTCTCCAAGTTGAAAACTTGATATACTACTAGTATATAAAAGATTCGAACAGTTTCAAAATTTTATTCTAAAGTAAATATAAGATTACAATGATTATAAAAAGAGTAGAGCCCGAGTTAAAATCTAAATAACAAGCATTTAATATAGTATAAATATAGATATAAGTTCTAAAACTTAAAGGCACAAAAATTAAACACGGATAGCGTTAAGATTAGTGAGGCCGTTGCCATTCTCACTGCAGCCCCGAAAGAGCCAGACTTCAATTTAAAAGCTAAATCGAATTGAATCAAATCAAATCAAAACATACCCTAACCATCCCCATCCCTTCCCCTTCCCCATTTATCCTCATCCTCATCCCCATCTCCAACCTCATCCCCACAAACACAACCCCCAAAAAAACACACAAATTAATCTCCAAGTACGCAAGGCCTTCTTTCTACTTACCCGTCGTGCATAACATTAGTTACATTAGTTAAATCATGCTAAAAACGTAAAACGTAAAACATAAAACCTAATCTTATAACTTATAAGCTCACTTGCAAATTTTTAAATATACTACGAATATAGTCTATAGCTATCAACTTGTAAATAATTAACTACTAACTACTCGAGCTCGAGTAGATAGATATGTAAACTAGTTGAGAAGAGCTTACTCGAGTATACTCGTATTTATATCAGACAGAAATCGCAAATTGTTTCATTTTATCTCATTTCATTCCATCACATCTCATCTCAATTCAATTCAATACAAATTCAAAAATTAATTGTGAATTGAAAAGACTACCAGTTATCAATACAACGCAAGCAAATAAGCCAAACAACAAACCCCCTCCCCTCCTCAAAACTCCGGCCCCTCCTCCTCCTCCTCATCCTCCCTTCCCATCATCGACCACCGACTAAGCGCATGAATTTCCGCCGGCCACCTATTAACCAAAATCCTCGCCGATCTCTCCTCTTTCGAAACGCCTATCTCATAAACACCCGTCACATCCTCTCTATCCAAATTCGACCTCTGCCTTATACAATACTCATTTGTTTTAAACTTTTTCATACCCAGCACTAATACATCTACTACTGGGGGTATCCAGTTAGGATCTATTGTAACTCTGTATGCTTCTAGGGATTTCTTGACTTGAGATGTGATGACTGAGGGTTTGGTATTTAGGAGTTGTTGGACGGGGATGTCGAGGGGTGAGTAGTAGATGATGCTGGTGTTTGGGAGGCCGACCCATTGGTCGTAGGGTTCGATGAGGAGAGTGAGGGATTTGAGGGAGGGGAATTGGTGCAGCCAGTCTAGGAGCCAGCAGGCTGGTAGTGGTTCTAGATAGAGACCTTGTGCTAGCCATACATTAAGCGGAAATGCAACGTGCTGTACTACAGGCATTATGCCACCATTTCTATGAGACGATGGAACGTTGTCTTTAAACAGATGTTGTTCCAGTATGCCGTTTGTCCAAGATGCAGATGGAGGGAAGTAGACGGTATCGGTATTTGGATTCCAATAGAAGTCCGACTCTTCTGTATCTGGTCCAAGCCCATTTCGACAAATGCTCAATGCTAATTGTCGGGCTTCTAAGTTGACATGAAAGATGGTGGGAATGGCGGAAAAGTTTCCCAGGAGAGACACTCGTGAATCGTCATATGCGTCAACTTTGACTCTGAGTGTTCGACCATTTGGAAGAGCGTATTTCCAGATGTGTAGGCGAAGCTCTGGTGGTAAATTGTGAAATTGTGGAAAAAGAGGCTCTTCGTCCAAAGCAATGACTTTGGGTACATTGGCAACTGACATTTTTGCAAATACGTTCCCGGAACTCTCTTGATTAGTCTTCGGTGGAGAAAGGGGTTTTCAATAACAAAATGAAAAGAACGTAGAAAGTAGTATCAACCTTATTCTATTGAATGTGGCTTGAAGATTACCTGATTTGATGAGGATATAAAGGCTTAAGAAGAACATGAACAGTGGCTTTGTAGGATTTTACGCGCGCGATATGGTCATGACCTGTTGGACGCGGTCGACAATCCCTCAACATCTAGGACAGCCGCGGTCACATGAATGGAAGACATTTCTTCTCTAGAATGATACAAAATGGAGAGAATAAGCGCAAGCACCTCCCATTAAATATTCAAGGTAGCTGACATGACCAGACTTAGAAAAATCGACCATAGTAAAAAGAATTGTACTTTTGAGATTGAGCCACGGCCATAAGAAAATGTCCTTCAGGCCGCGCAACCTCTCACGTAGAATTTTTTGGGATGAGATACTTGATATCACAAGATGTAGGTAGTTGTATTGACCTACAATTTCTTTTAATTTGGCGCTTTGAGATATGAGGTCTGGGCCAAAAACGGGGAGATGGCCGACAACGTAGAGACTACCAGACGTTATCGCGCAGTATCTAGAAATCGCATAGACAGGATGCACATACTTGAGTACATGCATACTTTTACAATACAATTGAAGAGAAGGAAGGTAAGATAGAATATTAGCAAAATAAAAAAATAAAAAAGATTCATAACCCATAAAAATAAAGAATAGTCTACTCGAGTATATTCCTACAAATACGACTCAAAGCATTTTGTTTTTGTATTGCAAGACATAAAAAAAATAAAATAGGATACTTATCCGACATACTGGCCCACCCACCCGCTGCAATAAAGATTTTGTACAGGAAACAAATGCACATGCTTGCTCCTCTCTATGCTCCATGCACCTAGAACACGAACACCCCAAAAATAGCATAATCGTGATCAACGGCACATTCGCAATTTTCGAAACAGTCCGTCTCTCCGATACATTTCTCAACCCCATGTCGTTTTCTCTCTTCTCTTTTCTCGTCGTTGTATCGTATCTGCGGGGTTGAATTTATACTCCGTGTTATTGATGGTTGGATGGGTTGCGTGAACTCATCATGTGAGGTGAGATCGTACAGAACTTATCCCCCACCTTTGAGTGATGTTGAAATGGTAAATCTGGGTGGTCATTGGTAGGATATGAGGAGAAGAGGAGAAGAGAGGCTGGTTATTGCATGGGGGGGGGGGTTTGGTGATACGGACATCTGATTCTCATACGAGAGTAACTACTCGAGTAGATTTGTGCAGATGGGTAGGTATTGCATATTTGTCTAAGCTTCTTACATGGATATTTACTATCATATGATAGGATAGGTGTAGTAGAAGATATGAAGAAGAAGTTCGTAAGCATAGTACTGGTACGGGCCATTGAATTTGTTCATCGAATGATATTTCGAATTTGGTTAGTGAGAGGGATGGATGAATGGGTTCGTATATGAGTGGTTTGTAACAACTTCGGAATAATGGTTTGGCTGTGATTACCGTATGTCTAGAATCCGAGATACTTACTTATCTACATAAAAAATATCAAATTGTTCTGTCTGTGATAAGTTCATGGGAATCATCACAATCACAGCTTGAACTTTGAAGTGGATCGAGGAAAATTATCATCGGCAACACTCGCAGGTACTAAGGTAGGTACATCGATGACGACTAAAAAGTTTCATCTACTTGAGTCTTGTATAAGTGGATAAATGTTCAAAAGTTCCAAATTCCAAGAGGCTCTGTTTTGGTAAAATCCGTAATTTTCTTCGAGATGATAATAATACTTCATATTCTTGATGATGATCTTTTTATCCTGGTTCATTTCTAATCCTTGGAGATTGTATATTATTATCGCTTAGAGTGTAGAGTGGATTTAGTAGTGCAGCTAGTCCTAAGGTACTGACATAGGTACTGTACTGTACCTAGTTGGTTAATGGCTCGGGTCTTGATAGTGGCTCAGCTAGTTAGTTAATTCTTCATTTACCTAGGTAGGTCCTAGATAGTAGGTACTAATTGAAATGGAAGTGACGGCATAGTGGAATAACCAGAGGTCGGTGGGTTGGACAGTGAAATGATAAATAAGGGAAAGGAAAAATTGAGAGTTGTGGTCTCGGTGTTTCTCGGGTGTTTGAAATGAAAGATTTCGTTTCTTCAGCTATACAAGGGGTGGTCTTGATGTATTGTAATGCAATACAACAGGCATATCTTGTGCTCAATGAAGTTATTGATGGTTGAACGAAATTGATGTCAAAGATATGCTTGATATGTGCAAGGTAAATAAATGGTTGCGGATGGGTTATGGCTAATGGATTGACAGGACGGGAACGGGAAAGGGTAGATAGATAGTATAGATCATAAGTAGTCTAGGAGAGCTGGGATAAGAAGATGTAATGAATGCTGCTTTTACATTGGTTATTTATTCGATACAAGTAGCACTTACAGTAATAAATATGAAAACGGGAACTTGGAAAATAACATTCACAGAGAGATACAAGTACAACGTAATTTTGGTTTTGAATTCATAAGAAAGAGTACAAGAATATGAATAATGCCAGTGATAGAGAGGATCTTAAGCAAACTTCTTTTCTCATTCCAACCTGTATTACTTACCAGGTACATAAGCCGGCGATGTATAGAAGATAGTTGAATTGATCAATTAGGAATTGGAATCATGCCCAGTGACTACTTTCCAAGAAACGTTTCCAAACGGTTTATATCTAGGCAAGTCAAAGCTGCCGGTTGATCTTCTTCATGTCCGATACGAGTGCCACATACGTAAACCAAGAAAACGACAAGATGGGTTGTTATACGATGAATGGGATGATATGCTGATAAGAGATCCAAACAGATGATTTCATCTCATTCGCTCCCCTTCAACTCCTCCAAGGCTTCACTTTCATAATTCATTACTTCTGAAAATCATCTATCTTGTCGACTGACTCTTAGATCCTGAATTTCAAGACATCTTGAAGGAGATGATATACTGTAATCTCATACCTCATCTCAAATTCAACTCTAATTGAAACTATTGTAAAGCTAATTCAGCCTCATAACACTTTTATATCTATAGATCTTGGAAATACTCAAGACTTGTTATACATATTCAGTGTAGTTAGTGTATAATGATTCCACTGATTCATTCCAAGGCAAAAAGTTAAAATGAAATACGGACCGTCCATAATTCATTTAACGGACGGGACGAGCCATCAATTATAATAAAGTTTTGCCGAAAAGAGTAAAATAGTGATAAACTGACCAATGATATATAAGATTGAACCACGTTCAATACTAGACTAAACTTAGAATGGTCATTTCACTATACCTAAAAGGATTATTTATCTCTTGCCGCTTTCATTTCATAATTTGTAACACGACTAGAAAAGCACTTATTTTATACTTATTCGATAATTATTATTTCCTATCTCTTATTTTCCCTATCTCTCTTTCTCTCTTTCTCTCTTTCCATACCCATCGTTTCTCCTCCTCCTCCTCCTCCCCTCCTCCTTCGTCCACTTACTTCCTGTAAACTCCACATTAAATTCAATTTCCTACTTCTTCATTTTTTTTCCTTTTTTGTCCGGTTCATCTCTCTTCTCACCTCTTCCCTCTTGTCTTCCCTCGTGTTCATCTCGAACCTCAACTTTACATTCGTTCTTATTACAAGTACTTTCAGTTTTTCAAAAAGAGGGCAGGACTTTCCAATCACTTAGTAATTCTAAACAGAGTGAAATGGCTGTTGTTGTCATCATTAGATGACGGATTGGATTGATTGATTAACTGGTTGATTGATCGAATTCATTCAATGAGATACCTTGATTGATATCTCATAACTTCAAACCCGTTCGTTTGCAATTCCGCATTCCACCCTTCCCCAACATTCCGTTAACGGTTGTCCAGCAACGACTAAGACATATATGCTCATCGATACCATACGATCTTGAATAAAACACTTAAAGTCGAGACGGAGATACTTGCTCCTCAAAAGTAACCACCATGTTTCACTCACTGCGAGATGTGTATCGATTTGGAGTCGCTGCGATATTCGTCTTCACCCTGATCGAACATGTCAACGGAGTTTCAATGGAATATTGTTCCAGCCTGAACACTGGTTCTGGCAGTGGAAGTAGGTCAACCTGGATGGATTAATTTGGGATATACCCATACTGATCTTTACTTCTTCACAGACTCCTCCATCTACCAATCCGATGGTCTATGCCACGATTTCTGCGTCGAAGATTATGCATTCGCTATTGTGCAAGGTCAATATTGCTGGTGTTCGAATTATGTGCCTGGAACTACAACCTCGACGAGCGATTGTAGTACCTCATGTCCGGGCTACCCAGATGATACGTGTGGTGGGGATGAGACATACGGATATATATCATTGACGCTATCTCCATCGGGGACGAAAGGAGCCACGGCGGCGGCTGCTTCGACTTCATCTGCGAAGGTTAGTACCAAGACACAATCTCTATCTTCCTCCCTCTTTCCTGTTTCCTGTTTCTTCAGTTTTGCCAGTGGTGTCAGCATCTTCATTGTTTTCAGCGTGCCTTCACTGGCAACCCATTTGACTTGTTTTCAATGTTAGGTAACTTCCTCGAGCTCGAGTCCTGATCCGGTGACAATTTATTCAACTGTTACCGAAGTCACGTCTTCTTCCTCCTCCGAATTACCCGTACGAGCCTTTCTTTGATTGCGAAGAGTTTTAGATTGTCATATATTTTGATATTTCTACTATGTAAAGTTCTCGAGCTAATTTTCCTAAACAGAAAACTACTACGTCAACGAGTACCTCGACCACACCTACTACTTCATCAACATCACAAACTACGGTGGTCGCTCAAAAATCTCCTACATCTGCCTCGACGATGCCTACATGGACACCAACTCCAGTCATATCCTTGGAAACTATCACCGGACAAGTGCGTACTGTTACCGTTACACCAACCGCACCACCAAACGAATCAAGCACGTCGTCGGTTTCGAAAAGCACTGCTGCAAGCGGGTTGACCACGGGAGGTGCTGTGGGTCTCACGATTGGTCTGGTGGCCTTGATTGCAATTATTGCCGGCATTACATACTTCTGTATAAGAAAGAGAAGACAAGAAAAGGCTGAAGAATATGCTGCGGTCAACAGTCGAAGGGAAAGCTTAGCTGGTGTGGGTGGACCAATTCCATCGAGAACCATGAGCGAGAATTCACGATATGTTCTCGGCACAGATGGGAGACGTGTCGTGGAAACTTGGGAACCCGAACTACACACGCCCGGATCGAGAAAGAGTCAATTGATGCCTGTGGATCCAAGACTAGATCCTTTCGCTGCCGTCTATCAACGCGGAGATAATAAAAGTCGGGAGAGCTTCAATACCATACGAGATGACCACGACTATTCCAGACGTGTCCATCCACAAGGACCGATACTTCGAGCTGTCAACCCTGATCCCGATTAACAATGAATGCCATACTTTCTTTTCTCGGCGGACACGATATTATGACCCTTCTATTTCCCCTTTAAGATCATACAGGATTTGAACGTTTTTACCGCGATTTAGGTGAACGTTGGAGTTTTCAGCGAAACATCTCGGATAATACCCTTCCCAAATAAACTGGAGGTTAATTGAAAGATCGGGGCTCACATTGCGAAACTCTTACACCAGAATATCATATTCAGCGCTTACCAATTAGAGGATGGTCACGGCCATATGGCTACCTTTCCTTGGCGTGAGAATATTCGACAATCCTTTTTTTACTTTTCAAACTGTATTCATAGAATTCACACGCATACGCGGTTGCCTTGTTCCAATTTGGATGAGATGCTCAAAATGAGATATCCTCGATTCTTTTGGACTCGTCATTGAGATGCACATACGTGCCAGCTGGAGGATGAAGGAAAAAGGGCAAAAAGCAAAGGGTGGATTGTACATACATTGGGATTGAGAATTAATTCATCTCGGCAATACTTCTTTCTGGCTTGTCAGTTGGTTGCTGGAATCGGTGTAGATGGATAGGAATAAGGTTCCTGGGAAATCCAGCGAAACATGGACATACAGTACTAAATATTAAGAATTAACTCGTTTTTGACTGGGTCTTTCGAAGTGGATTATGTTTTGTGATTTGTGAATGAGTTTGTGATTTGTGAATGAGTTTGTTGTAAAGTTCTCCAATGATAATGGGGCCAGCCGACAATTCTTCTTGGTCATTGATTATGGGAAATCCGACCTAATTCACATTCAAAAGTATGTCTATAGTCTCCACTCTTATCAATTCTGATAGGGAAAGCCGATACCTCAGACTCAGACATGCTTTGTATGATTCTATCATAACTGCATGAATGAATGAGTTTGATCTTACTCTATGAGGATGAAGTGATGTCCAACAAGTAACGACACAGCTACAGTAGTATCAGCAAGCTTCTTTGGATTACTGTGGTTGGCTTTACAGCACGCTTCTAAGCTAGTTAAAAAAAAACAACCAGTGGATGTTCTATTCAATAGGAACATAGTACCGCATTATATTCTTGGGGTCCCATTGAGCCTTGAGCTTTCTCAGTTTCTCCAATCTCCATTTATCCCACCCATAAACCGCCTGCAAAGACTCTTCACCATCGGCATAGTTGACGTAGGCGTGGAGGTGTTCTGGATCCTCACTTCCATCCTGCAGGTATTTCCGTAGCTTTTGGCCAAACTCCTGCGCGATCGGATCAGTGATTGAGTTAGGCGTGTACATGACATGATATACGAGGTGACCAAAATATTATGGTCTCGGTGTGGGAAAGCTGTGCTTGCTTGGTCGATGGCTTTCACGGCTTGGGTCGAGTATCCCTCGAGCAAGAAAAAGGAGCCGGTAACCTCGGACCTTACTGAATGTCTCGTTGATCTCATTGTATAAGTGCCTGACGGCGGATACATTGTATGATTTTAACCCGATAGCCGATAGGGTAACGGAGGGATGTCATTCTGTATGCACACCCCGGGCCGTCCTTGTCTTGAAAAGTGAGAACGGCAAGATCATGTATCGATCCCTCACCGCTCTGTATACTAACTTGAAAGGGCCCAATATCGTGGAACGGTTTTGCATACTCATTGGCTATCTCGGGGGGGGGAGGGGCGGGGGGGGCATTATAGATGATGCCGAACCAGAGGACGGGCTTCCACATCATTAGCTTTTATAAGTACGTAAGAAGATTACACCAGGGGAATAACTGACATGATCAGGATCAATCTCTGCGACCTTTATAATATATCCCCAATGAACGAGCTCTGCCGGTTGATCTTTCCCAGCAATTTACTTGCCAAGTTGTAGAGAGCCTCGAGCTTGTCTCCCGCGTAGACGAAGATCTCGTAAGACCGACCACGACGGGGCTATATCATCATAAAGACGGTTATTCCCATTCGGTCACGAGAGCGAAATTATGTCCTGCGCCCCCATGATGGCCCAGAATAAGTCTGGGTTGGATTTCTCCGACATGGTGACGACTTCGCCATTTGAAAGCAGGAGGCGGGCCGAGATCACTTGATCTGCCATGAGTCCGTACTGACCCTGGAGCCAACCGTGGCCACCTCCCAAAGCCGGCGCAGAGAAGCCGACGCACTCACAGATTCCGGTCACTGATAGACTGGTTAGAGGCCAGACAGACAGTCTTCTCAAGCTTAGGTAATAGAAAACCCACCTGTTCGTTTTCCCAAATTCGTGAGTGTGCTAACGGTTTCACCCATAGTTGCACCCCCGCCAATAGTATGTAGCAGTCTTACCATCCTCGGATAGCGTAATCTAGTTCAGAGAACGAAGGTCGATTTGAATGGCGTTTTTTTGCCTAGCCGAGAGCAGAGCCGCGGTGGCGCCGTGACCTCCGGCTCTGGCAATAAATGGGATGTGATATGATGCTTATTGGCATATTGCACCTTGGATCTATATAAGTACTCGAGTAGGTAGGTAAACTACACCATGGATAGACTCATAGCGGACAGAATGCACATTTACAACAGTGTTTTCTGAACGTCGGATTCATGGGCAACCTGGACGTCACAACCGTCACGTGGGGCGCTTCGTACTCTCTCTCTCTCTCTCTCTCTCTCTCTCTCTCCATCTAGCTACGAGACGAGACGAGACTGGTAAACTTGGAATGAATAGGGAGAACAATGCAATGGATGCTTTAGAAGATAGCAGGGGGGCCGAGATTAGCTAGGATTTCTTCGCTGGCGGATGGACATGTTGTAATACAATTTGTTTGGTGTGGATGGAGAGAAGAGAGGAGCCAGGCAGGCAGATTGGAAGATAAGCGATGATGGAGATGGGAAGAAACAAAGAGCTTGTTTGATTAAAACTCGCAGATGAAGTTGTAAATTCGCGATGTTGGGGTACTGTAGCACAGTGCTGATGCAGAGTTCAAATGGCTGATAGGAGGGAGGGGAGGTCTGTACTTGAAGGAAGGAGGAGGATATAATCTTACCGTACTTGTATATTGTGGCAAGGAGAGTGCTGGCATGGTAAACCCGAATACTCATGACGCGTACTTTGGTGAATGTAGAAATACACACTTGTGCCTTCAATAGAGTGCCTCACTGGTGGGTTTTCTGAAGATCTATCAATATACAAACAAATGCATCGAATAGTACAGCAAGATCTATCCAAGTCATACCGGTACATCATATTTCAAAATATCCATATTCTCTACCATCTCGCTTCATTCACATCACTTATACATCCTATCCTTAAACCCCGCAATAACCTCCACGGTCCTCGTCCCCGACCCATCTTCCGCATCCTTATACAACTCCCTCGCCACATCGGGATTCAACTGCAACCTCTGTTTCGCCCTCACCCACTCCTCCATCGTAACCTCCTTCTCAAAACTCGGCTTCACCCCCGCCCTCTCCAGCACCGGCGAATTCAAAATCGGTTTCAGCACCGTATCATTATGCGGACGCGCAAAATACAAAAGTCCCGTGCGTTCATAATCCCATTGATCCTTAGGCGGCGCTACCACGCGATGGATCGATGATTTGAGCCAGCCGCCAGTGAGGTGCGATATGGTATCTGCGAGGTTCACGGTGATAGTACCCGGTTGCGCGGATGCGTAGGTCCAGGTTCCGTCGTCGCCTAGGATTTGAAGCCCGGCGACGGGTTGTCGGAAGAGCAGTGTCACGGTGCCGAGATCGGTGTGTCCGGTGGTTTGTCCATAGCCGCTCGCGGCGTGTTCTTCGGGTGTTCGGGTGTGGTAGATCATGTAGCGGAAGTGATCTTCGCTTTTCTTGTCGTAGGTGTGTTGTTTGACGAGATATTCTTCGTCGGGAAGTTGGAGAATGATGGCGAAGAGACGGAGGAGTGGAAGAACGATATTGGAATGGAGAGCTCGGGAGAAGACTTCAATTTCGGGGAGGTGGGCTTGGAGTAAAGGAGGTTGAGCATATTTTCCTTCGAAATCTTTTGTGAATTTGGGGATGTTGTAGATTTCGATGTTGTCTTTGACGTCTCCGATGTTTCGGTGACCGTTTCGTCTCCAGCCGTTGTAGTCAGCGTTTGCGTAGTCGACTTCATATTTGGCTTTCTCGTCCACGGGAAGAGTGAAGAAGTTTTTGGCAAGTGTAAATTGACGATCTACTTGATCTTGTGAGAGGCCAAAGTTCTTCACATAGAAGAAGCCAACATGATGAACGGCGTGTTCAAGTTGTTTGGCGAGACGCTCTTTTCCTCCTTCATTATTGAAGTCGGAGAGGTCAAGTGTCACGAGTTCGGCCCAAGGGAGATCCTCTTTGGTCTCTGGTGGATGTGTGTAGGTTGGAAGATTATTGAAGTCGTATTCTTGTGGATCTTCAAGAGGTTGGGCGACGCTTGGAACTGACGTCACGATTGTCTCGGTTATGGTAGTAGACATTTTGTGTAGAATATAGAATCAATGATGGCGGTGATCTCAGTGAACGGCTGAAGATATTACTGACTTTTAATCGAGTTATTAAGTACCGTTCAGATCTTTGCTTCCGGCATCTCGATACATCCATATGTATCGCTCAATTGTCGTTATTGGATGGCTCCAAATTCGTCATATGCTCCCCGCATGACACCATCACCAAAAACGAGCATTCAACCCCTACGAACCAACGATCACTTACGATAACTGCAGCAACTAATAGAGTAGTCTGCAGCTTTATCGTTCATGCTTATCAATCCATAGTCTAAAAAGGCTGCATTGGCCTGTTCATCTCTTGCTATCCTCCGACCCGGATATAAAATTGAGGGTAAGTGCGGGGATTTCTACTGAGGGGTTCTCAATGCAACAACGATAATATGTCCCATTGTCACGTCAATTGGACTAAGATACTAAATGAAAGTGGTGTATTTCAAGAGTGGGATAAGTGTTCACTCTCACAATACGCAATGAATGTCAGGACATGATGTGAATATGCAGTCTTTCACATTCAAGACTTATGAAGCCCCAGCATCAGATAAGCATGACACTCTCAATTGGAGCAAACATGAAATTTATCAGAAAGACGAATAAACTCTCCTTATGTCGCAATCTGATGTCCATCAAAATGCTACAAGGTCTAGATCCACAGATCTAAATGGTAATGGTGATTAAGAGTGGTGGGATATTCGGGAACAATACATATGTAAAAACCAATCGAACTCTTCTGCAGAATAAACTTGAGGTCAGTCACTGGGTGGTAGGAAGTGTCGTCATGTCCGAAATCAAAGAGAAGGGTCTTGAGTCGAGTATCTTGCCCACAGATGCGACCTCAACAGATAGTTCAACGTCCCCAATTTCGCACCAAGAAGCTGATATCGAAGCACCATTAAAGCCATGGGAGAAACTAGGATTCAGAGGCTCTGCTCGTCGCTTCTTGCGAACTGTTCAAGGATATGTTTGGGATGATCCAGATAAGCCCGCCATCGAAAAGCGTTTCCTTCTCAAGCTCGACTTCTTCCTCCTCTCCTACGGCTGTCTTGGTTATTTCTGCAAAAATCTGGATCAGGCTAATCTCAGCAATGCCTATGTTTCTGGCCTACAAGAAGCCATCAATATGCAAGGGAGTCAGCTAACATATATGGGAAATGTCTTTACAGCCGGTTATGTGATAAGTCAGCTCCCGGCTGTAATTCTCGTCACGCATGTTCGACCATCAATCTTGATTCCTACTCTTGAAGTCTTTTGGTCGGTCTTCACGTTTTGTAGCGCAACTGTTACCACCGTGCCACAGCTGTACGCGTTGAGGTTTCTGATCGGATTATGTGAAGGAGCTTTCTTTCCTTGTATCATTTATGTGATTGGTTCGTGGTATACAAAACAAGAGCGTGCAAAGCGCGTGACCTTGTTTTATTGCACAGCGACATTGGCCACTATGTTCAGTGGCTACCTGCAAGCAGCGGCATATGACAATTTGAGCGGGCATCTTGGCCATGCTGGATGGCAATGGCTGTTCATCATATGCGGTACCATTAGTCTTCCAGTGGGCGTCATTGGATATTTCTTCAATCCCGATTTTCCCGAAACTACTCGAGCCTTCTATCTCAGTAAGGTTGAAATAAAATTAGCTAAAGATCGACTTGTGCGTGATGGATACAACACTCTTGGATCATCGGCTTGGGATAGGAAGAAGATTCTTCGAATGATGGCACAATGGCAATTTTGGGTTTTACCTATTGGCTATTTCTTCATTCAAGCCAGTCTTCCATCTCAGCAGCCAGCATTTGCTTTGTGGCTGAAATCAAAAGGGGATTCTGTCTATGACAGAGATGTTCTTCCCACAGCCCAAGCTGGAATTGGTGTGATCGTCCAGGTTATAGCCGCCATGCTCTCTGATTCTAACCTCTTGCATGGAAAACGATGGCAACCAATTTTGATTATGCAACTCGGTACATTCTTCAGCGCCGTTGTGCTGGCAATCTGGACTGTGCCCATCAAGTTAAAATTCGTTGCATTCTATCTCGCATATTTCTCGGCCGGCGTACCCGGTCTTTGGTTTTCCTGGTACCCGGACCTCATGGCTCATGATCATGAAATGAGAGGGTTTCTGATCGCGACGAGTAACATGTTTGGATACATTATGCAAATCTGGTACTCAGATGCGGTGTGGAGAACTGCAGAAGCGCCCGACTTTCGTCCGGGCTGGATTGCTGCAGCAACCTTTGGAGTTGCAGTTGCTGTGACTGCATTGTTGACGAGATTTCTTGAAAGGAGAGATGAAAGCAAAGGAATTGGAGCTTTTGGCACTAGACCAAATGATTTGGAAAACTCGAGAGTTGCGGGCTCAACGGAAATGTCTCAATGAGAGTAAAGTAGATATATGTAACATAATTGAAGAAGCATACAACACGTCAACTTTGAGAAATATTAACCTATTCTGACCCTTCCGATGTTGTCAATGTATAACGAAATTTAAACCATGATCTATCAACCGCTGTGCCTTGTGCGAGTTGCCAGCCAGGTTTTTCTTTGCATGGTTCTTTAAGTAGATGTACTAATTTGGCGACTGATGGACTGATAAACCTCCTTCACTGTTAGATATGACTGTGACGAATTCATCGTATTCAGAGAAATAATAAGCCCAGGATGTGACTGGCTCATTTACAACATCATCGAGTCTGACGGACCGATATTTGATGGCTTTGACCAATTAAGGACTCTCATGGTATCTCCAACACACACCGCAGCTTCGACTTGGTTGCTTGTAAAAAAAACTCGTTACCAGAACAGACATGTATCGAGAAATCTTTAAAGGTATTCCTGATGAATGGTTATTTACACCTCTGCTGAGAAGACCTGAAAACATTCGAAATGTTTTGGACTTGTAGGCCAATTCTCTAGTTGTGAAGCCCATATTTCTTAGACGAAGGTTGAGATTGCCAGGACGAGTCGAAGCTGCAGGAAAATCGTGGGTCGAAGATTCAAAGTTGAGTTGTGAACATCAGCACATGCGTAGCGTACTCCATAGTTCGAAAAAGTCGACATTCTAGAGCTCAAAGCTGCTCCTTGATATGTACATAATTCAGAAGTAGAGGACCAAGTCGAAAACTAAGTTAAGAGCTCCGAGCAACAGCTCCATCCTCTTTTCAACCTTTGTGTTTTGGGCTCGAATGTAGGAAGTGAGTCTAAGTGCTTCGTCAAGCCAGATATTTTTCTTCCAGATTCTAGAGAAAATCAACATATCGTCTCCAACGGTAGCTGGCGGGTTCACTCAAGAAATGTAATCATCTTCTACAAGAAACCCAATATTGCCAAAACACAAATTTGGTTCTCCGAGCATTTCAGTTCCCCATACGTGACTCAGAGTAACGTGTTCACAATCTAGAGGTGCTCGGACCACTCGATTTTCATACACATCGACAACTTGAGTTACTTCAAGAAGAGCAAGACGAGCATGAAGTCTGCAGACTGCAGTCTTTTTCGTAACGTCTGGACTATTCGTCAATTTTATCCCAATTTAGCTGCTCTTCAAACATGCATCCAAGGAGTTCCAACGTTGATTTGGATATAGATGATAAAAGTTGCATATACAGTTGAAGATTTAACAAAGCATCAGGAGGATTAAAGTTTGATGGCCCCATTTTGTGAAGCTCGAAAAAGGGGTCAATATACCGCAATATTCAGACAATCAGAGTGTAGTTCGAACGAACGACTACCATTGAATAGTATTCAATATAGAAACGAAATCATGCATAACATCAGCTATCAGAAAACAATACACACAGATAGTTCTCGAAGCCTCAAGAAAATGAAAGCAAGCGAACTCACATCTAGCAAATTCTCTTTACCATTGAATAGTATTCAATTTACAACTGTGTTTTGCATAACATCTCCCATCAAAAAAGAATACACAGATAGTTTCCAAAGCACCAAGAAACTGAAAGAAAGCAAACTCACATCCAGCAAATTCCCTTCCGAGAAGTGAATACTTTCACCAATCCCACCGATCCATCCCACACCCCCCAAACAACACCTTCAGATCCCCTCCCAACCACATTTAAAAAGCAAAAGACTCAATAAACCATCAAATCAAATAGAAAGTAACAATTCAACGAAAGAATCAAAGAAAAAGCCAAAAAGAGTTCCATTTGCTTTGCTTGGTGGGGAATTCGAATCCCCGTTTCCTGCGCACTTTGAATATTATTTTCAATCTGGGAGGCAGACAGGTTAACCACTACCTCAACCAAGCATTCTACCACTGAACCACGAGAACTTTGATGCAAATTATTGATGTGAGAGAGTTATTACATTATATATTGGAGGGGAAGGAATGAATGAGTTTGGAATGTTGAGATGGGAAGGAGGTGTAAGGTAGATGATGGGATTGTGTTTGGGAAGGGTGAAGTGAATTGAAGGGATGTTTGATTGGTTTTGGTCACTTGACTGGTAGGTAGTTATAAGAGAAGTGGGTTTGAAGAGATAGGTAGGTATCTAAATAAGGAAATGAAGATGGGTTTTGCATTTGGTGATTTGATGAAATGTGTATATGAATTATGTGAATAGGAAGGTTGTTGTGTTTGTTGTTTGGGAAAGAGTGACTGACTGAGAAAATGAGGGGTAAATTTCCAATGTCCAATAATTCAATCTAGCGGGCACCTGACTTATGGCTCACCTTACCAACTATTTTCATTCTATTAAGAGAAATGGGCTGTTTTTCAACCTTTAAGCTTAAGTAGATATACCTAGGTATACTTTTTCTTTCCTGGGCTGAATTTTGGGAGTTCCTCTTGGGTCAGTAAATTTAACATACCATCGCTTATTTCAAAGACAAGATAAACTCGGCAAAGTAGTAGTCCAACCTCGAAGCATTCATATCCTAAAGCAAGCAGACCTAAAGACCCATTCCAAATATCTCGTCAATACCTAGTCTATCAATCCAATCTCGAGGTTGAATCAAAGCATTAAAGCAACACCCAACTCAAGTAATTTCTTAATCCCGTGTTCTTATCTGAAAGTTTATTAGCATGTTCTTCCCATTAACAGTGCAACTCAAACAAGTCTCCAGACTTCTTCACACCTACCTCAATATCAACAGATATAACCCACCGCACACCAGACCCAAAATCTCTAGCTCACACACCATAAATCCCGAAATGCACTCTACAAATACTTCTAAAAGCTCCCATCTCATATCCATACAAACATGTTCAGAATACTGTACACATCAAAAAGTAACCAAAGATCCAGTACAGCAATCCACACATCCCCACCACAGACTGGGACATCCATCCATCCATCAACCATCATCATCCAACCAACATCTCATTCTCATTCCCATTCCCGAAACCGACAACGACCTGACTCTAAAGCCATACCGGAATAATGAGATATCATATCATATCACATCACATCACATCACATCACCCTCCCTACTCTCCTCTCCTCTTCTCTCCTATCGCACCCAACAACATTCTATAACATTCTATAACATTCAATAAACTACACATATCATATTATATCATATCATATCATTTGAGATACAGATATACGTATCATAAGATATCGATAATAAGAAAGAGCCGTGTCTTCAACTCATGAATCTTCGTATAGCTCTCTTCAAGTAACTCATCAGTGAAGTTATTTATCAGACACCATATCATACCCTGCTACTTACTATGAAAGAAAATTGCATTTAATTCCTTTAACTAGCCGTTGGTCATATCCATAATCATGTCATGCTTTCATCACCATCATCCATAAATCCATCCGTATCTGTATTCAAGAATCATCCATGCCTCCTCTCCCACCAATCCCACCAATTCTACCATTCCCATCCAATCCACCCCTCCTCCCCCCCCTCCCCCTCCCCCATCTAAACCAAAACCTCCCTCCCCCTAAACCTCCCTAACCCTATCTTCAATCCTCCACAAACAAAGCCCCTCCAAAAACCTCCCCACATCCCCCCTCGTCCCCTGGCCCACCGCTTCCTGCATCTCAATCCCATACCTCGCCCTATATTCCCTCTTAACCTCCTCTAGATGCTTTCGATCCCAATGATATCTCACCAACCGACTAATCAACAATTCCGTGCGCAGCGGGTCTCGAGTTGAGAGCGTCAGTGCATGATGCACGAGAAGGGCGTCGCGGACCGGTTTATTGATGATGCCATTGAGGATGTGGGCTAGGAGTTCGCCCTGGAGAGTTATTGGTTTAGTAAAGATTGCAGAAAAAAAAAATTGAGGGAGACATACCACAAGATTAGTACTCTTCCTCAACATTTCCCTTGCGAAATTTCTCCCAAATTTCTCCTCGTACCCCCGAAGAACCTCCCTCATATGTGTATCACTCCTCGTACACACAATTTCAATCATTCGACTCTCGCCCCCCTTCTCACTCGACACGCACTTTTCCAATTGTCTAATATCCTCCCTCAACAATTCCCCATCGATTCTCCTACTTTCCTCCATTTTCTTCTCCTCCAGTACCAACAATATCGCTTTTTTGAACTTATCTTCTTTCAGTTCCTTTTCCATACATTGTCGGAGCGAATCCCGATACTTCTTATCACTAAACCCATCCTTGATGTTCTGAATTTCCCGATTCGACCGCCCCATCAAACTTTCAATCAGTAATTCCCGCCGAGATTTCTCCCCTTGATACCAGAAATTGGCCCAATAAGCCTCACTCTCCCATCGGCCCAAGGCAACCGCATAACACGCCTTCATCAAACTTGGATCTTCATCCTTCAAACGTAATTTAATATGCTTAGCAATATTGACCCCCTTCCTCTCATGGCCCGTCTTAACAATCTTCTTATACTCCGCGCGAAGATCAAGCATTTGTTCATGCGTAAGACCAGGAAGAATGGTAATGAGGGGATGAACATCCGGAGCACGATTTTCGCCTTTGAGTGCATCGCGGAGCATTTCGGCTTCATCTTTGGAGTCGTGGAAACGGGCGGTGCGACGGAAAGAACGATCTTCGCCCGAGGGAGATAGAGGCGAGAAAGTATCGGATATGTCGGAGTGTGATGTGACGACGAGCATTGGAGATGGCATGGGGGATATGGATTGATAGGTTCCCTTGTACGCTTCGAGGAGGGGAGATCCTGGGGCATTGGCTAGGCTGAGAGAGCCGGAGGGAGAATGACCACCGGGAGATAAGCTTAATGAACCATGAGATGCATGACCACCGGTGTTGATACTCAGTGTGTTGAGTCGATCGCCCAGTCTAGCGGGATTGGGTGAAGCATCGCGACGACGAGCGCCAGGGTCGACGGTAATGACTTGTTCGGCGACCAGTCGGGAGCTACTGCTTCGAGCCGATGAGCTTTCATGTCTATGATGACGAGGTGGTGAGGAATCTCTACGCCCATGAGGTCGAGGTGGAAGGGGAGGAGTTCTCTCCTCTGGATATTCCCCTCCTCCAATTGTCGTCTTCCGGGTGGTACTTGAATATGTGATCTTGTCACTCGACTGCGCATACTTGCGTTGCGACGTCTCGGCATATCTATTATGATCCTCATCTCTCTTACCATACCCCGAGCCTACCCAACCACCCCCCTCAACAGGACTAGCTGGTCTCCCATACCTTGCACCTGGTGGCCCTGGACTATGGAGGTCCGAAAACTGTGATCCCACCGGAGATTGAGCATAAGAATGATCATGACCCATACTCAAACCAGCCGAGACACCTCCATGATGTTTTCCCACGCCCGCCGAAACATTGAAACTCGCCGATCTCTGACGGCCATGCGTATCATTATGTTCGTGGTCGCGAGGTGAGGCGAGTCGGTCGCTGTACGCACTATATGTCGGAGTTTGAATATCCTTTTCGTACGCGGCACTTCGAGGAACCGCCGCGGGCGAAGGATCGCGAGATCCATACACATTGATCTTCGCTGGCGTACCAGGTTCATACCCCTCACCATATGCCAAACTGTCAAATTTGGCCGGTGTGTGCAATCTCTCATTATCTCTATCCCTCTCCGTATACCTCACCTCATCAATTTTCAGCGTGTCAGGTACTCCACCTCCACCTCCACCTACACCGCCATATCTCGAGGCACCGAATCCCGTCGCAGGATTCGGACTGGCATCCCGATATCTGTCAGTTCTGCCAGTGCGAGACTCCTCATATTCGTATTCTCTCATATCTCTTCTTTCTCCTATGTAATCGCCATCTTGATCGTAGCTTGGTGGTGTGAGTGCCTTCACCGTCTCTCGTTCATATCCAGATCTCGAACGCGATCTTTCCCGTCCGGGACTCTTACTCCTACCGGTCCGTTGTGAATCTCGGGGATCGAGCGACATTGTTTGGTTTAGTAAATTGTGTAAGAAGTCGCTGAAGGGTGTTAAGTTTGCGAGTCTGCGAATCGGCGATCTGTGTAATTGTCGTGTGCTTCGTAAACGTTGTCTTTCCCTGGCGTATATATCAAGCTTTACTGCTTTTACTTCTTAATTCACTCAATCTATAAGCTCAAGCTCAAGCTTCCTAATCCCGAGATAATGTTGAAGCTCTCTCTTCTGATCAAAAAGCGTATGTATATATATATCCTCTTTTTGTACTAATTGGTAAAACTTCAGACTCTTATTAGATTACCCAATTCCTTAAATCTTCAACCCTTCCCTCAACTCATTCATTCTCTTATCCAATATTTTCTCTTCACAAACCTAACCTCTCACACACCCCTCATAAAACCCTCTCATAAAACCTCGCCTCTAAACCCAATAGCATTTATTCGTTCTCACAACTCACAACACCGTGTACAAACCCCCCTCCCCAATCCATACAAATCCTACCTAACTACCAATTATTTTTCAGCTCTTCCCCGCTGTATCCCCCTCACCTTTCAAATTTCAATTCCCCATTCGTTGTCAGCATTTGCCGTAACGCATGCATGCATATACATATATAGGAATAATGCAGTGACTAATTTAAATCGTTGATTAACCTTTTTGTTCATCGCTGCTTCCGCGGCAAATTATTCGGGAATATTTGTTGTGAATAGGTTTCTAAATGCACCGTACTGTCCAGGCTTTATAATATGTGGTTCAGCGGTTTCAGCCTCTCTTCTAGTAGGGATACTTTGCTCGAGTTAGTGTCTATTTTTATATAAGAAAATTGATTATCACATATATCAAAAATTAGCAATCAACAAAAAGCTTGATACAAAATTGAAGAATTATTATTATTATTCGCTAGAGAGGCTAAACCCTTAGCTCTGGCAGTGCCTGAGTACAATTTTGGATATCCGCATATCACGCCATATTCTGTCCCAATCCAAGCTATGTAGCAAAACCCTATTGAACCTGATCAAAATGCGCAACCTCAGACCGTAACAAATTGTCCCATGGCGGGAACGCCGTCTACAAGAACATAAACAACATATGGTCCAGGAGGTGCCACATTGTTGTTTGGTGGTCGAGTAACAGTCAACTTCTGCTGTGTTGCACCAGCGACAAAGCCTGTGTTATCTAAATGCAGCATGCGATGACCCATGTGTACTGAATGAGTGACGAATCCACCGTGATACAATGTCACAGTCACTGCCTTCGCGCCAGCTGGGCAATTGAAGGTAACAGTGAGTGTGCTGCCGTCTGCTTTGAAGCTACCCGATGACAAGTTCACATTAGTAGGGCGCTTGTTTGCATTATCGCCTCGGAGATAAGGAGGAACATAATTCTCCACTCGGAACTCCGTAACATATGGATCGGCCGCATCAGGCTTGAGCTTTGGCATCTCAACAGGATTTGATCCAGCGACCATGAGTGTGCCATCAAGGAGGAGAAGGGCAACAGAGTGATAGAGACGTGGGATGGTTGAGGTGGCAAGAGTCGTGAATCTTTGACCCTTGGCCTTTGTGGGATCGTAAAGAAGAGCTCCCAAAGTTGGGTTTTTCGCAAGTCCAAAGCCTTGAGCACCCAAATCACCTCCATTGAGCCAGACGACCGTTCCATCTGGAAGTAAAGTTCCTTCAACCATACCACGACCTTGAGGCATAGAATCCAACTCCCATTTGGGGTCTGCGCTCAATGGCTGTATTCTTCCACAACTTGGTTCTGTTGGACTGGTGATATCTTGGTATGCACCACCACCGCAAATAACGATATCAGGGTTCCATTTGTTAGCGCTTGACAAAGGAAGCAAAACACTACCACCAGTATTGGGATATGTGCGATAGTCTCCTGCAAGCTCCGGCAACTCCTTGACGACAGTATTCGTACCAACATTGAAGATCTGGGAAGACTTTGAGACAAAGATGAACAAAGTTCCATCGTTGAGGAGATGGACGAAAGGGTACATGTAGTATGGCTGATTTTTCTCCAAAATTTCCAAGTCAATGTTCTTACCTTGTGAAACCGCGGTAGCACTCAAGATCTCGTATGTAGGATTGTTATTCGTGTTGACAGTTGGATCGAGGCCATTCTTACTTCCAGAAGCGACAAAGACGGTGCCATCAGGCATAGTTTGAGCAGTAGCATACCACCGAGCACTTGCAAGCTTGTTGCCGGGTTCACTCCAGTCTTTGCCAGTGAGACTAGCATCCGTGGAAGATCGCTCGAGGTATCGAATGGCGTCGAATCCATCACCAATTGTTGGATCAAGCCATGACAAAGGTGCATTACCTCCGAGAGAAACAACACGACCGTCTGCGAGAAAAGTACCTCCGGAACAGAATGCGTTTGTCTTGTAAGCTAGAGGGACTGAAACACCGTTACTCGTCGGGTCGTATTCCGAAGACATGGCGTAATATCCGTTTGGCAATTTCAACTGGGTGTAGTTCTCCAATTTGTCGAGAAACATGACACGGCCATTTTGCATCAGTGCCGCGTGCATAACTGGGACTCCAGATTGGCCAACGATGTTGAAGACGCCTCCCTCTGGAGCAGCAGGGGCAGGACTTGCGCCAGGGGCTGCAACCACTGGTGCATTCAAACAATCTCCAGATTGACATCCGGCACCGCAATGTGCACTGGTTTTTCCACTATCTTGCATTAGTTATGGGAGTTTTGCGAGTGATAATTCGGCTTACCAAAATCCGTACATGGAACAACAATTTCCATTTACCCAATTACCGCAAACAGTTCCACCATTAGAAACACCACATGATCCATCAGTAGTTACTGGTGCATTGCTGGCTGCTGCAGGTGTAAGTGTAGAAGTGACTGGAGCAATTACTGGTTCCTGTGTTGTGGACGTAGAGGCGGCACGTGTAGGGGCGGCTGTGGATGACGCGCCTCCACCTGTAGGATTTCCACCTGTGCATCCATTCTGGCAGCCATTCGCGACCAAGCAGTGACCACTGGTAGAGCCACAGTATCTGGAAAAATTGAAATCAGCACTTACTCAACATGATGAGAATCTTCGAGAAGAACAGAGCTCAAAACTAAAAACAACAAAAGCATGACTCACCCATAGGAAGAACAACAACCACCAAATGCGCCTTTAGCATCACAGGTAGCACCACCGAAAGCCTACAATCGTCAATACGTCATCATCACAAGAGAAAAATTTGTAGGGACTCACAGTGCCGCATCGACCATCAGACCGAGGCGCGGTACCGCTTGGAGTTGTAGAACTGCCACCGCTGCATCCAGATAAACACCCAGTTCCACAATGGCTACATGAATCAGCAAGATTCCAAGGATAACATCGATGCCTGGTATACTCACGCGTCATCATTTCCGCACCAGCCGTATGACTATTAATTATTTGAATCAGTTGTTGATCTTCCATCTTTATTATTGGCGACCTACCGAGCAACATGACCCTTTGTACACTGTACTCTTTGGGTCGCAAATCGTGTTGCCATTGGCAGGACCACAACTACCGTCTGTTGAATATACAGCTTGTCTGGGTTCAAGGGCTTTCTCTTTGACCGGGACTGGGTAATAACGGGATGGCATTGGGGTGTTTGGGACATAGCATCTGTTGGAACGATTAGTTAGCTGTGTAATTTTAATGCATGCTTCGTGATTGCTTACTCTCTAGTCCCATCGTCGGTACAGTTCTGACCTTCAAGACAGCCATAGTACAAATTCTTGCTGGTGATATCACAGCTTAATGGAACATGATTAAAGACGATGTTCGCGGAAACAGTGGCAATAAAGCCCAGAGATATCAGGGTAGCCTTCATGGCTCCTAAAGGTTACTTGAAGGAGTCAATATGATGTGCGTAAATCTCAATGTGTGAGTATATGGACAAGTAAATATTGGTATTTTAAAACAAGTTAGAAAGTAGAAAGGTAGAATGGGATATGGATCTTTGGAAGTATCGAGAAAGTAATATATGGCTCCCAGCCTCGTCGCAGAAGTGACTAAAGGCTGTGTATATCAACAAAACGGTATTTACCCCATTCACTGGGTAACCGCAATATCCTGCGCCGATTGGTGACACCAATGGAGGAAATCGAACACATCAAGTGGAAAGGCAGAAGTAATGAGACATTTTGACAACTCACCTTGCTCGTATAGTAGTAGCGTAGTAGATAGGGTTTGCACAAAAAAAGAAAAGCAATTTGATGCGATTGCTCGTATGATTGTTTTGACCCGATGAATGAATTCGAAATGGTTTAGACCTAGGATTCAATAAAAAGAAATATAAAACAATCTGTAAAAGAGAGGATAGCACGCCCTTGGAAAGATCAAGTCTTGCGAATAGGGATAATAGGGGAAGAAAAGAATGTGAGGGCTTGCTAGGAGTGAAGGTAGAGGTGGAGATGAAGGTGAGGTTGAGGTTGAGGTTGGAGATGGAGATGGAGGAATGGTAGGTAAGTAGGTAGGTAGGTAAAGATCAGATGAGAGTAGGTAGAGAAAAAGAAAGATTGTAGAGAGATAGGACTAGAGAACTAGACTAGAGACTAGAGATAAGTAGGTAGATACCGATATATATTTAAAAGAGTAAGAACCCCCCACTTGCCTCTTTCCTTTACTTGTTTACCTAGTGTTAAATTTCGGTACAGAATAAATCATAAATCGTTAGTTATATCTTAATCATTTTGGTAAGTACCTAAAGAATTCCAAATGTCTGTGAGTACCGGTACCGGTATTACCTATGAAATGCTTCTTTCGTCCAATGTTGCAAAGCTGTTGATCCGGCTCCTTGACCTACCAATTATCTAAAATTCTAAGGTCACATTAGACTAAGGCTTTGTGGTTACAAGAGACCTGCAGTTATTTACATATTGTATCGCTTTGATACAAGAATGACATGTCCTATTTTCTGTCTTAGCTATCTCAGATGTAAACACTCAAATAGATACCTACTTTTAGAATTTTATATGAACAATCACAAAATATAATTGGTGGGGGATAATCGTAGATCAATTTATATCACTTTGTAGATCTCATTCGTCCAAGGATTTAATTGGTTCGGCGCTTTTAAGCTTCTTTTTTTTACTCCAATGGCGTGTTTCAAAAACATAAACATCCAGAACTTGGAAGGCTGTACGCATTGACTGGTTTGATAGAAGCACCTACCCTTACCTTGTAGGCCAACTCCTTGTAACATAGGAAACCCTGGCATACAGATCTTATAAGCGCTCAATAATATGATATTTTCTATTGAAAAGCTCGTATTTGCAAAGGAGGGTAAAAATGCAATGCAGATTGAAGGTCTCCAAGTGGATTACATTGTTGAAGTGTTCTATCACGATTGGATGCCCCGTGGCAAAAAGATATCTATGATTAAGATAAAGTTAACCTTGAGTTGGTTGCTGTATGCATAAGAACCTAATGTAGGAGAAAAAACGTGGCAAAGGCCTAAACTGGTTCTCGTTACTTAATTTAGCGGTACCTCCATAAAAGTTGGTGCATGATCTTCTTCAAATTCATTGTATTCCTACGACTTTTGAGATAAGGTGGGTCTTGGTCAGAATTGGAGAATTGGTGATCCGGTCTTGTCCGTTCCAAAATGATTGTTCAACATTCAAGAGGCCTTGATGCAGGGACCGATCAACATGATCCTTCGGCTCGCATGCATAGAGACGTGGATATGATGAGGAAATGATGTATGTTGTGATGCCTCGAGCACGCAAAGGTTTCCTCGTTAGGTCTCTGCCAGACACCAAATTGTCCATCGATTTTGATATCTGGGTATCGGTACTTGACGGAGCAACTTGGTTGAGGTTTTTGTGATTCCGAAATGACATCTGCTGGCCATACCTCGTATATGCCGTGAGAGTTGGATCGCCTCCCAAGTTTGATCATTTGATTTTAAAATGGCCAATCCTCTTTCACCAATTCAAATCTTTCTTGACCGTACCAATTTTCTGTTCCACGGCGTCAGCTTTCGTTTGCTGTCCCACCGGCACAATACCCTCTTCATTTCCTTCCATCAATTCCAAATCTAACGACCACCTTTGTACCTCCTCTCTCACAATCCCTTCCCATTTCTTGAGCAAAGGATGTGCAGCAGCAACGTCGGGAAAAACAACATCCTTCCCTTCCTCCCCCGGAACTTCAAACTTCCAAATTCCATCCTCACCCCACCACTCTTTCGCAAAAACTTTTTCTGTCTTCAACTCCTCTCTCGCATTTTTTAATAGTTCTTCTGATCGGTGCTTTTCTTTCAACCATTCTGCATCTTCAAATTTGCTCGCGGACGCGGAGACTGCTCCAAAAACTCCTTCAAGAATCCCTATAGCTTTTCCTATCCTCAATCCTAATACGGCGCCCAGCCCAAATCCCTCGTCAAATCCGTTTTGTACACTCTCAGCTTTCCCCTTTGTGACACCGTCCCTATATCCTTCTGTTTCATGTTTCTCCTTTAATCTTGGTATATCTGAAATCTCCGAATTTCCAATCCCAAACATACCTCCTTCATGGCTGTCTCTGCCGTCAAGAATAGGGGAACCTGGGTCAGATCCAAAAACATCATCGAAGTTGTCGTTTTGAATAGTAGGCTCGGACAGTGTGGTAGGAAATGTGCCTGAAGACATCGGAAATTCGTTGTCACGAAACATTTTGTTAGCGAAATTCAGATTTCAATGATTGAATTGGTTATGAGGCATTCAAGTATTTCAAAATTTGTGCTGAAGAATGCTTATCTAATCTATACAGATTGTGATTGGCTCCCTATTCATGGCAAAGATAAGCGGAGCGGCAGAAATAGGCGGTAAATCAAAAAACACTACTATCTGCTCTTCGAATTCTGATCACCGTTAACAATATTATAAAAATGAAAGTGGCTGTCGGAGTCCTGGCCGCAGTAATTTAGCAAGGACTTATCATTATCACATATAAGCATGTGAATCTATTGACCCCAGTAAGTACTGGAAGTGCAATAGAGGCTTTCCAGTGCTTTGCCTCTACTGCTTTCAACCCGTCCGACGCGGGTAATATAATATGGCAATGGTGTAAGTAATGCATCAATTACTACAGGTAATCAGCTCTTCCATGACTTTTCCTCTTTCGTTCTATACAAGCCATTACTCTGTTCAAGAAATTTAGTCTAAACAAATTCATCATCTACCTTCCCTTGCCTTTAAGAAATAGATATTTTTCATTCCATTTGCTCGTATATTATTCTTTCTTAGCTACGGTATGTGTGTTTTCTATAATATTCTTCTTTCTCTTTATCTTCGCAACAGACTTCGGCCGATCCACTCTCGAAGTTCAGAGCTCTCTCTAAGTTGGAAGACGGAAAATTTCTGTTGATCATAACGAGCCATGACCTGCTCATCTCCCATGATGTCAGCTGCGTGTGGTTTGAGGCCTTCCTGGACTGGGAAGCGAGCGAGATATCAAGGAGCACTCGGTATCGAAAACACGATGTATAAGAGGCAAGCTACGCACACTGAAGAATACTTTCAAATGGCCAGAACGACGTCGTTCGAAGCATGATAAGCTTACAAGCGCGGAAAAGAAAGCAAAAGGGGTCCAGAGAACGAAAAATCGCCTGGTGGCGGATCTTCACCTCACCCTTCTCCCTAGCATCCTATCTCATCCTCAATATGACCTCAACTCTGGTGATTTCAAGCACATACGACCATAGACTGAAGAGAATTGGGCATCCCGTCCGCTCTGCCATACACAAGCTTCAGATCGGTAGATTAGTAGTTGGGTGGGTGACCACCAGCGAATCCCTACTGTTGTATGTTTTTATTTTTTATGTTTTGCTGGATCACTAGATAGTGAACGACAAGGAGACGCGTAGCTATGGCTGCTATGCAGATGGGTAGGGATAAAATTGAACCTCAACTCATCAAAGTTTTAAGTAGAGCGACAAAAGAAGATGAGTTCTCAAAAGGGATCATATAATAAGATCTGAAAACTTTTGTTGAACTTTGCTAGCTACCTAAAATGTAAGAGGTTTCGTAAAGGAACGTCGTAAGTTTGCTAAATCTCGCCGTGCCTAGGATCGTTCCCATGAAACTGCCCATTCCCATTCGAATATTACCCTTAATACCCTTAATTTATTACAGCCTCCTCCAATCTCCATTACCACTAACGTTAAAGTAATACAAAAAACAATCAATGCTGTACTGTGCTCAAGACTGGAATCAAACCATCTACAAAGCTGCAACCACACCGGCAAGAAGACCGACCATGGCACCAACACCTGCAAATCCAACCGATTGCGCAGCATTCTGGGTAACCTGGGCAGCAGTACTAGAAGGTGTACCCGTGGTAATGGTACCATTGCCAGCTCTAGAAGTGGTAGCCGGAGCCGTGGTGCTAGCTTCGGTCCCCGTGGTCGAAGCGGGACCCGACGAAGTCGTCGAGGCAGGAGAAGCCGAGGAGGATTCGGTCGAAGACTCGGACGCACTGGAACTGGTCGCGCTAGTGGCGAGGGCTCCGGCAGAAAATAAAGAACATCGGCTAGGGCCGGCCTCAGATGCTTGTTGCAGTTCCCCGGCTCCCGTGCAGGCGGAGAGGATGCATGGGATTATGGCGGTGGAGATGCCCGCGCGATTGGAGGCGTCGCATTGGCAGCCTACGTCTTCGATGTTGCAGGGGGAGCCTTGAGTGATGGCTTGGCTGATGCAAGGACTCTGTGGGGTTCCGGTGGTTAGTGAGGGAAAGTGATGGTGATTGAGAGAGGTGGGAAGAAGGAGCTAGCTATGTGATAGAGTTGTTGAACTTACAGCGCAAGCCGGTTGACCTGGGAATTCGGCAGCAGAAACGGTTGTGGCTGCAGCGGCCAAAGCGATGATTGAGAACTTCATATTGGAATGGATTTGTAACTTGAGCTCTGAGAAGAAGATTGTGCAGATGAAGTTTCTGAAATTGAATAAAATTGAATAAAATTGATAGAAGTTGACTTGCAGATGAGAACGATGGAGAACAAAAGGATAGAAGAGGGGTAATGGTTTAACTTATATAGGGAGTGCTCAACAAAGAGTCCATAGCTAAGGTATAGCTAGCTATACTTCATTCCTTTCAATGGCGAGGGATGGCTGATACGCGGCAACTGGAGAAAGAAACGCATAGAGAAATTTTAGCTGGATGCACTTGCTTGTAACGTTTGTGTGATACTATTTTTATCTATTTTTATTCTTCTTGTGGAACTACTCGAGTATAAAAGTTACAATTCTGCAACGAGGTCGTCTATTTCATGAATTTTTTTATCGGGCGCAGGAATGTAAGATCTTACACATGATGTATCCGCGATGGCGGGTAGAGAGTTCAAATATGCGGGAGGCGTGTGGAGGCTGGCGTTAGATTTGTATGTACTGCTCGCCGGAAAAGGTAATTTCGCATGGCTACTTTGATACCTACTAACGATAACGACCGCAATGGGATGACTGGCTTGCATTATTTTGTATTTGGAGTTTCTTTGTGCGAAAAATAGAAATGGGATATAGAGTATGAGTCAACAGGGTTTCTTTTGCGGAGGAGAAATGACATTCCCCCGTGGAATGGAATAAAAGGCGGGGTTGGATGGAATGCGAGACATTCTTTTTTTATATCCGAAGTACAGTATCGTAAGACGGATAAGGAGAGGTTTGGAAAACGCATGAGTATTGTTACTGGTGATTTAGAGATTCAATTGGAATATTTTCATGATGCACTTGCTCATTTTTGATGATAGCGGGTTGGTGGGCAGTGAGGGTTATTGTCTGGATTTGAATCTGGGTAGGATAGGATAGGATTAAGATGCTTGTGGTATTGATTTGAAAGAACTCTTAGAGCTTGTAGCTGGAGCTTGCTGGTCTCACAATGTGGTACGTTTCTTTGACCTTTGTGATATAACATGAACAAAAGCATTGCATGCCAGGATTCTAAGCAAGACGAACAAAGTGATGGATAGATGAGTTACTCTCTGTATGTTTAGCTAGGGACCGAATTAGATTTCAAAATCTGGGTGGTTAATCTTTTAATGTGTGAGATATTTGTTTGTCGATTGAATAATTCGAAATTCTACAATTCTACCCGAGTTATATTGAAAATCTTGCTTTGGAGCTTCACCGGGAGCTGAGCTGTAGGGCTATTATTGTATGTTTTGTTCATTAGCTGAGGTCTAGATCTTACAGTAGGGTATTTCTAGCCTAAACCTCTTAACTCAATAATAACAATAACACCGAAATGCTAAATCATCCATTAATATCCCATATCTCATCGCATCCATCTAATATACCCCCTTTCTACAATGACCTCTCCCGGCACAATACTTTGACAAAAAGCACTCATTTCCTGAGAATGTGGACCAAATTTGATGAAAACAAATGGGATTAGACTTGAAGCGATATGAACAAATGCTAGTAAACTGCAAGTCCAAGGCATGTTCAATGTATTATACTTCTATAAGTCCCTAGTGGAATGAACAAGGTAATCCCAACGTTCCTTCTGAAAACTGATAGAGGGTGAGAGCTGAGCTGAGGCGGGATTGATACCATATAGACAAGTGATCAGTGTCATGAATCTAAGATCAATGTCAATGCCGTCTCTGAGAGCTATCATGGACTCTGAGATGTGTTAATCACAATGTTCGTTTTGGACGGTGCGTGGATTTCTTATAATGCATATTAGGACACGCTGCCCATCAAGCCTGAAGGGGGAAATTACGTATCGTGGACCGTCGGTACATGAAACTGGGAGATGACGGTATTCTACTCCATTGTCAAAGTTTTACAGCTTTTCGAATATTGAGAGGATTCAGATATGGACTGCAGTCGGACTATTGGAAATACTGTATCAAATGGGTTCTCGGGAACTCAGCTGGCAAAGGCGTTAGTGCTACCTCACCTAGACTCGTGTTATGAAGACCTGTTTAAGTATAATCTGATATGCCTCGAAATAGAGATAACAAGAACTACACTGATATACCAGGATTACATCGGAGTAGATAACCAATGGCTTGGCGGACATTCGCCTCGGTCACGTTAAAGCAACGGCGAGCAATCCTTTTGTATTTCTACTTGCGGCATATGTTCATGTACCTAGCTCGACCTAGTTCCTTGTTAAGTCTACGAAGAATCACAGATGTAAGTACTCTGAAACCTCTACATTAGAGTTCAATCGTCATGGGAAGTCATCGGCAAGAAAACTTACCTGGAAGAAACATCAGCATCAGCCAATTTGACGCAACAAGTATGAGTGCCAATTAGAACATCCATTGCCGATTAGCAGTGTAACTAAAACCACAATCATTCGACCAATAAGAGGGCCGAGACTATTCATCAGACTTGCCATCATCATCACCCTTCCTCGATAGAAGCAAATTAGGACATATATCCGAATACAAGTCGCCAAGAACATAGAAGAATCAACCTCCACCAGAAATCGAAAGACCAATAACGAAGGCCAATTTGCAGCAAGAGCAGACTCAAGCGCGGCTACCGCGTAAGACCAAAGAAAGAAGGGAAATGTTGACCAATTGTTATATGGGTCTTACGACAAAGATCAATCGTGGAAACATACGACAGACTTTCTGAGCTCAGACTGGAATTTCATGCCTCATGCATGTATCCGACATTGATCTACGCTTTTAGAATCGCACCAATAAGTCGACCTTTTTGGTATTATGAATGCAGGTGTTCTTTAGATACTGGCATTTTGAATTTTAAGGGGCTCGGTAAATACCCGCTTGGGAAAACAAGCCTATCTGTATAGACTGTATTGCATATGGTATCATACGACACTGGCATTAGTAGCCGGGTAAATAAGTCCTTGTGCCTCAGCAGTACTTTTATGGCCCAACTCATTCATACCTTCTTGTTACATCCTGCGTGTGACTTCGTACCGTATGTTTTTTTGCACTACACTAATTCACTAAGAGACCATCATACTGGTATGAAACTAGCATCGATACCGCAAGCATACGTCCAGATCCAACTCCAGATACATTAATAACACATATTGCACAAGCAGCCGAGGGCATACTCCCAGTCCCGGCCCGAGCCGTGACTTCAATATTTCGGTACTGGTGAATCGGAAATCACATTTCATGGACTGGTACCGAGGCAAATATATACTTTACTTCGCTGGCGCTGGAAAGAATGAGGTGCCGTATCTTGACTTAGATTGATACGCAGTGAGACATGGATAGGATGAAGTGGAGCCTTTTGACTTTGTGTTTTTCTCGTTTGCGGACGTTTCGCATCAAAGTCTAGCCATATCAAAGTTGCACGCTATTCATCGCATTTCAATTTTCCTGATCATCCATGAAGTTGATCACCACGTCTATGTTTCAATTCCACCATCCAACCAACCAGACAACCATCTGAGATACGAGGATAATTCGCTCTATGATATACGTAATCTGAGCAGTCAAAATGAGATCCAACTCTTGAATCTGAAACGTACAACCCCTTACACCCTGCCTTTTATAAACCTATCTGTGTCTACAAGGAATAGAGCTTTGTCTCTTTCTCGCCGTTTGCTCTCAGATTTCTATTGTGGTACACACACAGTAGACCATAGAGCATGCAACTCCCCGTACAAAGACACATAGCCCCAATACAGATGGAATAACCCGTATGATAAAACGGAGCATCTGTAGCCAAAAATGCAAATGTCGCAACAATCCCACCCGAATTACCGAATCCAATCATCCACGCTGTGCCGATTGCTCTTTCGACATGACCCTGTAAGTTCATTACATACCAACAAACAACAGCAATACCTGCTGTGAAAACACCCATTGCGACGAGACAAATTCCGGCGTATTCGGCGGAGAAGGAATGGTGAACGGTCATTAAGATGGCGAGTCCAGTGACTGCGAGACTAAGACCGAATGCCACGAATGGCCAGCGGAATTTCAGACGGTCTGAGGCGTAGGCTGTGACGAGACAGAGTCCGAGTGCGGCGGCAAAGGGTGGCACTGTATGCAGTTGGGTTTGGACAACGGAATATCCATACGTTTTGATGATTGTGGGTGTGAAGTATGCGAAAGAGTAGACTGGAACAACACCTGCAAGAAATCATTAGTCACTACCAATGGATCTTGTAGGAATAAAAACTTACACAAATACATAAGACCGCCAAGAACATTCTTAAAACTTTTGAAAAACTTCAATACATCGCCAGTGGTAATGGTTTGATCCTTATCAATACCACCCACTCCACCCACTCTGTCAATGACAAACTTTCTCTCTCCTTCAGTCAACCACTTTGCATCTTCAGGAAAGTCGGTCATGAGGAAGAATGCAGAGATGCCGATAAGAACCGTGAGAACACCTTCTAGGATAAAGATCCATTGCCAATTGTGTAAGTTTTGAAGACCATCCATTTCTTGAATGGCGCTGGCAAGAAGACCTCCAAAGGCGCTTGCGGTGAGGACCGAGCACCAGTAAACCGTGAAGCGTTTTAATGACTCCTCTCGCTTATACCATATACTGATCAAATAGAAGCCTGCATTAAACAGAGTCAGTCACTTATAGTTTTGCTTGAATCGTAAAATATACGTACTTCCAGGGAAAATACCAGCCTCACAGAGGCCAAGAAAGAACCTGGTCGCTAGGAGCCCACTGTAGCTTGTGACTATAATTGATGTCAAAACAATGGACAATTAGGCCAAGAAGTCAATCATACCAAAGCCTTGAGCGAGCATGATGATACCAAAAGCAAGAATGCATCCCGATACTATTCGAAGTCAGGTACCGTGACTATCATTTGGAATTGACAAAGCCATACGCCATATACGAGGTTTGAATCGCTTCATGAATATATTGGAAGGTATCTCAAAGAGAACGTAAGGGACGAAGAAGATGCATAAGGCTAAATTTCGCTGATTGCCGACGAGCTTTAGATCTTTTGGCAAACTCATAGTCAAGGCATTGGAGATGTTGACCCTATAGGCTCAATGTTTAGTACTATTACAATGAGCTCGAAGCTTGTGACACGTACCGATCAAGAAATGCTGCCACGTAGATGATGAATAGCATGGGTAGCAATCGTCGATTAATCTTCCTGATCAAAGCCTTCTCATCGATCGTGGAGTTTTGAGCCGGCGACGACATGCTATTATCGCTCAGCGAATCAAGTACTGCGTCCCCGCCAGACTTCTGTCTAGCCATATTGTTGCTCTGTTCTATATGGTGACACCGACATATGAGTAGGGTCGTTTTGAGATACAGATACAGACGTGAAGCACTAACCATGAAGGTCCATTTTCGCTGCTCTCGATCAATTTCGTAGTGAGGCTTCAGATAACTACAATCATCTGCAAAGATTCAAGTCCAAGATATGCGAATGCAAGGTTTTAACCAGATCTATTAAAAGGCCATATGGCAATCAAGGTAGACACACTTTTGTCCTGTGACACAACATGAAAAGTTCGACATATGGCTGACTTAAGTTGTGGCGGTTCAAAGACACATACCAAACCAGGTAATTAGGCTCAAATCTACGGAATGGGAAAAGATTTTGGAGTAGTAACGGCAACACCATGTACCTTCGGGGGTTCCGACTCCTGACATATACACTCGTCGATTAGAGCGGTAGGGAGATGACGTGCTGTCTAGGACTACCTGAATATACACCAGCTAAGTAATGTATGGATGTTAAACCTTACTTCTCAGATACTTTGATCAAAACATCATATCTACAGTAGTAAGATACGAAGAATTGTAATATGGGGTGTGAAAGAATGCCGTTGGCCTAGTTCAAAACTTGTATACCCTTGATTTTACGTGCAAGTAAACACGAATCACGGATACATGCTTACTGTTTAATTTTTTACCTGCTGTGTAACACACGGGGATTTACAAACTTTTGTAGAAACATTTCGATCGTTCGTACTACACCATATATCTTTCAATCGGACTACAATAGTTAGCATTGAGTGTTCAGCCTGTTGTGACACTATGCCGCTTTTCATACATATCAGATGTATTAGATATGTATTTCGGAGGAAGGGAAACCACTGAATAGTGGTGTTGCTTGTTGAAGTGATCTAGATGGGCCGACTGACTCGTGAAGACTTCCAGGGATCTCGGATGCCTTTGCATGTATTCTGGGGATAGCGCATCGACCTCTGAATTCAGCTGAATATATATATCAGCGCCCTAATTACCATATCAGCGCCCTAATTATCAAATCAGCCATTCGCTTATATCCTATCCTTTCATTCCTTACAATCGTTGAGACTTCTTCACCACCGAGAAAGTATCGTATTTCACAACAAGATACCTTGTATTCGCAAAATTTGATTGATTATACTTGACGCCATTTTCTCTCTCAAGGACTGGAGTCGAAAATTGCATTGCTGCAGCTCTTTCGCCAAGTCGGCGAGCGAGGTCTCCCCTCCACTAGCACGCGGGTAGAAACTCACCCCATACAAATATGTATCCATAGGATGTACCCCATGTATCATGTGGGTATCTTCAGCACGGAAAAGTTACCACGAAGTATTGAAGGTATACTCATGCCGCCAGAAAGTCCGCAACTCGGGTTAACCAGCATGTATCATATAATGGTAAACTACAAGGGAGTAGCCTAGTTTTTTTTGTTTCCGAGTTGCAGACTTTCTGGCGACATGAGTATATCTTCATTGAAAGATATCTCTCAATTTGTGGCTTCTTTTCGGCAAATCCTCAACATGAAGTAGGATTTGCGCTGGGCATGATCTTTAGCATCAAAGTGAATTTACCAAGCCCCATTCTGCTCTGAAACGAGCGCTCTTCCTGTAAGTTCCTGGTTTAGAGGCGTTAGAAGATCTTGTCAGTAGAACATGTCTCAAGAACTCAGTCCAGACTAAAAAAATTTCCTCATTTACCTCTCATTCTCTTCTCAGCAGCCCATGTGATGATTCCTCATTACAGTCGATACCCGCGATGACTCCACTCGCCAGGTATGCCGTCTTTGATAAGAATGCCAATACACCTTGACAACGTAATGTACTCTACGTTTTCATATGCTTCACACTAACAACATTTCTGTTTCCGCTTATAAGTCTGAATTCGTGCTTTCGTGAAACGAGAATGGTGTTGGCTCTTGTGGTATTCTTTTTCGAATAGAAGCCCTAAACGGGACACTTTTGCTCCATCATAAGTTGGGTATCGATTGATGGAAGTCTAAATTAGCTGGTGAAAGATGAGATGAATGTGACCTATAGTAAGTTGAACTCCCCAAGTATTGCTCACCGAAACCAAAATCATCTCAGAGAATGTAAATAACTTCTCTTTGGGCGAAATGAAATCTGTAAGGATTACAACAACGGGCTGGCTCATGGGTATCCAGATAAGCTCGGAAAGAAGCACGTTTCCAATTCCGGGTCTTTTCAATGATTTAGACCAAGGAAGTCTATGATTTGAATAGCAGGATATGTTTTAGGCATTGCTAGAGCAAGATAGCAACACTTATGATGGCCTCTAGGACAAGCTATCCCAACGCCTTCTGGTTGAAGTTATACAAAACAGACATTGAGGGGGGATAATGACTTCTCGGAATCATCCTAGACCCCTTAACGATGCGCCAGATACATCCAAATGATTTGATATATCATGAAGAAATCACCAACACAGAGATGTTGTTCGGAGACTACCTGATGGAATGTTTGGGGCATACGGCTTGTACTTACAAGCAGACATTCGCCAAATTGAAAACAAAATTAGAAAGAACCACCATCGAAGAATGTCCCATGAAGATATCTATTTGCACACATAACTATTGTGTTGTAACTCGTAGATCTTTTGCAATCAAAAAAACAAATTCGAGTATTAAACAATTGGGTGAGTTGTCCAAACCAAGTTGAGACAATAGAGCAAGTCCGTTTGTATTGTTCCTGCTGCATCCGGACAATGGAGAACGTTTGTATAATTGCCTTGATCAAGTTGGAGCAAGAGGGAGCCATGTCATGATTTTCTCATTCGATAGGTATTGCCATTACTCGTACTCGAAGTACAAAAGAATAACGGGAAGATACTGAAAATTAAACGGAGGGAGTTAATAACAACTTGTATTGATTGTCGGTCAAACGGCACTTGCTTGCTTATCGATAAGAACGACCCCTGAATAACCTACCCTTTCGTGGGCTCGGCAATGACTCCCTCTTCAAAAATAGCAATCAAAACAAACTCAGGGCAATTCATATATACTCTCCTTTCAGCATATTCCATTTATGTCTTCATAATCCCTTCAATTCTCTGGCAATCCGGCCAGCTATAATCCGCCATGTCTGCGGATATCCCGCAGACTGAAAATCTCATGCCCTCAACCACAAAATCTAATAATGAAAACCCCACCAACCCCTCGTCCCCAGCTGCGGTCGGCGGCCATTTGCGCGCGAGAACGAATACGGCGGAAATTGATAGTACCATCATTCATCCGGGAAGTGTGAAGATTAATGTTACCGGCGCATTTATAGTCGATCACGATTCCCTTTCGCCGAAAGAATTGAATGTCAACGAGAGAAATTATGATACCAAAGATATCCGATTGCCAAATCATACGGCGGTTGTCAGTCATATTGCTGTGGATGTATGAGCCCATTTCCCTGGATTGGAGCCGAGGTCTGCGAACATTATACTGACATATGTATAAGATTGGAGGTTCTCTAGCCAAACTCGTATACTTCTCGAGGGAGGGGCATTCGCGCGAACCCGGCGGCCGACTCAATTTTATGAACTTCGAGACTGATCGCATAGATGATTGTGTGGAGTTTATGAAACAGCTGCAGATTAAGCAACAGAAACTCAATGGGTCGAGGCCAGGAGATTTATGTGTGATGGCAACGGGTGGAGGGGCATACAAGTACTATGATAAGATTAAGGAAGCTCTGGGTGTGGATGTTATACGGGAGGATGAAATGGAATGTTTGATCATTGGTAAATCCCCTTTTCCCCATGAGACATGGCCATGAATGCGAAAGAGTGCTGACGAAGGAGCAATCCACAGGTCTTGATTTCTTCATCACCGAAATACCTCGCGAAGTATTTACATATAGTGAAAGAGACCCCATGCATTTCACCTCGCCCAGCCCGGACATATACCCTTACCTCCTGGTCAACATAGGCAGTGGTGTATCCATGATAAAAGTATCCGGACCAAGAGCATACCAAAGAGTAGGCGGAACATCTCTTGGCGGTGGCACACTCTGGGGACTGCTCTCCCTTCTCACCGGGGCCCGAACATTCGACGACATGCTCGGCATGGCCGAACGAGGCGACAATGCCAAAGTCGACATGTTAGTCGGCGATATCTACGGCGCCGACTATGGTAAAATTGGACTCAAAAGTAGCACAATCGCCAGTTCCTTCGGCAAAGTATTCCGCATGAAACGGGAAGCCGAACGATTAGCCGAAGATTCAGGAGGGCAAAACAACAGCGAAGAACCGTCCAGCTCCTCTCATCCTACCGAACCATCCCCCTTTTCCCACGAAGATATTTCCCGCTCCCTCCTCTACGCCATATCCAACAACATCGGACAAATCGCGTACTTGCAATCGGAAAAACATTCTTTGTCGACGATATATTTTGGGGGAAGTTTTATCAGGGGTCACAGACAAACGATCAATACATTAAGTTACGCGATCAAATTTTGGAGTAACGGGGAGAAAAAGGCCATGTTTTTGAGACACGAAGGGTACTTGGGGAGCGTGGGGGCGTTCTTGAAGAGAAAGCCAGAGGGGTGGGGGAGAAGGATGAGTTTTGAAGAGAGTGGGGGTGCAGGGGAGGGAGGCGTGAAAGATATCGGCGAGGAGTTGAAGGCTCTAAGGAGAGAGGTAGGAAAGGCTGAATAAGTTGACCTGTTCATATTGGCTACACGGCGGTTTGGGTTAGACGTATTTATTCTAGAATGGAGATATGATATGCAGCGGAATTGGAATTGGAATTGGCAGAGCGGAAATTATACAAGCGGAAATCGATATGTTGTAACGGATGAGGAGTGGCTTCCAAGACTACTAGGTATATTGGTCATTGATAGCTACCTAGTAGGTAGTCACAGTGATAGGAGGTAGAAGTATATCAGCGAAAAGAAATACAAGCCGAGTACGAGTAAGGCAAAAAAGGAAGAGAAAAATGAAGGATAGAATTTCTTTTACTCTTTTACTCATTCATTCATTCATTCGTTGTTTGAATACCGGTACTGGAGTACTCAATGTTTAACTTGGGGTTATACATACTTGAGACTCGGAGCACAGGTTGAAATTATGATGTGTTGAGAATACGAGTAGAACATAACACAGTATGTTGGATGTGAGTTTGAGATATGCTTGGATTAGTAGGTGGGTATTATTATATGTAATCTTACAGTACTTACTTGTATTTGGTGAATGAATAGATGAATGGATGAATGAGGAAGATAATTGATAAGTAAGTAGTCCTTGATCTTTATTATTACTACTTAAATCACATCATATGATGAACATCTCGAGAAAATCCTTTTTTCCGTCTCCCGTGAGAGGTATTAAGCTATTCGCACTTGACATACACGAGCCATCGAATCTGAAACATCCGGAAAATATCATCCAAAGCATGTGAGGTACAGTACCCATCTAGCCTGCCAAAAACCTCATACCACCCACCTCCCTCTCTCTACCTCCCCTCACACTCCCCGTTTCCCTCGTATCCTTGCTATTCCCACCATTCCCATCTTTGATGCTACCATTATCCTCCTTCAAACTTCCCTCCCTCGATTCACCCCCCTTCAAACTCGAGTCTTTATTGTCCCTCCTACTCTTCGCTCCCGCTTTCAATACGTCCCACCTATTCCTATACTTCGCGACCGTTTCTCTCAGCTTTTCGTTTTCTCGGAATAGTCTCTCGTTTTCTTTATCTCTCATGCTCATCTGTTCTTCAAGCTCTATTAATCTCCTCTTGATCGATTCATCATTTGACCCTCCACCTAAACTCCTATCTTCAGGACGCATCAGACGTATACTTTCTTGTAAAGCCAGACTACTATTCTGCGCTGCCATTTCAAAGGCATGGAGTCGACTGCTGAGTTTGTCGATACATTGTTTGAGACTGGTATTTTCCAGATCCAACTCCTCAATGCGGATATCTGTTTCCCTACCCGCAATGCGACGGTTTCGTTTTAAATTACTGGGAGAGTTAGGCATGGGTGTTTCACGAGCGTCGACAAAATCTTCCTCATCGTTGGGATCGGGAAAGAGGTCGGGATCTGCGCTATGCATGGAGGCTGCTAAACGACGTTTTTCTTTTTCGGCAAAGGAGAGAATGTGTGCATATGAAACCGTATGACCCGTGGTAGGAACAACGTAGAATGAATCGTTACCCGAATGCCCATCGCGAGCGGACGCACGAAGGGCGGCTTTAGATATGTACTTGGTGAGATCAGGCTCTTCGGTAGGCATTCTTTCGCGGCTTGGTGGTTTACTTTTGCGGCTGGTTGTAGAAGGCACCTCTTGTATCATGGAAGTCAAGTCGGTTTCCGAGAAAAGAGGCAAGCCAGCGAAAGCTAAGGGGGCTGATAACTTATAGACGACACTATTGAAGGCACTGTAGAACTTGGAGAATCCCTCATCATGAGCAATGGCGCGAGGCGATTTGGGCTCAGCAACCGCCGATGTCCGTGATGTGGAGGTTTGAGGATCTGCTTTCTTTTGAGTAGGTTGAGGAGGGACCCAACTTGGCTTAGATGTGGCGGTGTGCTCTGGAATTGTTGGGACTTTTGATCGTTTGCTGACTTCTCGACGTCCCTCGATATTGCCTGGCGCCTGTAGAGATGATACACTTGGTGAAAGTGGTTGGCGACTATGACTTGAGCGTATGCCTCTCGCAGAAGCTAGATTACTAGCGATTGAAGAAGAAAGGTCGCGTGGAGGGAGACGCCTTGGAGTCTGCAAGCTTGGCGCATTATCAAGGGGCGATGTGCGAGGCCCAAGGTCCGAATGCGAAGCGCGTAGTTCTGCTACAGCCGCAGATGTTGATACTGATTTCTCTGTGACTGCTTTAACTTCTGGTTCGTTCGCATTCGGAGTTACGGGGTGGTCAGTGGGGTATCGAAGGAGTTCTGAGAGTCGCTGGTGATGTTGTTCCAGGAGTCTTAAGGTCCTCAGAGCTTCTGCGCTTCCTGTTCCTGATGCAGCTTTTGCAAATTCTCCTGCAGCCAAGGCATGTTCATTTATTGCGATTGTTGTATCTAAACCTTGTGTCGCAACTACTGCAGCGCGAGCATGATCGTGGGCCTATATTTGTTATTAGTTAAAGAGGGAGTAAACGTGATAACAGTGAAAACATACCAGGGCCAAGGAAGAAGCTTCCATGTTAATTAAATCTGAGTGTATCTATCCCACACTGGCAACTTTCAAGAATCCTCTAGGACAGTGTAATTAATTGGAAAGGATACAGAGTTTTGTTTGTACACCAAACGATGATCTGGAGAACGAGGGATAAGGCTGGATGCGATCATAGATCAAGCCGCCCCAATAGGTAACTTATCTCTTAGACCATCTCGGTTAGTACTATGTAAGACTTACCTAGTGCCGGTAGTTCTACTGCAAATTGACCCCAAAACATATTGAAAGCAATTTTGACCGACGAAATATATATACATAAGTTACGACACAAGTATACCAATTGTTATGATGAGAAATCATCATTCAAAATGAATTGATATTAAACTCAAGCTATGTTATAGCTCAACTGTAGATATAGAATTAAGGCAATAATATACACCAATAATTCAGCCCTCCAAACCCCAACAACAATAACAGAAAGACAAAATAAGAGAGATGGGACAGATAGGATCTTAATAATGAATGTCATAGTCTCAATCATATTTGACGAGATGAAAGGAGCCTGTTGGGGTTGAAGACGACGGACTACCTACTCGAGTATACAAGAAGGAATACCTCCCAAAAATCCGTTTCTGAACCACTATGCTGTGAGGATGATCGAGGCTCAGGATTATGCCCAGTTTCTAGTCGAAGTGAAGAGATGATGGCAATTTGCAGCGTGCAACGGCATTGTTCGATTATGAGAATCAAAAGATTGCGAAGAAAGAACCGGACGTTACCAGGAGAATAGTCTCAAAGGTCTATTGATATCTCTTGGTCTTCTTAAAGAAAGTCTAAGTTATATCATTAGCATGGTTTCTTCCTACACAAGGATGAAATATAGTTTTCTAGATTTTTAGATTGACTATTAAAGTTAAAAATAGTATGATTGTGGGGTGGAATAGTCTTGGAAATGAATGAGCTAACTGTGTTTCAGTCTTCCTGTCTTCCAGCCTCCCTTGCCGACTTGCTAACTCCGTATAAAAGAACACTGGGCGGAAACCACCTTGCCTTGCATAATTCGGATTCCTCGGTCTCCTCGGTCTCCTCGGATTCCCGGCTACTTAATGACGTGAGGGGTTTTCCTTGAGTTGAAAGTTCATAGAATCTTAAAAATGGCAGGCAGGTACGGAGTAGGAATCAGGTAGGCTTTGTGAAGTTTCTAGATAAAGCTAAAATGAAACAAAAGTAGGAATGATGAAGAACTAACCTGACCTAAACTCTTTGAAAGATCAATCAATCAAAGATTTGTTTGTTTGTTTGTTTATTTATATTTATAAAAACCAATTCAATCAAACTTTTCTGTTCTGAATTGAGGTACTTTGGTACTTTCCTTCACTCATTCCAATCCAGCCGATTTCAACTTCACAATCATATCTTGCGCCAGGTTCAAAGCCTTTAATTCTACGTCCGAACTTCCCTACTTACTCGCAATTCAAACAGTTTACATTACTTGCATATCAATATCTCGAAATCGAAATCGAAATATTGCACTTAACCTACGATCCATTCTTCAGTAAATGGTAGATCCTATTTAACTTAATCTTCCAGGTTCCTGGTTGATTCCCCCGTCATGGACGATGTTCCCCCTTCACCCACTGCCTCCGAATCTTCCAAATCAAATAGCATATCCGCCGTCTTTTCGAAGTCGCGAGATAGGAGGAAGCATAGAAATTCAACATCACATTCGGCGAGGAGCGGCGCAAGTGAGATCTCGCATGGGTTCCGCGCCTCGTTAGCCTCGTTAGAGGGTGCCATAGATAAGCTTAAAGGGAATTCGGATTCGGAGACGGAAAGCCATGGATCGAATAAACTCAAGAGGTTCGTACCGAAAGGATTTGAATCGAAAAAGAAGCGATTACAACGAGAGGAAGAGGAACGTCGATTGGCAGAAGAAGTAGCTCGAGGAAAAATGATTGCTGAAAGAGGAACATTGGAAAATGATACGAGGATTTCCATCAACAGGAATCTTTCTGGTGAAAGTAGTTTGTTAACATATGATTCGGAAAATGAATCGTAAGTACCTAGTCCATCAATTTTCAAATTTGGTTGTTCTCCTTAATCTTTTATTATCTCATCTCCCTTTTCTCTTCTCGTCGACAATTGTGCATCAATCCACGCGCAGTTATTCATGGTTTGGGGATTACAATGAGACATGGTTTAAAGCGAAAGGCTCGGAAAGACCCATTAGGGGGTTATCTCAGGCATCACAGCCACAACATCACAGGCTTCTTCCCATCATATCGTCAATCTTGCATATACTGTACCAGTACAGTACAGTTGTACTCTAAAATCACAACATCGACATCGCATCTTCACCAAGTTGCTTTGCTTGTGTCTGCTATCACGATCATCATCTCATGCATCTTACATCATTTGCCTCTATTTTTAGCACACAGCTTTACTTTGCTATGTGGAGAATTGATCTGAGCTTCTTTGGATTAATGAAGTAACTAATTCGAATTGCTGTTTTGATAGGGCCACCGAAACGCGTCCACCATTAACTACGCATCCTTCGCACATTGGATATCTTACCTCTTCTTCCCCACTCATACATACATCAACGTTTCCGCAAATCGGATCTTTAAACTCACGATCAGAAGGAATCCCCTTCCCAGACTCCACAGACAGTCTGGCTACCTCAGAGTCAGCATCCAAGAGCCTCTCCCAAAACCTTCGAGCTCCCACCGACGGATCTCAAAGACGATCGTCTTCCCCAGTTGGTAGACTAAAGGACGTTTTTAAACCAAGACGTGGGTCAAGCACAAATACAAGTCCAGACCGCCAGGCTGGAGGGGGAGGGGCTGAACAATCACTGAACACCAAGGACGGTGGGGCTGATTCTAGGCGGGGAAGTCTCATCAATGCGAAAGTTGGTTCAATATTTTCTGATAAACAGCTACCCCCTGGCAAGTCCAGATCTGCAGCGTCATCTCCCGAGAGGCCACAAGTGGGAAAGGGCAAGCTCATTACCATCGACACCAATCCACGTCCGCAAACTCCACCATCCGCGAACAGGCCGGCCCCTGTTATTGTCAATACACCCCCAACACCGACCGACCCAAGACCACCGCAATTTACTTCTGCCACTAGCCCGGATACACCTACGAAATACGCTTCAGATGTTTTAATCTCCCCTTCTGGAAATATGATATCACATCGACGAATTCGATCAGGTTCTGCTTCAGGAGTACCTAGTAAATTATCTAACATTCAATCTGCGCCATTAACTCCAACACCAGAGAACGAAGCGATTACACCAGGTCAAGGTCAAACAGGTTTTTTCTCATCAGTCTTTTCTGCCGCCCAGAACGCTGCGAATACATTGAGCAACAGTATCACAAATACGTCAGCCCCAGGGGGAACAAGAAGCAGGAGTGGTGCACAAACTATACCAGGTATACAGGAGATCGAAAGCCCGGAAGTTGAAGCATTGGGAGAGAAGAAAAATATAGAGGATCCCATGGAAGAGAAAGAACCGGCGGTCAAAACATTAGGCATGGGCGATCTGAGCCTAAGTCAATTTGGAATTTCGGAGGAGGGACATACTTCTACAATGCCGAAAAATCCAGAAGAATCCCGCGGAAGGCCTGATCCAGCTAAGGATGACCATTTCTTCGCGACTCGCTCGGCAACAGCACCAAACATGTTGACCGGGGAAAATCTCGATGCTGTCGCTGCGCCTCAGATCGATGATCTGCATTCTATCGCACATCCACGTTCTGTGTATGAACCAAGTGTAAACGGAGATCGAACTCCTCCAAACGGAAGTTTATTCGAAGGAAAATCCGGCATCCATCGTAGCGGTAGTATTCGAAGCGCTATCAACCACAGGAAAAGGGGTAGTTCTGCAGCAACTGGTACAACAATCGGGGCTGCAATTGCTGCAGCTAATCTCTCCATCGGAAGCCCAGGTTCAGGAGCACCCAAGATCACTGGATTCGCTGTAGCCAGTAAGAAGAGGAATCGAGATTTCCATGCACTATTCAGAAGTGTACCTGATGATGACTACCTTATCGAAGATTATAGTTGTGCTTTACAAAGAGAAATACTCGCCCATGGTCGATTATACGTCTCCGAAGGTCACTTGTGCTTTAGTAGCAATATCTTTGGTTGGGTCACAACTTTGGTTATGAGCTTCGACGAGATCATTTCTGTAGAAAAGAGAAGCACAGCACTACTATTTAAGAACGGTTTGATGATTTCGACATTACATGCGAAGAACGTTTTTGCTAGTTTCACAAGCCGTGATTCAACGTATGATCTCATTGTTGGTATATGGAAGATTGGTCACCCAAATTTGCGAAGTTCGCTAAACGGCGTTGCGCTTGAAGAAACTGGTGGTGGCGATAAGACTGAGAAAGACGATGGTGTTACTCCCTCTCGTCCAGGTAGCATTTCACAATCTTCTGATGACAGCGAAGGTAGCGGGGATGTCTATGATGAAGATGAAGACGATGAGGATGGCATGAGCTTCACGCATGCTGATGGTAGCGTCCTGGAGAGCGAGTCGGGTGAAAAGGTCGTCAGTCGAAAGGCGTCAGCTGCTGTCATGGCAAATGGAGCCCAGTTGGAAGGGGTAAAACAGGCTAGTCTAACGGCTGCGGCAGATTTCCCCGGTCCGGTCACACATGCAGCAACAATTTGCTCTGATGGTGATACACATTATGCGAAAGTACTTGCGGATGAAGTCATTCCAGCTCCTCTTGGGAAAGTTTATAGTCTTCTGTTCGGACCTGCATCCATAACTTGGATGCGGGATTGGCTTACCAATGAACAGAAATGTCTTGAACTAACATATGATGAGAACGCCAAGGTCCCTCTGTCGTTGGAGAATAAGGTTCGAAATTATTCATATATCAAGCCATTGAACGGTGCTATTGGTCCTAAGCAAACCAAATGTGTTTCTACAGAAACTCTGGACGCTATGGATCTTGAAAAGGCCATTTCTGTTACGGTATCGACAGTGACCCCTGACGTGCCTAGCGGTAACGTTTTCAGTACCAAGACTAGGTATTGCCTTTCATGGTCAGAAGGCAATGGAACTCGAATGCAAGTCAATTGCGCAATTGAGTGGACGGGCAAGAGTTGGCTGAAAAGTAAGTTACCTGATGATCTCCAATTGCATATCCCATTCTAATCATGAAACAGCTCCCATTGAAAAGGGTGCCAATGATGGTCAAGTGCAATATACGAAAGACGTCATCGCAGCCATCAAAGCGGCCGTCGGTACTCGTCGTGTTGGAGTCTCAGGTGGTGCTGGTAAAGGTAAAAAGAAAGGTCGCAAAGGATCGAAAGCAAATAACCTTAGTAAGGTTACTGATGGTGCCTCTGAAACTAAACCGGAGGAAACCAACTGGGGTCTGCTCGAACCGGTTCGTGGTATTTTCGAGCCGATTGTCGATATAGTCAAACCAGTGATGACAGGCAATATACTATATGGAATCCTCGTCGGTCTTTTAGTAGCAAGTTGGTTCCGCTTCGGATTACCAATTGTACGTAGCGGAGATAGAGATGTCGGAATGAGTTATCTTGGAACTCCCGAAAGGATCGCGGCATACGAGGAGATCTGGAGGAGAGAGGAAAGTGAACTTTGGTTGTGGTTGGAGGAGAGGGCGGGTATGGATCGATTGAGGGAGGTGGGAAGGATGCCGATTGAGAGATTGGATGTAGAGGATAGGTTAATGAGTGAGGGGATGGAGGAAAGAGAGATGGAGGATGCGATTAGGGTTACGGAAGAGAAGTTGTTGCTTTTGAAGGATGTGGTGGGGAAGAAAAAAGGCAAGGGAAAGGCACAGGTACAAACAGAGACACATGCGAGTTCTTCAAGTGCGGTTTAGCGTTTTTCTTTCCTGATGGAGAGAACGTATCGATGGATGAATAAAGGAGGGCACAGGGGTGGGGTAAAGGTCTAAAGGACAAACAGCGAGAGATACATGGTATATGGTTATATGGCATGTGGCATATCATATCTACAGCGTGTAAATGCTCTACTCGGTACAATACCACACACAAGATATCACAGTAGTATTTCTTTCCTTTGTTGTATTCCATATGTTTGGCAGGACCTGGTTTGAAGGGGGCGGGTTGTATTTAATCTTACTCATATGTTTGGTGTTGGGGTTTGGTTTGGTTTGGAGCGCTTTCGGGAGAGTTCTGCACTGTATTTTACTGTACTGTATTAGCAAAAATAAATAATCATCTGTTATACGAGTATACGAGTACTGAGTTGAGTGGTGGTTTCTTTTATCTTGTCTTTTTGATGGGGGTTTGAATTCAATTGAATTGGTCGTTGTGTTTGTGTTTGTGTTTGTGTTTGTGTTGTGGAGTTGGTGTAGTGTCTTTTGATAGAGGGTAAAAATGTGGGTGAGGGTGAGGGTGAGGGTGTGGGTGGAGGTGGAGGTGGGATGTAGGTGGGATGGGATGGGGAATATACATGATTTATGTGAGTACCTATTGGGTAAGTTTGTGGGTTGGTGTGTTGGTGTGTTGGTGGGGGATTAGTTGTAGAGTAGAGTAGGGTAGGGTTGGATAGGTAGGGGAATGTGAATTGATCTGTTTTGATCTGATTGAATTTGATTTGGTCTGATTTGAATTTGATTTGAATTTGACGAGGTGAGTTGAAGTGAGATGAAGTGAGGTGAAATGAGGGTTGTTCTTTCTCTTTTGGGGTTGGAAGTCTAAGGTTGAAGATGGGTGGAGATGCAGATACAGAACACAGATACATATGGGCTGTGATGGGTTGAGATGAGATGGTATGGTATGATATGATATGAGGTTGGTTTAATCATTCACTTTTTTTCTTTTGTGCTGAGGATTGGGATTGGGGGAATGGGGGAATGTAGGTGAGGTTTAGGTGAGGTTTAGGTGTAATTCTATTTTTCTTGAAGGGAGGGAGGGAAGGAGGGAGTGGTAGTAAGAGAGATGAGAGGGCTGAAAATTGGTATGATTGAATGGGGTGGTGTGAAGGGGGATGGAGTGAAAGATCTTAATGGTTGATAAGTAGTTTCAGTATGTGACTATTAGGTACCTAGTCTAGATAGTCACTGGTGGGAAATGGATCATGAAGATGATTTTTCAGGTGTAGGTTTGAGTTTAATGTCATGTGTATGTATGTATGTATGTATGTATGTATGTATGTATGTATGCATGTGTATGTGAAGTGTTAGGGATAGGGATTAGGATGGGGACGGGGATGGGATGGATGGATGATATGGTGGTATATGGTCTGATGATTTATGAATGGTATATGTGGGATAGGATGGGATGGCTGGATGGGATAGGATAGGATAGGATGGGATGGCTGGATGGGATAGGATAGGATAGGATGAGATGGATGGATGTGGGATGTGTGAGGAAAAGTCTAGATACTTGGATGTTTGGATGTTTGAAGATTGGTATGGTATGGTAGTAGAGTAAAGGTAAAGTTTATGTTGATCTGGCAGCTAGCGTTACCCATATATTTTTGTAGCAAAGTCATAAGTCTAGACTCGTCAATATGAGTTGAATTGTCCGGTTTCTGAAATGCGAAGATGTTTCTATTGTTAGGTGGCATTGTTTGGAAAAGGGAGTGCAGTTGTCAATGCGTGCGAATGAATATATGACGGTGGTACTGTTGTTGTGTTAGTTGGAGTGGTGTAATGGAAGGGTAGAAAAGTCTCAGCTACTGTACTGGCTACTAGGTATATAACGATATGTACTTGTAGTACTCGAGAGTACTCGTATGAGTTCAAATACTGTAACCTTAATACTTCAATGGGCTTATAATATTTCTTTATTCATTGGATTCGAGAAAGGTCTTTTATATTGTGTTCGAAAGTAGGATCTTGAATTGGTTATGAATGATTGCTTTTTCTGGGGCTAATACTACTCGAGTGTTATCAATGTCCAATTTGTATACTCGAGTACACTGTAGATAATAATTGGGATTAGTTATTCATGAAGGGTTTGAATAGTAGCTCTGTGAATTATGAATTACCTATATTCGAGAAGACATCCATCCATCCATCCATCCATCCATCTTTAACAACTACACCAAAGCCAAGCATCCACTAGATCTAGTGGAGACAGCGGGAGAAGGGGATAGCCGAGCGAAGAAGAGAGAGGAGAGCTTTTAATGGAGATCCTTGACCCTTAACCCTTTACAATTTGACCCTTGACCCATGCTCCTCGACAGCCTATGTTTTATGCTTTGTGCTATGCTACAATGCCAGCACAACACTAAAGGTATATCCCGAAACCAAGTTTCAAACTCGAGTAATAATAATTCTTCAATGCATTCCATTCATCATGTTTCTCTCCCAACCTCCTCAAATTTTATCTTGATTACACTTTCCACTCTGTTCTTCTCGACATTGAGGAAACTAATTCATCCTCGGAATCTAGATGACTTGATAGAATGAAGGAAGGAAGCTATGATATAGTTCGAGCTTAAGAGTACCTACCGAATCCGAACATTACAATCTCGATTGTAATTGAAGAAACTACTACATCAATTGAAACAAGTCATCTCCTTCATATACTGCAACCGTACACATCAGTTCCAGTCCTCTCAACCAAACATTCCATCCATTCCACCAAATCATCATCGAGTTGCGTATTGACGGATACTCGCATCTTCTCTATACATGTGTATGTGTACTCGGTCATAGCCTAGCCTCACTCAACCCTCATTCAACCCTCATTTAACGCGCCCAAACGAAATCTGCAATTGAATCAATCATTGTGCGAGCATGATATCTTCAACCCCATCGATACATTCTCAAAGTTCTCATCTCCTCTCTCGCCAATTTTCATCAATCCCTTCATTATCAGGAAGTGGTAATTCACCTTGCGATTCAAGAGATATAAGAGGTGCCATCATCAAGATACCGAGGCAAAGAATATCCTTGCGATTGAACATATAATTCTCGACCTTTGCGAATAAAGAAGGGGCCAAGCTCCCAGACTCATTGTCAGTGTCAACAAATAAAAGAACAAGAACTTTGAATTTGAGGACAAGAAAAGATCTGAGGTTCTATGTTCTGACTTTTATCGTTTTTGCTTAGTTTGTGATAATAGATGTGCTTTGGCTTTACTTTGCCCAGCCTTTTTTTTTTACTTCTCTCTATTTCGTCTAAAAATAGTCCACTCCAGCCTCTTAATATCCTAATCACACCAAAAAGACAACCCCCGATCACCTTTCGACTCTTGAAATTCACTTTCTTGTCTTTCACCTTTAGCCCTCCCTTCGCATCCCGGGAGGTACATTGTCCAGACTTTGTCTCGACCTTCTTCCAACTCACTCTCAATGACCAACAACTTACAACGACTTCAACAACTTCAACAACTTCTTCGATAAACCTAACACCAATCCACCAACCCCATACTACTCTCGATTTTTCTCCAATTGTAATATTTTATTACTTTACACAGGCAGCGTTTCTCTAGTTTACCCGTTTTCGGGCAATCCATTGAGGAGCGTTCGCCTTGTTTTCATCTCACCCAAATCCAAGAACTGCAGCAGAGCTGACGCTCCCACTCAAGCCCATATCTAACGACCGTCACGATACCCACGACCCTACTACGCCTACACCCGAACAGCGCCAGCGGCGAAGAATACTTCGAAGGACTCATATTGAAGCAGCTTCTGCCGGAATATATCCTCCGCCTCGAGTGGGATTCGCTCATCGACAAGCAAGTGAAGACGAGTTCACACATGATTTCGAAGACGAACCCGATACTGAACCTCATCTAACAAGTGAGCATCCCTCTCCAGAAGCAGAAAAAAGTTCTTCCTATCCTCCACGTATCGATAAGCATACTGCGAGTGCCATCCTTTATACCCTCGAAGAGGCGTTGCGTCATCCCAATCCCTTCACTCCAGATTATATTGAAGAAAACGCCTCAATGTCAGATTTGTTAGGCGGAGCTACGAGCTCGGCTAACAATGACGCTAGACCCGTAGCTTCTGGTTCGCCCCACATTCGTGGTCCAAGAGACATTATGAGAGATCGACAAGCTCGGGAAGCGCGAAAAGCATCTGAAGCATCTGAACAAAAAGCCAGAGCAGCCGAACAAAAACGAAACGAAGAAGAATTAATGCGACAGGCAGAGAGAAGAGCAGCTGCTGGCGCTGCAGCACAAAGATCAGAAGAGCGTGGTGAAGGACAACAAAGAATTTCGGGCAACTCGCAAAGAGTAGATCGAAGAGCTGGAGATCGAACAACTAGTGGTGGGGAGAGTATCAAGCCAGTTGAGCAACTAGTTCAGAGACGTAGTACTACAACACGAGCTCCTTCAGGCCCAGAGGTCGCACCTCTTCGATTACCAATGCTGTCGCAATCAAAACCCGCCGAGACTGGAGGTCCAAGTCAACCAGGTCCATCTACTGGAGCCGGTCCATCTCAACCTCCACCCTTGACCGTTCCAAGCCGTGAAGGCCCAACTCGATCCTCTTTTCCTCATGCATTCGAGCGCTGGGAAACCCTCTCCGCACATTGGGAGGGCCTTACGAGTTTCTGGCTTCGCAGACTTGAAGAAAATTCCTCGGAGATCAATCGCGACCCTCTTTCACAGCAACTGTCTCGACAAAACACCGATTTATCAGCTGCTGGTGCGAACCTGTTTCATGCTGTCGTCGAATTACAACGTTTACGAGCTTCCTCCGAGCGCAAATTTCAGCGTTGGTTTTTCGAGACAAGAGAACAAGAAGAACGTGCTACCGAGAATCTGGCAGTGATGGCTAAACAATTGGAGGATGAGCGTAACTCTAGAAGTCAAGCTATCAAGGAGGCTATTGAGGCTGACAGACGCAAGGATCACTCTGAAAAGGTCACTTCTGAGTTGAAGAGAGAGCTAGAGATTGCAAGAAGTGAGGCTCGCCGAGCATGGGATGAACTTGGCCGTCGTGAGACAGAAGAACGTGAGCGAACCATCTCTTTGCGAGAAGGTCAGCCAACTTTACTGGGTGGAGTCCAGGTCGTTCCAATGATCCAAGGTGTTCCAAGTCGACATGGAAGCACTGCTGGTCGAGATGTTCCACCGACGAGACAAGGAGGTCCCTCTGATTCTGGAAGTGGAAGTGCGCGCACAGGAGGCCGCGTCGCCGATCCTGAGAGCCCAACCGGATCCAATGAAGCTTATCAGCAGCATCAACGCTCTCATCGTGCTGAACCCTCTGATCCCTTCATCGAGAGTATTCGTCAACGTCAAGCTGCTGCAGCAATATCTGCACCATCCTCATCCGCTGGACCACAATACACTCAAGCACCAGCCGTACTACCTGTGTCCCAAAGTGCCTACTACCAACAACCTGAGGGTCGTCCGGTTCATTCAAGCACTCAAGCTGGCCAGACCCAAGGACAGGACGATGGATCAAATAGTGATGATGAATATGAGATTGATGAACAAGGTCGCTATGTCCTCGATACCGCTGGCAACAGAATTCGATATGCAAGTGTCGTTTCTGATGATGATACAGCTGAGTATGAGCATAGTCCTCGTCAACATCGTCAAGGCCGTGCTCCAGTTACTGGACCTCCAATCCCAATGTCTGGTGTCGAGTACGGACAAGGACCAACAACTACCACTGCCGGTAATCCAGCTTCTACTCCTGCTGCCCCAGTCAATTATTCGGGATCCGGATACGGTGCCGGTGGTGCAGGTACAAGCGCAGGTGCAAGTGCGGGTGCAGGTGCAGGTTGGGAGTCCTTCCCTCGTCATCATCATCCAACTCGTCTCAGTGATGTTTTGGAAGAAGATGAGAGAAGTCGTACTAGTGCGAGCCAAGTCAGTCGACGCGAATAGACACATGATGAACTTATCACCTGCGGCATTTCAGTGATTTTCTACCGAAAATCTATTGTCACATCATCGTTAGTTTGATTTGCTGGAAGATCCACTGGATTCATTTGCTTGAGCTGGTTTAGTTAATTGGAATCATGAAATCCTGGGAAAGTATGCTCTATGGGGGGGGGGTACTTACTTCGCGGGAACGGCGTCATATTTTTTTCACCCTTTTTCGTTGTTCATTTTCCTATCTAATAGAATATCCCAGGAAAGAACAGGAATAATGGGTTCTCTGGTAACTGCATCATGCATGCCATCGGCGTCGCAAGGGAGTTTTAGGTAAACATTTATTTGAGCGAAGAAGGAGCATATTCAATTCGATTTGGAGCATCACATCAAGTAAGAGGGAGGGAAGGGCACCCTTTTTTTTATGTACCTCTGTAAGATAGAGAGAGAAGCTAGCTGCATATAGTATTTACTAGGAAGTCTGATCATAGCAGCAGAGATAAGATAGATAACTAATAATGAATGGAATGGAAATGAAAGGAAAGGAAAGTTAATGTGTTTTTATAAGTCTTCGGGTCGGAAATGTGATTTGAGTGAGTGAGTGAGTGAAACATTGTAGCGAAGGGAGGGAATGGGGGGCTGATGGTTGGAATTCGCGTATTAGTGAGGGGTGGGATGGAATGTGATGTGATGCTGCTTTGACGAATAGGTATGAAAATGGGAATTAATGAGTTACTCAGTCTACTCAGTCTATCTAAGCGACGGTTTAAAGGTGAGCTACTGTAATTCAAGTTAGTACTCGAGTATTTTCAGTTTATAATTTATTTGTTTCTCTTTCGTATAGTAAATAGTGATACTCATAGTCATAGGGGAAAAAAATTGAAAATTAGAAAAATTGAGAATTTATTGGTATACTGCTAGTAGCTAGACTGCTACTAGAGTAGTTGAATTGTGTTATACGAGTACGAGTAATGTTAGATATGTGAGTAGAGTAGATGGATTGGGTGTGGTTAGGGTGTGGTTAGAGTGTGGTTAGGGTGGCAAAATGTGGGTTGTGTGTTTATTGGGTGGTTTGGTGGTGATATGGTGGTGGTTTGATGGAGGGAGGTTGATGGAGGGAGGTTGGTGGGATGTTGATGGAAGGTTGGAGGATTTTGATGTGGAATTGGAATTGGAATTTGGAATTGGATTTGAAAGGCGCTGGTGTGTGTACGAGTACTGGTTGATGAAGGTTTGAGGTTTGAGGTATTGGGTAAGGGGGTATGGATGATCTTGCGTGTAAGTGGTGGAGGTTGGGAGAGAGGAGTACCGGTAGTTGAATTGAAAGAGTCAGGAGGGTTAAGAAATGTGAAGAGGAGAGGGAAGAGGGGGAGAGGAGTATCGGTAGTTGGGGTAGGAGGCATATGAGAGTTAGAAAGGGGGTAGAGGAGATCCGGGGGAAAGAAGAGGGGGAGAATAGACCAGATGCCATAGTTACTTAGAGCCTGGAGGTGAGCCTAGTGAGGAATTGGGGAGGTAATGAAGGGTAATTGAGATTCTGGCGAGCGGAAGGGTGAGTTTCTGTACGCAGTAAATTATCCGGTCTGTAAAATCTTGCTACTAGGTTGAGTCTTGAGAGCAGGGCTAATAAGTATAGGGGGGCTGGTTGTAATAATATACTCGTATTAGAGAGTTTACTCTCTGAATTGTAATTTACTTTGTAAATGGTATTACATATCTCTATTTCATAATCAAGTGAAAGATCAACATTCCTAGGACCGGCCCCCCCCCCCCTTTTTTTCCGTAAGAGGTGTCCGTCCGTGCATTGTGTTTTACCGATCTAATATCTTTATATAACTAAATTTTATAAACCTATCTTAGGATTATTGATTGAGTAGATTATCGATCCAAAGAGAAGTTGAATTATTGCCTCCCGGAGCTAGCCTTGTCACGGTATTGTATATTGTCAAGAAGGGGTTCAGAACGGGAGAAGTATAATCCTATGACATCGAAGCCTAGGAAGTGGAGATGGCTAACTCTAACCAGCCTCATATCTAGCTAGAGCCATCGCAGAAAAAAGAAGAAAATATATAAGCAATCAAGGAATTACTAAGTAGATATTAGATATAAGGATCTATCTATATTACTAAGAAGTGAAAATCACTCGAGAATACGATGAGATTCAACTGTATTCAAATCGAGCTTTACAGCTTTTCGAGTCTAGACTCTGAACCCGATCACAGAGCCTGCCTATGGTAACACCAAACAAACCGTTTGTCGAAAAAGTTGCCACTCAAAAGCTCACTGTGCCCGCTGCGCTGCATCCATCCTGTACATATCCGTGTGTAACTTTCAGAGCATCGTACAACAAATTGTTGTGCAGTATATCTGCCAATAGTGATATAGTTAGCTATGCTGCGGAATCAAGGTTGGCAGCCGAGGTGCAGGTCTATCGCCCTCACGTTCTTGCTTTTCCGTTTGTTGTATAAGGAGATGGGTATCTTTGATTTCAGAATGTTTATTTCAAACTAGTACTCGTATAGCTTGAAGGTTTTCGCATTGTGGTGATTTGCGCAGTGGATGTGAGAGATTAAAAGTCTTTCTGTATTGTTATCTGATAAGTGTTGGATGAAAACTTGAAGTTTTGAGATCACAGCCGCATACAATATGAGCTAGTCGCGAAAGATTGATTCACTGGTACGATATCACAACAAATTTCTTATAAGGCAAGATAAAACAAATTCGGATTTACCTCTTCAATTTCAAACTTTGTTTCTTGACTAAATTTCTTCACACCACACATACCCCCAATCTTCTTGATGGCGTCCTTATTGTTCCACACAATAATCTTCCTCCTCCTCACACTCACCTTCGCTCAAGTTCGTATCCCCATCACGCGAAAAACTCATCTATCACATCCCGCCCTCAACCGTCACCTCTCTTCCCGCGCCTCAGTCTCCGTATCTCTTGTAAATAATATCACACAAGCAAGCTATGTCATCTCTGTCAAAATTGGAACTCCGCCTCAAGATATTGATTTGATTATCGATACAGGTAGTAGTGATACCTGGTTGATCGCTGCTACTGCGGAATCATGTACTGCTTCTGAACTGCAAGAATACAATTGGACGGATGAAAGTACTTGCAACACTCCATGTATGTATTCCATTATGGCATGATTCATCAGTAGTTCCACAACACATTATAGTTATAGACATGAAACAACAACTCCGAAAACTCGAGATGTTAAATACACACTAATGCAGAGTAGATTATCCAAATGCTTCTTCATCCATCAACCTTGATGTCACAAACGATACATTCAACATTCAATATCTAGATGGATCCGAATCGCAAGGAAGCTACATAGCCGACACGTTCCATCTCGGTGATGTCACCGTCCACTCTCTTCAAATGGGTCTTGCCTACATCACAGACATACAAACTGGAATATTTGGAGTCGGCTACACTGTTGGCGTAGCTTCTGATGCCGTCTATCCAAATATTATCGAGGATCTCATCTCCCAGAATCTCATCAGCACCAGAGCTTACAGTCTCTACCTAGACTCCTATGACTCCCCTACTGGCTCCATTCTCTTTGGCGCAATCGATACCTCCAAGTTCACTGGCAATTTGGTGGCGATGGATATAATACCCGCACCCTTTTGGAATGGTTCGCTCCTCTACTCATCATTCGACATTGAGCTGGTTGGATTGGGAATCACGGATCAAGAAGGCAGTACTACGAACTTCGCCACCTCTCCCGAAGTTGTGACTTTGGATTCTGGAACCACAATCACTTACTTACCACCTGCGTTAACAAATACTATCTACAAATATTTCAACGCTTACGACGACACAATGTCCACGAGCAATGTGTACATTCCCTGTTCACTTCTCACCACTTCGTCTTCTCTAACAATCAATTATCTCTTCTCATCCTCCTTCGTCTCTGCTACGATCAAAGTTCCTCTCTCCGAACTTATATTCCCACTCACAAATCCCATCTATGCACTTACCCCAGGCTCTACACTCCCAGCTTTACCATTTAGTGGTGAGGCATGCGGTTTTGGGGTTCAGCCGGGAAGCGAGGGCTCTTATTTACTTGGTGATACGTTCTTGAGGAGTGCGTATGTGGTGTACGATTTGGAGAATAATGAGATAGGACTTGCGCAGGCAAACTTTGACGCTTCTAATACGAGCTCGAGCTCGAGTGGGGGAGATGAGAGTATTGTCGAGTTAAAGGCGGGAGAGACGGGCGTTCCGCTTTTAGGTGGTGATGATGGGAGTTCGAGCTCGAGTACGAGTTTGCTGGAGCCGATGTCTACTGCTACTGGTGGGAGCAAGAATTCGGGTACAGGGATTCAAACGGCTACTGCCACTGGTACAGCAATAGCTACGCAGACGGGAAAGAGTGGTGGAAGTGTTCCGATGGCAAGAAGTTTAGATCCTAGAACTCTCGGTTTTATTGTGCTGGTAGGACTAATAGCTGGTGGTGCAATGGTGATGATATGAAGATGGATGAACATGGTCATAAAGGAGAACGAAGCGAGGAACTAGAGGCATGTTATTGCAGAACATCCTAAACATAATAAATGTCATCACTTTTCCATAAAAATACGGACGTCTACTCTTATGCATTAACACTTTACTTGCCAGTTTCACTACAACTTTCTTTCTTTTTTATCCTCCAATAGAACATCGCAGATGCTAGTCATACGACACGCACTTTTGTCATATTTCTCCAAAAGCGATGAACTGCATATGCATTCCCCGCTCTCCTCATATGATAGTTTCCCAATTTACTAATCTGCATACATGTGATATTCCGACTCGTTTTTATAGGATTGGATGCGGAAATGGATGGGTCTGTGTTGCATTGATTGAGTGTGATCACTATGGTGTGCTTTGTGAGAGGTGATAGATAGATAGCGTGAGCCTCGGTTCTGGGTGTGATTTTCCAAAGATGATGTTGAGTAAGTGATCAGAATCATCAGATGTAATGAAAATAAAGCCCATGTATATTTCTATCGAAGTGGGCCCTATTGTTAAAAAATAACGCTAGCGTTACTACTCCTTTACCTCTTTCATCCTATATTGTTTTCTTTTATACCATTTCCTTTACAACACACCGAAGAAGTACTTCCTATTCTAAAGAACACAGACTCCAAACATTTTCAGGTGTTCTCTCACACATCTTTAATTCATCATAGATCTTCCATAGGAAATGTTTCTTCGATATACATTTATTAGCTTTCTAATATCACATATCATATTCTCCAACTTCTATCACCTGCAATCGCAGTGCAGAATCAAATATTTAATATTGTGGATGATGTGATACCGTGACTATATCTTGTAATATCTGGGTAGGGATCGAGAGTTAACTTGGGGTGGAGACTAATGTTGAATGGGAATGTGATTTTATGGTGAAAGTCATGAAATTGAAGAGTAGTGGCTGGAAATAGGGCAGAGATATGATACTGCATGAAGAGAGGGAAGATGCGGTGAGGCTTTATACATGCTTTTATGTATAGGATGTGTATAGGGAAGTGTAATGAGTATAGTACAGTACTCAGGCGGGTCTTTGAAGAGGTATATACAAACTCAAAAAAGCTATTGCTAGCTCAAATATTTATATAATTTTATATAATTTGAAATTCCTTATTTATTAATTATTTCTCGATTTATATTTAAAAAATCTTTTCAATTTAATTAAATTTAATTTGATAATTATAAATTGAAATTGTTGGAATATCACTAAGATTATAATAGGTATAACAGTAGTAATATTGTATATGTGTATCCTTAGAGGTATTCTAGAGGTATTGGATATATGTATAAGTGCGTGAGGCACGTGCATATAGACGATGTCACGTGAACTGTATCACGTGACACTGTGTGACTGTACTGCACTTCCAACAGAAATAATAGAGTTTCTGATTTTAAAGATGTTAATGATAAATTTAAAATAAAAAGATTTTTATATAATTTTGATTCAAATGTTTTTGATTATAATAAAATCGATTTTGAATTTTAATTTAATTATATATATTTTATTATTATTATTATTATTCCTATAAATATTATTAAATAATATTGAAAATATTAAGTTTTTGAATAATAAATTCGCTTATTTTGTGTATACCTCTTTAAAGACACTGCCGAGTATATAGAGAAAGCAAGGAAGACGGGGAGGACGAAGAGATTTGATATTGTGGAATAGATAGAGTTGTTTGGAGCGGGTGCGGTGAGCGTTAGGTACTTGGGTGAATAAGTAAGATCGTTCAAGCCTGAGGATAACAATAACAATAAGTATATCAATGAATCGACAGTTGTATACGAGTAGTATGGGATCGTAGAGTTTTCGTGTGTATCATACCGAATTGATATCGAGTTTCCAAAATTGGACTTTCACCAGAGCTGGATATTTTGATATTTCCTACAAATGTAGGTTTCTTTTCCCTGACTCAACAGCCTAGAGAATAAGGGGACACTCAACTGTCTAACTATAGAGTTGGGATTAGTCTAGGAGTCCTGTAACTTCAAGATTTGTATTTATGCTACGGTATAACTTCCTTATATCTAAGCACACAATCCTCTAACTCTGTTTCAATGAATGCATTGATCCATTGAGACCAGCACACTAACAATTTACAAGACTACAGAAGTATTAGAAAATTATTATAAATCAAGGATCGATTTCGAACATATATGAGCCAATGGCCAGATGATATGAGACATTACAGGAACCCTCATTTATTGCCTAATGGGTTTGCCGCAATTCGAGGAAAAGACTAAAGGGAGTAGTCATCGGCAGATATCTGGACTCGGAGCACTAGCTTCACAACGTAACCATAACTTTGAGCACAATTTGGTTGTAACAATTCCATCAACTAATAGTCTATCTCTAAATCGAATACACCGACTAGGAAAATTAGGATCTTTATGTTGCAACTGTGCCACGGAAAAATTAAAGAGATCTTAAGAGAAGTTGGAACGTCGTCCAAAACTGTCTGAAACATTGCTCGAGCACTAGCCCCAATTTAGCATTACGTTAGCTTTAACTTTGCCACGTGATTCGAGGGAAAGCGATGCGGTGGATTAGTAAATTCTCAGCATTGATTCAACAAGAAAACATTAATGTTCGAAAAAAGAACTTGTCGATAGGTATCAATATATGTTTGAGACTATAAGAACATGCGGTATGAAGCCGAAATACTATGCACAGAAGCTCGAACAGGCACATATCCGTTTGTAAGTGCAGTCTTCGTTCGATTTGAGACAATTTATTACCGTGTATGACATATATATTAACTGATGTCCTCAAATAGGCTTCATTTTTTTTGAATCAGCTAACTCACCGCCGTTTAACTGGTACAATAAACACCAGTTATATTTTGTGGAGTTTTGAATATCGCATATGTGTGAGCGGTTGGCTGCCGAAGCAGAGATTACAAGGGACCTATCAGCCTTGTGTGGCGCCCCTGGAGTATTTATGGCCAGTGTACTTTTGCCTCTTGATAAGTACATTTACAAGGATGGAAGTATCTACTTTGGTATATCCTCTTGTATGAATCCTTTCAAGGGTCTGAAAAGTCTATCTGACTGAGTGTATTTAGGTCAGTGCCTACAAGTCAGTGCACACTTCTCCACGAGCCAAAGTTATAACAACATTCAAACATCAATATTTGCATCAGGGAACCCACAAGAATTGCAATCTGCACAAGCAACACTCACACTCATCGTACTGTACGTACTGGTATCTTTTCAGCCCAATAACATCTTTATCAGCAACTGCAATCAAAGTGGATTCAAAAGATAGTGAAGGATATCTGGCCAGATGGTCGCTCTTGCTTACCAACATCATCATGTCATTCGAACATCAAATCTCTTGGGGTAGGCATCTATAAGGTTAGTCTGTCATGCACAGCATCAGATTCGGGTATCCTCGGTGGAGTATTATACCTTTGTGGAGGCTGCCAAATAATAAGTTCAATATTATCCCAACGATGTACGTATGTTAATATATGTACCGTATCTAGGAGTAGATTGGTTACCGTATTGTCAGTCTCAAGCCTAGTACTTCAAGGATTCTTAAACTAAAGTCATGAATAATTGCTGCAAGTGCAGTCAATTAACTTCTTGAGTATGAACAGAATTAACAGATACATGTTTTGTTCCGATTCTTGTTCGGAATGTTTTTGGGTATCGGGATAAGGAAGCTCGGCTGCAGACATTCTGCATGCCAACATGCCAACATGGCTCCAGACTAGCTAGCCATGCCTAGACGAAAATCACACCTTCCTAGTTGTAAGCGACGACATGATCCAAATTATCCAATGATGATACGAGAGTGGGCTTGTCATTGGCATTGCCATTTTATCCATTTTCAAATGCAATTCATAAGTAAAAACCGTTGTTATCGCGATGAATTGTCAAGTGTAAACTGAAGTGGTATTTGAGTCAAAGCAATACTATGATAACTGTTGTTTAGCCCACCTATGTAACATATTTTCGGATAGAGACAATATCGTGTCTCGTATCTTATAACCAGTTATGTTCCTTGAACCCATCATCGGACAATTGTCCAACTGCGGAAATGAAAAATAAGATCAAATTGAGATTTCGGTCACCGGAACATTGTGCCGGGGTAAGACGTTTATCATGCTGCCGCATCTGCGCAGCGCACTCAATCATGCAGACTATTCTCATGTTGCACTCAATCTATTTGGACCAGTCAGACACTTAGTTTCTTCTCTGTTTTATACCTTTCCGCAGTTTCTTTCCCTGCAGTTGTCCGAAATTCTTTGGTCAAGAATCCTTGCTGCATGTTATGTTTTTTTCCCCACCTTAGAGCCACATCATTGAATTCGAGCAATTAACAAATACTCGTATGCTCCCTGCGCAATGATTTCTATTCCTGGTCTTTCAAATAAGGTCTATCAGGAATATTACCGAGCGTTGTTTTTCAGTTCAAGCATCACTTCACCATCTCATGACCCCTTCAAAAACAGCGACAATGGGCAAAAGGGACGATATATGTTCTTTTCTTGGATATGAAAAAGATAAACCCACCAAAGATCGTCGAAATTTATTGAAAGCTACTTCTACATTCCTCGCCGATTATGAAGCTCGTGGGGGCAAGGTTTATGGCAAAAAGGCCGAATCCATTGGACGTCGGCTGTGTGCAATGAATTTTCTCGAAGAAGAAGGCAGAGGAGAGAGATTCTGGCCGCCTACATCGGATGAAAGCCTAGCTTACGATGACGCCGAGGATAAAGAGACGTAAGTAAAGTTTTGTTCTTTTCCATTTATACAGGACGTATTCTGAACATTCCGATTCTAGTATCATCGATAACGTAGCCGACCTTTTTTTCATCCACGCAAGGTCCAACTATTGCAAGCAGGTATGTATTATATTTGTCTAATTTTGTTGTGTGAAACAAACATGTTATTGTTAATTTCCCGTGTGGGAGCTAACGCCACAATCGTGCAGCATGCGAACCAAAGGAATAAGAAGCACGATGATACCTCGCCACCATCAAATATTAGCAATAGACATATGAGCAATAGGCCTCCAACCTTAACTAATACTGAGGTATTTCTTTCTGTAACACTTTGCCGTGTAATTCCAGAACATTAATCATGCGTATAGGAAACGTACTTAGAAGACGAAGAACCACAATTCACTTATAGTTCTTCTTTAATGACCATCAGACCGGAATTATGTCTTGCGCCCTGGTTAGATCCGCCAAAAAGATTCGACCGTAACGTGGCTGTACCTTGGGTCGAGAGCCTCAACCCCAAGAGCCTTCCAGACCCCCCAGTACGATTAGGGAAGAATTGGTTATCACAGGTTTTTATCTCAATTTCAAACTTTTCCATGGATACTAACTCTAGCTTAGGAGAATGTACGATGGCCAGCGGCAGCTGATAAGGAGATTCAGTATTTTATGCATCGATGGCTGTTCTATTATACCATAGATTTGGAGAACGGGACAGATGATGGAGTTCAAAGTCTCGTTGATATTCTAAGAAATGACAAGGGTGTGAACACAGAATTGGACGGTACACAACTTCGAGAATTCAGAAAGCGAATTGTTGATAGAGTGAAGTTTTTCACAGAAGTATTCGTCAATCATCAGTTCGTCGAAGTGCAAGACGATGTTCCTCGAATGACAGCAAGATTTCGAAATATATGGACAACCCTCAAGTATGAAACGCCCACTCCTCGCATCAATTATCGCCGTAGCGTCGAAGAAGTACCGCGAGAGAGCCCTCGGAAACGACGAAAACTCTCCAAGAAAGCTGAAGACAATGCGATAGATATTAGTCGACCGAAAAGGAAACCTTGGAGCGAGCATGCCTGGAGACGCAAGACAATTCCCCCTCCTGCAGATATGACTTTTCCAAACCTGTTGTCGAGGAAAAGTCCTAACATCGGTCCCGTGACCGTGGTAAAGTCGTCCCAAAACGCCGTGGAGGAAGAAGAAAGTGAAGGGGAAGCATGTGACGAGTGTGAGATACACGGGCGATGTGAGGTATGATCTACACCATTGTGGATTTGTGGTTTTGTCAGCATCACTAATCATGCTTAGACCACGATGCGGAATTTCAAGATGTCCGTCGAGATCCCTCCACCTACCAAAGCGATATCTTCCGAATACAATAAGATCATCAAGATGGAAGAAGAATCTACGATAGAGGTCTTACCGCTTGGGACGACGCTTATTGAACCATTGGACGAAGATTTCTCTAGCGAAACTATAGAAGTAGTGCCACGTGCTCATGAGAAAGTCACGAAGGTATCATCTCCAAACCCAGATGAAATACCGATATTCGAAAAGACGTCTCCACATGCGCAAAATGAGGCCCAGGTTTCTAAAGAACAGCTGCCTCTTCCGTATCAGTCGAACGACAGGTCAGAGGATCGTGGTAATTCACAGAAACCTCCAGCACTGGATGTCCCTGTCGTCGCAAACCAATTATCACAAACAGTCGCAGCCGGCCCAGAAGTCAACGAAGTGGTCGATACTCAAGCAGAAGTGAGTGATTCGGCTCATTCATCACCCAAAGTCGAGAATCAGCATCAACTTTCACCAACTGCAGACAAGTCTTCATCGCCTGCCATCAACGCACAATCACAAATTATAATCGGAACAAGTACTCAACCTTTAGGTCTTGATGTAAACAAGTCCCTTTGGCGGGAGCCAGTGAAACCGGCAAGTCCAAAAGAAGTGGTAGGTCACACCGATGAGTGTTCGAGAGGAATCACATCGCTACTTGAAACGACAATGGAGAAAGATAATCACAATGCCTCTTACTCAAAAGTTCCATCGACAAATAGTTTCGCTGACAGCCCACAAAAGTATGGCCCTTTTCACGATCTTGAATGCTTGAACAAACTTTTCTCATCGAGTGGTTCTCGGCCAAAAGTAACACAACATTCACATAGTCCGGCTAGCATCCCCCCAACATCCAGCACAGAAACTCATAAATCCGAGATAGATTTGAAATCCAGTTCGGTCAACGCCACCCTGGACTCTTCAACGCCGCGAACCCCGCCATCGATTGATCTTATTTCAAATGTTAATACCCGCAATAAAATCCCCAGCGAAGGCCAGATATCTGTAGCTAGTCAACCCGCTATGGAGGTATTGAAAACTTTGACTCGTAGCCCGGACACTACACAGCCTCAATCCGGTGACTCTGGTCAGATTTCAGTATCAAAGGTTCTCGAAACATCACGAAAATCATTCGACAGAGATCCTCCAGGTCTGACACGAACCCCCCTACCGTCGGTACCCTTGACGTCTAAAAATTGCCAGGAAATGGCAAACCCATTACCTGCTGCCCGATCACCTGTTAAGATTATGGAAGAATGCCACAAGCCAAATCCATCACCGCCAAGGCTACCGCAAAAGCCTGTTCAAAACCTTCAAGCAGCCCTCCGCGAACCGTTGATTCCGACTTTTCAACCTATAAATCGGCCAATGAATGAGATCACTCCTTCTTCATCAATCTGCCATGTCTCACTCGGGACAGAACCGCCTCAACCTTCTCCTGCCCTGAAAAGTCAATATTCCGCAACGAGCACATACAGTGCACCTATGGCATCACAAGAAGTGCGAAGTCAAAACCAGAGTCAGAATACAGATCAGAATTACAAGCAGAATAAAGCTTTACCCGCTCAAAATGGCGCATACGAACCCACTATTACTGGCACATCATTGGGACCCCCCCGGGCCAGAGACTCCCACCTCGACTCAAATCCCGATAATGGAGTCTATCCGATGGCATTCATCAAAAACCTAACAGATTCAAAGAATGGCATATGGATGCAGGCGAACTCCCGAAAAAGGGCACTAGAAGGAACAAGTATAAAACCTCGGAAAACAAGATCTAGAAAGAAGTCGGGGCTGCCCGAAAAGTTGGCTACGAAGCCTGCCACTGTACAGTATGCACCAGTCCTATCGGCTCACGCAGGCCAAAATATAGCACCTTCGGCCATGCAAACAAAATCACCGACGCAGCCTGTTCATGGCCGAGAACACTCCCCTCAGCCACCCCATCCACAACTCATCAATCATCTAAGAATCAGGGATGAAATCGGGGTGTATTCAAATTCGTCTTATCCACCGGCTTTCAAGACGACAAACCCGTCGCTCTCTACGTCAAATCAACTATCAGTTATCCAAACCGATAATATGGCTCAGAACATGCTGAGCTACCATGCCAACCAAGAGCGACCAATGTTAGACTATCTCGCCTTGGCAGAAAAGATGCATTCGAGCTATGATCGATATTCTCAAGATCGGGGTAATATCGAGACTTCCGTGGATGTGCAACATTCAACTCCTGTCGCTTCTTCAACTCGACCCCCGCGAACATCCAGCACGTTGCAAATACAGCCTTCCCTTTCTGAAAATCCACAAACTACTAGAAGTGAGCAAGGGATGGCCAACCATGGCACACAACAAAGTGAAGGATCGCCCAATAATGGAGAACAAAGTGGAATTAATTCTCAAAGTGGCTTACAGCAAATGCGAGCACTCGCTGACGCCAGCGAGCAAAGTAAAATCAATCCTGGAGTGGTTACAACCCAGAACCAGTCACCGTCAAATAGCAATGCCTATATCAACACTAGCATTGATCATCGCAATCAGTCGTCAAATTCTGCACATCTTCGGTACTCCCCACAAGCGGGTCCTCTGGAGGCAGCAATGAGGTACGGGGCTTTTGTGAGTAACGCAACAGGGTCTGCAATCCCCAAGAGTGCTTCAGTGGCTAGTCCTAATACACCACAAAATCTCAAGGAGCCGCAGGGCACACGAAGTCGCGCATACAATGATGTTCAACAGTCAAACCCAACGCAGACCAACCAGTATTTAAACCAAGAGTCACAAACACCCAAAAACCACTACCAAATGCCGCATAAAACTTCCCCAGAATCTTATAGGTCACAGGATCCGTGGTGGAACTCGCTAGCAGCAAATTACAACATCAAGAAAATATTGCCGAAGCCTGTCTCGCAATCTGATCCTAACATTCTACACAATCGTTTATTGACCAATGATACTCCTGTCTCAACAATACAAATTGTACCGCCGTTACAAGCAGAGAACCGAGAGTCTCTACCTGACACGAGACAAGTGACACCGCAGGTATCAGAACGCTCGCTTTCCACAGGTAGTCAAGCCTCAAAGATATACCGCCAAACTCCACAAACCCAACAGGCTGATCAGCATTCGGCACAATCATCTATTACACAAGCTTCACCTGCAAGAAGCTACTCTGGCAATCAATATATGATTCAGCCGACACTGATCCAGCGATCCAATTCAACAAGTCAAAGTGCGCAACCCCCTTCGGCTGTGCAGGCTTCAACTCCCAACAATCAATTTTTAAATCAAGCTCCAAGCCGGTCGTCAAATACAAGGGTGCCATCCCCGAAAACCCAACTTCATGAGCCTCCAAACCAGCCGTCAAATCTTCCTGACACATTATCAGAGGGCCAGTACACTAAGCATACTACCGGCCAGTCTCCTAACACACAAACCGCCGATTTTCAAAATCAACCTTCCAACCAATCCCCAATCCAGCCTTCGACTGCCCAAAGCTCAGTGTCACAAAATCGGTTTGCCAATCGCCCCACTACCCAGTTCTCTCCCATTCAAGCTTTATCTCCACAAAATCAATATGCTGGTCCGCCTGTAATACAGCAAGCCTCTCCAGCTTCAGTCCCCTTTGATCCAGAGTATAACGACCGAAAGTATCAAGCAGCTCCACGGAACCGATATGGTGGCCCGCCTATAGCCCAGCAAGCTTCTTCATCTTCAGTCCCCTATAATCCAGAGTATAACGACCGGCAGAATCAAGTAGCTCCACAGTATCCGTATCCTAAACGGCCACAGCAACCGATGGAAGCCCAGACTCTCACGATGCAGGCACAGCAGAAACTCTTTAATGGGCAACAACCTCTGGATTGGACACAATATCGATTACATGGCCCAAGGCTTCAGACCACAATGAACTCAGGAAACTCTTCTCCCAGGCAACCTCCCACTATTACTACAAATCAGGCTGCAAATACACCTACTATGCCCACAATATTCAACTCCACCCTGCCACCAACACCTCCAACACCGGCCGTCATTCACACCAAACTAGATACTGTCTCTCAATATCCTGTTTTGACTCACCCCCTAATAGGGAGTGCCACCCCACAACAAACACCGGCCGTCATTCTCAGACCTAAATTAGATACCATCCCTCGATACGCGTCTGTCACTTACACTCTAGCCACCCCACAACAAACGCCCACGACACCTCGAGCGGTCGGACCCAAACTCGACTTCTATCTGCAACGCGCCAATTCTATAATCGACACCACCAGCTCCTTCTCCTACCATTACATGGAGGGGCTCTCTCTACCCAATCTCTTCTACTTCTTCGCTCAGCGCTCCGGCGTACCTCTGGAGAGATTGGATGAACTTACTTTCCGATGCATGTTTGGCGAGTATCAACAATTTGTGATAGGAAAGGATATGGGAGACGTTGAATGGAAACGGGCTCGGAAGAGAATCTGGAGGAATTGGGATAGAGAGGTTAGAGCTTCGACACAAAACGGAGATGACGACGACGAGGATTTTTGGGAAGTTAATATTTTGATTGGGAAGTGTGCGTAAATAATTGGAGGAAGTATTGACCTCGGTTACTCCTGGTTTGGTGTAAATGTTAATGATAAAGGTTGTAAATATAAATTGGATACCAATACACTCAATCACCTCACCCCTTGTGAACATTTGACCGATTATAACATATATCAATATGATCAATAAACATCGATATTTGAGTCTATCTCCAAAAGAAAACTAATTAATTAACTATGATTTTATACCTACTTGAACAAAGTCAAACTATATGCAACCTAGTTTTTAGTCGCTAATAATCAATCGAAATGAATACCACTTTCTAGATTCTTTAAATCATCAGTTCTCGGTTTGATTGACAATTAGATCAAATGCGGCTGGACCCAACCTCAATTAGTTGAGTTAGACAATATACCATCTGATCTCTCCAGCAATCCTCCCACAAACTCTCCTAACATTTATATAAGCATAAACAAGCAAACAAACTCAACCCATTTTCTTTAATACTCATTTTAAATTGCCCATTTCTTGGCTTCTGTTGCTACCCATGACTATATGTATCTAGTTCCCACTTCATATATTTGAATAAGCCACACCCTTAACAAACAGAGCAACTTCCCGCATCCAACAGACAATAATAGTCATCCCGATATCATCATTTCAAATCAAGCCGAATACCACGCTTGCATCCGAAATTTCCGGGTAGTATTGCTAAAAATAAAAAAATGCCGAATGTGAATGTAACGGTGTATACAGCGGTTATACATTAGCTGATACTTGTAGCCTAACATTGAGTACATTGTATAGTTACATTCAGGAATACTAATGCGATTGAATTATATATTGGTGATTCAACAAACCTCAACAAATACGGACTCAACAATTGGTATCGAGTCGTCTAGAAGAAGACTATTACAATATGATTATAATACGAGTCTTTTGTCTGCCTAGAATCTATGAGTAAAGAGTAAATTATTGAATGGTCTGGAGTTTTTCCTTGCGTATAGCACAAGTATATGCACAAATTACTAACTTGGCTCGCGTAACGAATTTGCCAATCAACTAACTCAACTATTGGAATTCGTATATAGTGTAACACAGCGCAGCGCAGTATAACCTGGAAAAGGCATATTTGTGGAGCAGCGGATCGCTCTTTATACAAATACAAAAGAGATCCGAGGAAGAAAAGTAAAGATTGGTAACTAGAGAGATTGGATTGAGTAACGGGGAAACGGAACCAGGCCACTTCGGTTGCAGGGTTGCTTGGCGGAAGATATGTATGTTTGTTTGTTTGTTTGCTTAAAGATTGAGAGATAATATAAATACAAATGAATAACTTTGTTAATTACTGAAAAGGGAGAGAGTCTAAAAAAGATCTAGTTAGTTATTTAAATAGATCTTTGACTATATCGATAGTTTCCGAATATTTATATAAGAATAGTCTAATTAAGAGCTGTTATTTAGAGTTCAGAGATATAAATACTCGAGTAGAAATAAACTAAAATTAAGATATATCTAAAGTACTAAGTCTACTACTCTACTTTTTGGCCACACCCCCTTTTGGGCCACCCTTTCTATCATGGGGCTGGTACGGGTACTAGGTAAGATGTATGATATTCGACGAGGAGAGAAGGAGGCGCGCGGAGCGACGACGACTATATGGTGGATTGATGCCTAAGGTATCCATCCGAGCTAGCTAGGAACGAGTAGTGAACCCGTGACACTTTCACACCAAAAACAGTGATTTTTGACTTTTATAACTTTCTCAATAATGAATATAATTAAATAAGATTTTAATGATGAATTCTTTATATAGTTGTTAGCTCATTTACAGATTTTCAGAATTTTAGCGATTTTATATAAAAAGTTATTAAGATTTAAAATTCGAATTTTATTTTATATACGATTTGTATACAAATTAAAATATTCAATAACTTTTCAATAAAAATAACTAAGAATAATTTATTAATTTTAATAAGATATTTGATATTCAAAAATTATAAAACAAACTTTCTATTTTGAATTATTTTATATATTTAAACTTTTATTGAGAATAATCGTTTTTTTATTAAAATATTTTGAATAAATAATAAATCATCAATTTTTATTTCAAATAAATTGATTTTCTATAATAATATATGTTCAAGTATTATATAAAAATTATAAATTTATTTTATTTATTTTGTTAAACAGTC